TTAGTGACATAGTTCGATGTTAGTTCGTTAGTTGTTTCCTTGGTTCGTTAGTTACATAAAGTTACTTCGTTAATACTGTAATAGATTGTAATGTATAATAATCTGTAATATATAATGATAGTACTGTAATATACAATGACATGGTTACTCTGTAAAATTACTTAGTCTGATTGATGCTTTGGAACATGGTTGGAACATGATAGTAGGGATACATAAAGTTACTTAGTTGATCACTAATATTCACTAATATATAGATGTATACTTCTAATGTATACTATGTAACTAATATGTTACTTCATATGTTACATAAGTTAGTCACTATACTTCTATGGATGTTAGTCATTGGTCACCCATCATGGCATCCGCCACGGCTGGCTGCGCCAGGATGCCGCCGAGCACGGCATCAAGGCGGAACACGTCCAGCAGGCCGTAGCGCAGCGGCAGGAGACATCGATCGTTGCGGAGGTCCTCTTAGATCATACTGTAATAGATTGGTATATATTACCCATAGGATCCATGGTGCTGGTATATATGCTAACAAAAATGGGGTATATTGATGGGATCCATGTTAGCATATATACCATACATGGATCCTATGGGTTATTGTAATATATAAGAATGTTACATGTATGACATGAGCCTTTTTTATAAAGGGTTATATTGTAATCAATATTCACTGGGATATATATATATATAATAATAATAATAGCATATATAGTAGCTGGTTGGTGGTTTGGAACACGAATGTTATTTTTCCATATATTGGGAATAATCATCCCAACTGACTAATATTTTTCAGAGGGGTTGAAACCACCAACCAGATAATATATTGAAATATATTGAATATCAATGTAATAGTAATAGTGTTTTATATATCAAACAGATATTACATGATGGTAATAGCATATTGCATAACTATCCCAGATTTTCTTTTACCTAGAACACTATTACGTAGCATATACAATATTTCTATTGAGTTATTGGTTAATTGCACATATTGCTTCGGCTGCCCCAAGGGTGTTTCTCGTATTGGATTACTGGATTACTATGCCATCTTAGATTCAAAAAAGGCAGATTTATTCCATAGTACCATACCTATGTCTTCTAACAAATATTGTTGGTGTTTTACGAATCTTGTGATTTGATGTATAATGTCAACCCTGGATTAATAAACCCCTAGGCTGTTTAATTGGGAAGGTACCATTTCAGTATCAAATCATAACTATTGGGGGAATACCCCAAATTTCTATAAACCATGGTTTAGCAAAATCCGGGGTTGACATGTTTTCGGGGAATAGATGTTGATCATATTGGACGGTGATATGAGGGCGACTAAGAACACCATTGCAATCAGCTGATGGGAGACTGCTGGGATTCAGCCGACAAGTTTCGATTCCAATGGATTACTACAATGTGAGGCCCCCCAGTGATGTGAACGTTGGTTTAGATTCGCCCCAGTAACTAGTTCGTTATTTGCGTACCATAAACCATATAGATATTGGAGTTATAAACCAACTTAGCTATCTTGGGGACCTCACATTGCCATATAGTATCGAAATGGCCTAACTTGGGGGGTATCTTCATTTGCAGACACGCCCATATCCCGTAAAATGTACAGAGTTCTTAAAATCCCACAAATGCATGGTTATATTATATAGTCATAGAGTCATATCAATGATATATTCCATATTGTCCCATCAAAATTCCAATGAAGTCCATATTTTGGATGCTCAAAGCCGTTCTTTTTTCGACCGTTTCTGCCGCAGGAGTTCTTGAACCTGCCTCAGCCTCTGATCATTGATCCCGGCAGGCAGGGTGTTGGGGTCATGATGAATCGATGGAAGCCATAGCCCATAGAAATCGTTGATTTACAGAACTTAAAGATGGTGATGTTCCATTTCGCTATCTTAAATTACCCATGATCTGGTTGGTGGTTTGGAACATGAATTTTATGACTTTCCATATTTCAAAGTGGTACAATGCTGAATAATGAGCAGTTCCGATGGATCCGTTAGTAGGTCCTTTTCCGCTTTTCGACCCCAGCTGCAGCACTTTTGCCACAGGAACACAAGGATGCAAGAAGGGTTCACGGCAACTTGGTGGGAGAAGAGTGCGGTAAAGATCAAAGATTTCAGCTGGTGGCTGGCTGGTTTAGTACATTCAATTAATTCTTTGTTCTTGGATATTCTTGGATTATTTTTCTCCACCGACTTGTTTTTTTGTTGGGAGTATTTATTTTACGGACCAGCCCTTTGTTATGTCAATCTGGTGTAGTCTGGTGCATTCGAGAATGGTTGGTTCTCATTTCCAGTGTTGAGCTCCTGTACATTAATATTGAAGGACTTCGATGTAGTTGTTTTCCTTCCATTGTTGCATTCCCATTTACGAAAACTGGAGTAAAATAATCAACTTGCATCTCTCAAGTATCTGATTTAGTATAGTCCTACATATCATAGATCACATAAGGTCTCCATATTTTCAGAAAATGCTATATCACATCTCCAGGATTCTATCATGTTTCTACAGAACTTGTGTCCCTTCCACCGGTCCCTTTTTAAAAAACGCCGGCCGAGGCCTTTGCAAAAGCTGCGTAAGAGAATCCGAACTGAGTTGCGGTGAGTCTTCCACGGGTTTTCATCATGTTTAAATCAATGGTGAATCATTAGGTTAATCCAATGGTATATCTATGCCATGGTTTAGTAAATTGTAATAATATGATATGGTTTAGTAATATAATCTGGATAAATTTCATCACGACCTCACTGTTCTCCCTCACTGGAATCATGGTTAGTATTGGAAATCATCCCCATTCATGGCCTTAATTCAGGTTAGTGAAATATTATAATTTACCCAGTAATATAATGTGTTTGCCTCTTATAATCATGGTTGGTGAAAATTGGTCAATGACAATGAGTCAGGATTATTGTTGATAACCATCCACTTTCCAGTGAAATGGCAGCAGTTTAAACTGGCAAGATTTATTTTATAGAGCAAACATTCGAAGTGTCCCGTTTTTTCATGGGGTATTTGACGTTGGTCATGGCAGTTTCCAATCCTTGCGGATTGTGACATCCAGATTATCCAGATTCACCATGGATTGTGAGTCCATTGTCAAGTGCTTGGAACTGGCGAACGAAGCGCGGACTGTCAATATTTTCCCAGCAGAAAACAGATGGGCTACTCAGTTGCTGTATATTTAGCCCAAATTTTACGGAGTCATGCAGGCGAAAAGATGATTCACCTCACATTTGAATAGTCCAATTCTGTCCAATTCTGTCCAATTGGTGGCAGCAAGCAGATAGAGCCTTCAGGTACCATAAAGCACAATTACTGCAGTCTTGGAAAACATAATTGACATTTATATATATATATATGATTATAGATGGAAAATGGAGCGCCAAACTGGCCCAATGTTAGTTTTCCCAAAGTCCCAGAATCGGACGAAGAGAACATTTGCAGGAACACGAGTAATTCTGAGGAAAAAATAGTTCCCTTCAAAGAATCCCTGGAACCAAGGTTAACCCCACACAGATTCTTCGGACTGGTTCATTCTTTTGAAAGAAGCTCTTGGATTCACTGAGTTCTCTGAGGAAGCGTTGCGCGCGCAGAAATCGCGACAGCAGCAGGGTGGAGACTTTTGATTTCGGATCATTGAGAGGGCACCAAGCGTGGCCCAGCAGCCTGATTGAATTTGTCCTATAGACATTTTGGGAACCAACTACCCTCTGGTAATTTGTTACATAGCTATGGAAAATGACCATTTATAGTGGATTTACCCATTGAAAATGGTGATTTTCCATAGTTATGTTAGTTGACCAGAGGGTAATGCACATCATGGCACATGTGATGGTACTTGAATTATGCATATTCTCATGATGGAGTATGTGGTGGCGCAACCTCCCCGGCAAGTGGAACTTGGATTTTCAGAGGAAGGTCCGGAGACCGGAGACCGGATGGCTATGACCCATGGTATGCGACGACCCATGACCCACATTCCCTTACCTCTTAAATTTCAATCTAAATCTGTACCCCTTATCTTAAGTTGGTGTTTTCAGTTGTTTTTTATTCTATATTACTTCAATGACTTCTATGTAATACATCCTGAAATGATCCAAATCGATCCAAATCGACTAATATAAAGATTCAGATTGTTCAGGGCTTCGAAGCACCAAGCAGTACACATTGAACCCAACTTAGACCCAACAAAGACCCATATTGAGCTAAAGTTCTGATGGATGGATTCGCTGAGATATGAGATCAAGCATTTGTAGCGTACAATACTGTAGACATTGAGCTATTTATACGATATTTGTGGATTAAACGCCGGGAAATACTTCATTATACTCAAGATGAAATCCCACGTGTCTTCTATAAACCTAGTGTAGATGGGTAAAATGTTGTTTCACAAAAGCCTGGTTACAGATGGGTAAACCTGTTACATCCCGTTACATAAATCCACGTGAAACCCATTTCCATCTCCTGATTCGACAGATCGCCCAGCTAGCGATGTGACTGAGCCTCAAAATGTTGTCAAGTGATGCAGACTCTACAGCTTAGGCTTAGATAACCTTACATAATTTTTGTGATGCGTAATTATGCGTGTTGGGTCCATTCTCTACCGGTGCAAGATGCGAAGATGGACTTCAGCAAATGCCCAGTGAATATGGTTGATGAAAGGCTATAACTTCACCATGACATGCAGAAAGCGATGCTCCGACGATTTTCATGTGACTTTTCATGTGATTCTTTTGTGTTGCTTTTTCGATTTTGAGATGCTTTAACCATGGTTAAACCACCTATAATATCTATAACTGAGTGTTTTAACCATATGGTTACAACTATAATCGGATAAATATCAAATCTATCATATTTCATCGAGTATAAAATATCTATATCCGACTGTTGATCTCTTTGAGGTGACTACTTCCATCATTTTTTTCCAAGGGGAAGTGCTTCAACTCAGCATGGCATCGGCAAAGCCCCGAGCCACTCGCGTCAGCATGGCGTCCCGAGCCGCGCTGGGCGTCAGCGTCGGTTGTTTGCTGATGCTGCCTCTCGGATGGAGGGTTTCAACATATTTCAACAACACATCTGGGGGATTGAAACATCAGAAATATCATTAAAAACGGATTTATTTGATGTAGAGAAGTGGGGAGTTTTTAAACCTGGGATCTAACCATGAATTTCTATGGAAGTTACCCTTTGCGTTTGTCCAGAAATGGAGGTATACTTCAAAAACGGGCAAGTTTGATGCTGAACATATGCAATCTCCCGAATTGATGCCTATTGTAGGGAAAATCATGGTAGGCCATGATAAATGATCATAAACCAACCATGTTAAACCATGATAAACCATTAACCAAGCATCTAAAACCATGTTAAACACTGAAGACTCCTGGGATTTAGTGATTTCGAATTTTGAGAAAGGCACCACTGCGCCACTTTACCCGTCAGCCCGAGGTTCCTGAGAGGCGACCTGGGCCAATGTGCCGTACCAAGGTGCAGACAGCTGTATCCTTAAAACAGAATGAAGTAAGAAACAGCAAGAATATGTGTTTCTAGTCCAAGTACCCATAGGATCCATGTATGCCATATATGGTAACATTTACCATCAATATACCCCCAATGTTAGCATATATTCTATACATGGAGCATCTGGGGTATAAGTGTTTCTTTTGAAATTGGTAATTGGTATTTTTTTGTATTTCAGGAAAGAACGCACTTCGACTTCAATGATATTTTGCATGTTGACTTGACATGTTTTATGAAGGGATACTGTAAGTTTGGCTTCGAAGTTTTTGAGATGGCCGGGATATTCCAGCCTTTTTCAGAAAATTAACATCCCATAAAAATGTACCATGTTCCATGACCCATAGGATCCATGTATGGTATATATACCAACATTTGGGGTATATTGATGGTAAATGTTACCATATATAGCATACATGGATCCTATGGGTGACGTTTTTCCATATTTTTAGGACGAGCGGCAGCGGCTAAACCAGCTAGTTTGATTTGAGAAGCCACGGCATTCCTGCACAGGTCCGCCTTTCGGCTTTGCGCCACGGGCGGCGTCCCTGATGCACGTGGAGATGGGCGAAATGGAAGGTTTTGGGCGATGTGTCATTTTCCATGCATCCAAGGTTGATACCCTCTGGTGAACTAACATAACTATGGAAAATCACCATGTTCAATGGGTAAATCCACTATAAATGGTGATTTTCCATAGTTATGTTAAACTACCAGAGGGTAGTTGATTTGTAGGTAGTTCTCTTATGACACCGCCTAGAAGTAATCTCGGGACAGAGGTCACCCCATCAATTGCATAGATGTATGTTTATTAAACCGTCATCAATCTGCCATCCCCATTACATGCTGAAAGGGCTTAACTCTCTGTCAGCTACCAACGATTCACAAACTTAATTTGGAAAGTATATGTTGAACGATGCCTCACGATTTTGATAACCCACTATATCGCAGTCATACTCTAACTCTGTAAGTATCTACTTCAAATAACAAAAAGATGTATAGCATTCTAGTTACCCTCTGGTTCTTTGACATAGCCATGGTATAGATGGCCCATTTATAGATGGTTTACCGTTCTTAAAAATGGGTGGATCTTTCCATGGCGAACTGTTAGTCATAACCAGATGGTACATCCCTACAAGGTGGTGCCCCATAGTTAGCTAAGTTGGTTTATAACTCCCATAACTATGGTTTATGGCAGATATAACTATAGTTAATGGGGTTTATAAACCAACTTATAACTGGGGGGGCACCATCCTGTACCCCCCCTACCATTTCTTGCACCATTGAGTCCCCATCAACGTCCCAGGTTTCGCCCTCGCGCCGCTCTCCGCCTCAGCAGCGCAGCTCCAAGCCTTGCTGCAAAAGAGGACGCGGGACTGACGCGGACGGCGGTTGGACATGTGGGGATGGATCCAAAAACCATGGCAGGAAGGGGATGAAAGCCAGAATTGGGGTGAGAAAAATCGTAAATTATGGGGGAATATACATTATACTAAAAATATATGGGGGGGAATATTAGCCCTTATTTTTTTTTGTGACCCACATGGAATAATAATGGGATGGAATTACATGGATTACCTGTTCTACTTTTGGGGGGATGAACAGATGAACATCCATCTTTAGCTGATATTATGGGAGATATTGTCAACAATATGAAAGTTGGACGTGGAACATATGGAAAATGATGAATTTGATATTTCAGGACAAGCCCATTTGTTTGTCAGGGAAAATTAGGTGTTTTTTTTGTTCGCCAGACAATATTTAAGGAGATGTTCAATCCGAACATGTTCGCGAACATGTTGATTTGACATATATATTTAAACTGCCACAGGTTGGGATTCTAAATCACAAAAAAAACTCATAGCGGTTCAACAAAATCACATGAAAGTGGGAGGTTCATCGCTTAAAACGTTTCTGTTTGTTCAGTCGCTTCGAGATGGTGCAAACACTGTGGCAGGAGTGGAAAAGATCTCACTTCACCAATCTTCAACATTCCGCCGAAGCAGCAGGTGGGAGCCGGTGGTGAAAAACGCCATGATTCCACGGGTGAATCATTGCAAGAAATGAAGATGGGTCGTGTTCTGTAGCCATGTTGTGGTTAGCCAGGAAATTGCTGAATCATCAAGATGTTGTTATTTCCTGGGATGTCCGTAACGGTTACATCAAAGCCCACCTCTTGGACCGTGAACTGTTTCCTTTCTTGAATCACCCAAAATTCTTTTTCCCCCTCCCAACATCCCAACATATCCCAACCCCCATCCCCATCCCAACCACCCAACCCCAACCCCCGGGGCCTCCATCCCCATCCGCCAGGTCTACCCCAGCTGGTTGGAAGGCCACTGGTCGGTCCTCAGTCGCTTCGTGGGCTTCGAATTTCCCACTCTTCCCAGGCAGCAGGTGATGCGCCAGGCGCGCAAGTCATGGGTGCCATGGAAAGGGCGTTGTTTTAGGGGGCAAAAAATGGTGGGGAAATGCTTGGAAAATGGAGATATCTATGGAGATTATATTTATATGCGATTTATGTAGGATTTGATGGAGATGATATGGATTGATATGGGATTTCATGAAAAAAGTCCGATAAAAATTTCAGCACATCATAGCTGGGGAAAGCATCCAACAATAGTAACTATAGCTGGGGATTTTCCAGCAAACCATGGACGCTTTCCCCACTTCTGGGAGATGTCTAGGAGGATGTGCCGGGTTTCAAGACGTGTTCCATCATCGACTTCGCGGACGTGGGAAAATCGCCCTTGGAGTGCTCTAACCGTGGGAGGAACGCTTCGGATGCTATGTTACTTGGATAAAGATACAGATTTTGGATATGTTTGGATTATGAGTTTACACATGCTTTATGATGTTTTATGATCATGTTATGTCGAAGTGTCTTCACTGATTGATGAAAGCAGGAGTTATTGATATTTAGATATATGCATGTGCACATGTTTGCGTGTTCATTCCTCTGTTTGTCCTGAGTGTCAATCAAACATGGCCCCATGGCACATTCCTTTTGAAAACCTCATCCAAACTTGCTGGTAGCTAGGCTGCAAAGCTTGAGATGCACTGGATGGAGGGCCTGGATTGCAGGTACAACCTGACCTATGTGCGAGATGACAATGTTGGAGGCACTACTGCCGGGTTGAAGTGGAGTATATATAGGTAGTCGCAATTGAGTCCAGGGTCAAATTTCAACCCATCTTGTTGAATACCCATATGCTCCATGTATGGTATATGCTAACAAAAATGGGGTATATTGATGGGATCCATGTTACCATATATAGCATACATGGATCCTATGGGTTATGGTTGCTTCTTTGAACATTAACAACTGCTATCGTGTAGAATCATGTACTAAGAATATGTTTCACCTATGGACTATTTCCGCTTGTTTTGGTGATCCGTTAATTTAAGTGTCCATGTCGTACATTCTTATCCTCTCCTTTTTTCACCTGGTAACATGTCCATTATCTGAATTGGATGAAAGGAAATCTATAGGACACCTCAATATTTTTGGTGCAAAAACCATGGTTTCCGTTCATTTGTTTAAGATTTTCCTTTGGACCAGTCCATTCACCAATTGGTGAAGGTTAATTATACATAGATCTTATACACACCCAGTTATAATTGCCAAATTCCTCCCAGGTGTGATCTTTATGTGTTCCTTGTAAATTCACTACAAAAATTCCACGAATTGTCCCTAGAAATTCCCATAATCCCCTACTGGTTGGTGGTTTGGAACATGAATTTTATTTATTTTCCATATGTGGGATGTCATCCTTCCCATTGACGAACTCCATCGTGTTTCAAGATGGGCACATTGCACCACCAACCAGCCTATAAATGGAATATCCCCAGATTCCCAGAATTGGATCGAGTTGCAGGAAACCCAATTCTGGTTATAGCTTGCAATTCCCAACAAGTTCCACCCAATTGTCCCTGGAAATCCCATATTTCCCTACTGCTTGGTGGTTTGGAAATGTTTGGAACATGAATTTATCCCTGCTGATAACTATAAATTGTCCCTATATCCCCTATAAATATCCCAAATGTCGAAATTCCATAGCTTTATCCCCAAAAAAATATCCCAAAAAAATACCATCATATAAATGTCCCTATATTATTTTATAAATGTCCTTATTTACCCTCTGGTAAACTAACATAACTATGGAGAATCACCATTTTTAATGGGTAAATCCACTATAAATGGCCATGTTCAATAGCTATGTTAGTTTACCAGAGGGTAGATGTTGGAATGTGATTTCCGCGCGACTGCGGTGGGAATCGTGGATTTCCCAATCCCAATCCACAGATGTAGAAAGAAAAACATCTATAAACCTATCCTTTCCCCTAATTTATATGGTATATGGTATCCATCTAAATCCCCTATAAATTGCTGGTGATATCTGCCAGGCGTGGTGGAGGATTGGCCGCAGAATCTGCGCTCCACGGTGGCAGCGCACCTGTCACCGGGCAAGGGCCGGGTGACCAGCGCCCTGGCGAAGCTGGGGAGGTCTCCAACCTCCAACCTGCAAAAGAAGTAGGATACAGCCACAGATATTCAATATATCTATATATGTAATAATAATAATAATAATAATAATAATAATATATATATGTATACATGTATGTATATGTATATATATATATTATACATGTATGTATATATATATATATTATACATGTATGTATATATATATATATTATGCATATGCAAATACAAGTATATATATAATTATATATATACTGATTATATATGCATATTATACGTAAAATGTATCCATAATGCATTATAATAATATATTATGTATTAGTCCAGAAACCTGAAGTGTATCCGAAAAATGGGGATGCAACAAACAAACAACTTCACTTATCTTCACTATCCTATCCTAAACACGGTAAAATTGGCATGTAACACTTAGATACGATTATCGATTAGTACTATATATAGGTGGTTTCAACGTGTTACATGCTAAGATACAATTAGTACTAACAATTAGTGTTCACTTCGATAACTATGTAACATTGGTACTAACAATTAGTACTTTAGATACAATTATATTAGTTTTCACTTAGATACAATTAGTACTAACAATCAGAAAAACCGGTTGGTGGTCTCAACGTTTTTTGTTCATAAGCCACAGTTGGGGATGATGATCTCGGCCCAAAAAAACGGGCTTTGGAATCAACAAGTCATCCACCCAAGGCTTTGGAGAATATGTTGAAAGTTAATGTAGAGCCATGGTTTCAAAAGTGTTATTATATAGACCTTTTTTGACAGTTTATCACCTGCATTTTGTTTGACTTTTTTTTTTGGTTTGGAACTACCCTCTGGTAAACGTTTACATAACGAACTGGAAAATCACCATTTTCAATAGCTATGAAAATGATAACAAGTCATATAGTGGATCTATAAAATGGTTAATCTTTGGCCATTACCCATTTATGGCTTTTCATTACCCATTTTCAATAGCTATGTTAGTCATAACCAGAGGGCCAGAGGGTAATGAGACCAAGGATCTACCGCTTCGGTGGGTTGCGGATTCATCACTGAGGTGTGGACTACACACCGAGCCAGGACCCCAACCGGCTCACCATGAGGCCGGTGGCTATTAACGGTAGAAGGGTCGGAGATTATGGTAGCTAGATCTAGAAGATTTGATCATGGTGGATTGTCCAATTATTTTTTCTATTATTTTCTATAATTTTGTTTCCCGGCCTGGTAAACATACAGTTAAAGCCAAGCTATTGAAAATGGTCATTAATAGAAATCCTGGATTTTCCCATTAGCATGGTGGATCATTCCAGTTCGTTATGTAAACGCCCGCTGACCGGAGGGTAGGTCATGTTATGTCATGGTTTGGATCCGACCTGTTTGTTTCACCCATCCCATCGAGTTTGAATAGCTCCAAAACTCCAGAGTGGAATGCACTGGATCTAATCACGCCGACTGGAATCCTCTTCGGTGGTTCAATCATATTGACTTCAATTTGTTCATAGATTATGGGTATGATATTATGGTAATCCCCACCATTTGTTCATAGTAGATATCGATTAATAGATGGAAAATAGGAAGTTCATTTCATAGATGTTCATAGATCTTCATGGTTCATGGTATTCATGGTTATTCATGGTTAATGGTGTGTTTCATGGTGTGTTTCCTGCTGGATGCTGAAGTTCCTGTCATCTCACCAGGCTGGTCGCCTCCAAAAACGCGGAGCGGGTGGAACTCTTCGTGAATTCCCGGGACTCGGAGCAACCCAAGGCGCGCCTTCGTGCGTTGCATCCACCGATTGGGGCACCTTTTTGGGGCTCCAAAAAGTTCAGAGAAAGCCACGTTTTGGGATGCGTTAAATATGTTAAATGGTGCAAGATAGGATTATTGATTATAGATCCCTATATTTAAGGATTTGTTAGCTGATCATGTGTGTATGTGTTCGTGTTGCTGTTTGGTTGTTACTTGCGTCTTTAGATCCTGGTTGGTGGTTTCACACATTTGTTGTTTTCCATTTCATATATGGGATGTCATCCTTCCCAGCTGACTTTCACTCCATCATTTTTCAAGATGGTTATTGCACCACCAACCAACCAGATATGATTATTAACCATCATTAACCATTATTAACCATTATTAACCATGGAAATCCCATTAAAATCCTAGTTCTTTCAGCCAACCAATTTATATGACACTTGCGTCGATGACACGCATCTCCGGCGACTTGGAGGATGACCTCTTTCTGTGCAGCGAGTACAGACGTTCCTTGGCGCTTTTATCAGCGGTTCTGTGCGGTGATAAACGTGGCTGGAAGATTTTCCAGATGACGATCCGAGACCCAAAGAATGTTGGAGGAAAAAACAAGTCCAAAAAATATCACGAATCTTAGGTTGCCTATGGTATGAACTTAGCTCACGAAAACATTTCATATATAAATACCACATAATACCACATAGATCCACATAGGGCATAGGGTTCCCTCAACATGCTGGAATTTCTTTCTAACGTGTTTTGTATAGGTTCCCAAGTTTCCAACTGACCTTATCCATTTTGGGGTTTGCTAACAGAATTGCCGGATCCATAGGTTTCCAACGTTTCTATTTGGGGATTGCTATAGTTATGGGTCAAAGCCCTCGTGCCCTAGGTACACGAGAATAGCTGGTTCATGGATGGTTAATGGATGGCTATTCCCCCAAATATGGTAATTTCATATGTAATAAAAAAACGGTAATTCATAGGTTTTGACCCATCCACAGATACCATCTGGTTATTTAACAGTTCGCCATGGAAAATCCCTGAAATAAATGGAGGTTTTTATGGGAACATCATCTATTTCTATGGGCCATGGCTTCCATGGCGAACTGTAACAGTCATAACCAGGCCGGGTATCTCCATTAAATCACCATGAAATCCCATTAAAACCCATGGAACATCACCATTTTCCGATGTAACAAATAACCAGAGGGTAAATCCCATTAGATTCCATTAAACCACCATAAATCCCATGGAAAATCACCATTAAATCCCATGTCAAAACTTCATCCCGCCATACCCTGCCATCTGCCAGGTCAGGTGACCTTTTCCAGCCGAGTGACCCAGGGCTACAACTGCAACTACCAACACTTCAAGACTTTCCAACGCGCCTCGACCAGGGGATCCAACAGAGCTGAAACCAGAATGGATCGAATAGGGATATGTATGGAATATGTCAGCAGGATGGGTTGTTGGGGATGCTTTTTTCCATGCGTTTTTTGGTTGTGAAGGGTTGGTCTATCAGGGTTGTGCTCAAACAGCTTTGTAACTTACCAGTTTTCGTCATTTGATGATGGGTCAATACCTATAGATACATTTTAGTGGGATGAACATCCATTTACCAGCTATTTTGGGGTTCATCAGGGGTACAAGGTTTTGACCCATCCCTATTTAAGACATGACAGCTGGTCAATCTCGGTTTCCGCATCACCATGGTGCGGTGTGTTTCTGCCAAGGAACGGACAAGGGCGTCCGACTGAATGTGTTGACCGCGTCGTACTTTGATCCCTTGAGCCCGTTGTACTTTGATACCTTCGACAAGCCACTCGCCTCGCGATAGATGAGACAAAATAAGCATTCCCGCTCAGCGGTTCCTAAACCGCTCCAAAAAATAAGAACTCCTGGTAGAAGGTCATGGGAAGCGAACGTGGTAATGATGGTCCCATTCTGTTTATGGTCCTGGTATGGTGGTAACACCGACAGGTAGATAAAGTCCAGAGTCGTTGACCGGGCTACAGCTGGCGGGCACGTCCAAAACTGGAAAGCGTTGGCGGAAAGTAATACCCGGCCTGCTAACATAGCGAACTGGAAAGATCCACCATGCTATCAATGGTTAAATCCACTATTTTTATGGCCATGTTCAATAGCTATGTAACAAATTACCAGAGGGTATATATGTAATAACTTTGACTTGGGTGGACATGAGCACCAAGCAACCTAGATCCATTCCGAAAAATCACCAAAACACCCGGTGCTGGTTTGGTGGTTTTTGGATGGTGTAGGGCGCCACCCTCGATGTTCACCCGGGTTTACATGATGTGTGGTGTCTACATCCAAGGCCCGTGGTGGTGTTTGCACATGAACTGGAGCTGACGCCACAGCTTTGATTCGAAAAAAAGTGGTCGTCGCGGCGGGCGGAAGATATGTGTGGTAGCCTTGAGGTTTTCATCCGTGAAAGATGAGGTTTGCCAAAAAAAAATCACAGACCCAAATTGACAAAATTGACTAGTTTCAGGAGATTGTAGGGGTCGGTATGTTGGTCACTGAACAAGCCTAATTGACAGAGAATCAGTTGTCATTTGCTATAATCCCATCTAGAGCATCTCATTGAAAGTCTGGTTTTCACTCCAAGGTGAGGTGAAACTTGTTGGTTCCATTGCAGATGTGTTTCCTAAGGCTAAAATTCGCAAGATGTGGTATGGGTATGTTTTTGACCCAAATAAAATGGATGGTTGAATGCAACAAATGACCACAATGACAAATCGTTTGTGTGCGTATTGATTTGCAGCCTGTTTTTTTTCAATCACTCCCAACTACATGGTCCAACTTGTCCCACCCTGTGCATCACTCATCATCACTCCATTTTTTGGGGTTGCCATTGTTGCCATCCCGCCTTTTTCCGAGGTCTACATGGTGTGGGACTGTCAGTTCGCCTGTGGCGACGGTCTCGTGATTGGGGAGGAGAAAAAAAACGTCGCGCCTCAATATGTGCCGATATTTGGATCAGCAGTGGATGCCAACTGGGTATAGTTTCTTTTAACAGTTGTTAATGAGTTGGGTCTTTTTTATTTTGCTTTTGGATGTTTATGGATAGTAGCAACTATTGTGGTTCATAACGTCTCTGGTGATTACAAATGTTTTATTGCGTTGAAAACTCTTGCTTTACAAATGGATGATTATGGTTGAAACATGTTAAAAAGGTGCAGTCCATATCCCGTTGATAGCGACGATGTTAACAATCATGCCAGCCAAAACTGGAAATGATTGTAGGGTAGTAAATGATGATAAATGATGCATAATTCTTCAATTCAGGATATCTGGTTGGTGGTTTGGAGCATGAATTTTATTTCCCATTTCATATATGGGATGTCATCCTTCCCATTGACTTTAACTCCGTCATTTTTCAGAGGGGTAGGTCAACCACCAACCAGATTTATATTTCGACAATCATCTAAACATCATCATTGTCTATATGGCTATGGATCAATACCTATACATACCATTTTTAGCGGGATGAACATCCATTTACCAGCTATTTTGATGTTCACCAGGGGTACAAGGTTTTGACACACTGCCATATCATTTTCATGTATTTTGACAACATTGTTGGGTTGTTTTTATTCGGAAAACTATGCAAAAGCCAACTTTTGGGCAGGAGGAATGCGATGATGGCGGCTTAGATGCCTTCGATGGCTGCGATGCTAACTGCAAGGCGACATTGCGTTAATGGTGGTTTGATGATGTTTGATGTGTATGGTATCCACTAGAAATGGATGTTTTATATGGTTTTATGGGAAAATCATTGGAATATATGGGATACCCTCTGGTAATTTAACATAGCTATTGAACATGGCCATTTATAATGAGTTTTCCCATGAAAAATGGTGATGTTCCATACTTATGTAAACATTTACCAGAGGGTATATCATATGATGCTTTGATGATGCTTAATGGTGTTTGATGTGGTGTTTGATGTAAGATGGTTTTGTGATGTCTGATATCATACCATCCATGTACTTGTATGGTACATGGATGGTACATTTAAATTTACATACATGTAGCATCATTTGCATCCAGAAATCACCTTAAAATAGATGGGTCTTTAGATGGGTCTATTATAGTTTATCTGAAAATTGTGGTATATACCCCATTCATCCTAATTTTTTGATATATACCACATTAGATTTCCATCAACCAGTGGGCTCATCCTCATTTTCCCAACATGAACAGATAGTCTGCTGGTTCGAAAAGAGACAGCCAGGTCGAGCCTGGCTTTGTTTGCAGCGGCGCAACTGGGACGGCGCCGTCCCAGTGGGGATCTCAGCCATGAAGGGACTGAAGGGTTCAAAACCACTGGCGAATTGGTTGGGATTTTACATGAGTTAACCATGAAATCTGGGTTTTGACATGGTTTACTGTAACACCGAAAATCGGATATTTTTTGTATGATGACCGGAACACTCTTTTATCATCATGAATGATTCATCATTTTTTCCCATCTTTTGACCATGGCTAGAGTTTCCTTTAAGAACACCATGGCCAACTGAAGCCCCCAACGTCCCGGTCCTCGTGGGTCCCAGGTGTCGTCCGGTGGGCTGTGGAGCTTTACCACATCCCAGTCCCGTGGCAGCTTGTGAGGCCATCGGGGGCCATCGGGGCATCCCCTCAACAAATGCTTCGTAAAATGCTGAGTAAACGATGAGGTTAGATGGTACCCTCTGGTGAACTAACATCGCAATTGAAAATGGCCATTTATAATATTTATAGTGGATTTTCCCATTAAAAATGGTGATTGTCCATTGCTATGTTAGTTCACCAGAGGGTAGTTTCTAAGCTAGTTACTGAGGATGGGTTACTAAGCATGGCGCCATGGGATGCTATAAATGCATATATAAATTGCGATGTATCGGGAATTAAAATGAACAAGTTCATACCTCATGATCAGGTTTTTGTTGGGTTAATTTATACCAGTTCTTCCAGTTCGTTCCAACCACAATCACCGTTTTCGCGGGATATCTTTGGGATCTCGGGATGAACCAAGCATAATATGGGCTGGTGGCAGAACAAAAAATTTGCATCCCCAGAAGTAACAGGAAGACTACTTTCCGCAGAAAATTGGCGATGTTTGACTGGAAAGTAATCTTCCTGTTACTGGAAATATCTGCAAATTGGGTCAATTCCACCTCCAGTTTTGGGTCTATATTGATTTTATTGATTGACTGGAGGCTAGCAGATGTGGATTGGATGTAGCGGATCCGCGCATCCGTGATGTCGATCCAGTGGTGCTCAACAAATCGATCCAGTCGCGTCCATAGTCCCCAACATAGTCCCCGTTACCGAACCACATGGTGTTTCCACCATCACAAACTGGTTGGTGGTGACTGGAACCATGGAATGGATTATGACTTTGCATATATTGGGAATCATCATCATCATCATCATGATCACCCCAACTGACGAACTCACTCCATCATTTTTCAGAGGGGTAGGTCAACCACCAACCAGCTAAAGACGGTAGATCTTCGATGATCTTCGGAGCACTGCCGCAGGATGCTGAAAGCAGCCCTGCAGCTGTCACATGTCGCAGGTGGGACACTGGATCCTTGTGGATCCGCCTAAAATCATCCCACATCTTTGGAGATTCCATGCAGCTTTTTTAAGGAAGACATCTTTGGAAAATCATAGGCGTATAAGTAAGAATACTTACTGTATATAACTATAGTATAAGAATTAGGATAAGTATATAATCATTGGCTTTCGAAAATTATATTAACATATTTCGAATACTTATATATAATTCTGTTTGGGTCCCGATGTTAAACAACGAATGCCAAAATGAGATGTGACAACCATTTTACCCCAAACAAATGAATGGTATTTTGGGTTCTAGATCCCATTATTTTGGCTTCAGCTTAGGGTTTCATGGGTTTTGAGCCGAACGGCCATTGCTGCAACTGTGAAAGATGGTCCAAGATTTGGTTAAAGACAAAACCTATCAACGCAAGCAATTTAACAGTTATCATAAGTTATCTATTGAAAATGACCCAGTTGAAATCGTTAGCTATTTCCCTATGAAAAATGATGATTGATAGTTGATTTTCCCCATGAAAATGGTGGATCTTTACCTATGAAAATGGTGATTTTCCCTATAAAAATGGTGATTTTCCCCATGAAAATGGTGGATCTTTCCCTATAAAAATTGTAATTTTCCCCATGAAAATGGATGAAAATGGTGGATCTTTCCCTATACAAATGGTATTTTCCCCATGAAAATTATGATTTTCCCCATGAAAATTGTGATTTTCCCCATGAAAATGGTAATTTTCCCCATGAAAATTGTGATTTTCCCTATACAAATTGTTATTTTCACCATGAAAATGGTGATTTTCCCCATGAAAATTGTGATTTTCCCATGAAAATTGTGATTTTCCCATGAAAATTGTGATTTCCCCATGAAAATGGTGGATCTTTCCCTATAAAAATTGTAATTTTCCCCATGAAAATGGTGATTTTCCCCATGAAAATGGTGGATCTTTCCCTATACAAATGGTGATTTTCCCCATGAAAATTGTGATTTTCCCCATGAAAATGGTGGATCTTTCCCTATACAAATGGTGATTTTCCCCATGAAAATGGTGATTTTCCCCATGAAAATGGTGGATCTTTCCCTATGAAAATGGTGATTTTCCCCATGAAAATTGTGATTTTCCCCATGAAAATAGTAATTTTCCCTATGAAAATTTTGATTTTCCCCATGAAAATGGTGATTTTCCCCATGAAAATAGTAATTTTCCCTATGAAAATTGTGATGTTCCCCATGAAAATTGTAATTTTCCCTATGAAAATTGTGATTTTCCCCATGAAAATGATGATTTTCCCCATGAAAAATTGTGGATCTTTCCCTATACAAATGGTGATTTTCCCCATGAAAATGAAAATGTGATTTTCCCCATGAAAATTGTGATTTTCCCCATGAAAATTGTGATTTTCCCCATTGTGATTTTCCCCATGAAAATTGTGATTTTCCCCATGGTGGAAAATGGTGATTTTCCCCATGAAAATGGTGATTTTCCCCATGAAAATGGTGGATCTTTCCCTATACAAATGGTGATTTTCCCCATGAAAATTGTGATTTTCCCCATGAAAATGGTGGATCTTTCCCTATACAAATGGTGATTTTCCCCATGAAAATGGTGATTTTCCCCATGAAAATGGTGATCTTTCCCTATACAAATGGTGATTTTCCCCATGAAAATGGTGATTTTCCCCATGAAAATTGTAATTTTCCCTATGAAAATTGTGATTTTCCCCATGAAAATTGTAATTTTCCCCATGAAAATTGTAATTTTCCCTATGAAAATGGTGATTTTCCCCATGAAAATTGTAATTTTCCTTATGAAAATTGTGATTTTCCCCATGAAAATGGTGATTTTCCCCATGAAAAATGGTGGATCTTTCCCTATACAAATGGTGATTTTCCCCATGAAAATTGTGATTTTCCCCATGAAAATTGTGATTTTCCCCATGAAAATGGTGATTTTCCCCATGAAAATTGTGATTTTCCCCATGAAAATGTTGATTTTCCCCATGAAAATGGTGATTTTCCCCATGAAAATGGTGATTTTCCCCATGAAAATGGTGATTTTCCCCATGAAAATTGTGATTTTCCCATGAAAATTGTGATTTTCCCCATGAAAATGGTGATTTTCCCCATGAAAATGGTGATTTTCCCCATGAAAATTGTGATTTTCCCCATGAAAATTGTGATTTTCCCCATGAAAATGATGATTTTCCCCATGAAAATGGTGGATCTTTCCCTATACAAATGGTGATTTTCCCCATGAAAATTGTGATTTTCCCCATGAAAAATGGTGAATCTTTCCCTATACAAATGGTGATTTTCTTCATGAAAATGATGATTTTCCCCATGAAAATGGTGATTTCCCCCATGAAAATTGTGATTTTCCCCATGAAAATTGTGATTTTCCCCATGAAAATTGTAATTTTCCCTATGAAAATTGTGATTTTCCCCATGAAAATGGTGATTTTCCCCATGAAAAATGGTGAATCTTTCCCTATACAAATGGTGATTTTCCCCATGAAAATTGTGATTTTCCCTATACAAATGGTGATTTTCCCCATGAAAATTGTGATTTTCCCCATGAAAATGGTGATTTTCCCCATGAAAATGGTGATTTTCCCCATGAAAATGGTAATTTTCCCTATGAAAATTGTGATTTTCCCCATGAAAATGGTGATTTTCCTATATGAAATGGTGAATCTTTCCCTATACAAATGGTTTCCCTATGAAAATTCTTGATGGTTTTCCCCATGAAAATTGTGATTTTCCCCATGAAAATGGTGATTTTCCCCATGAAAATTGTGATTTTCCCCATGAAAATGGTGATTTTCCCCATGAAAATGGTGATTTTCCCCATGAAAATTGGTGATTTTCCCCATGAAAATGGTGATTTTCCCCATGAAAATGGTGATTTTCCCCATGAAAATGGTGGATCTTTCCCTATACAAATGGTGATTTTCCCCATGAAAATTGTGATTTTCCCCATGAAAATTGTGATTTTCCCCTATGAAAATTGGTGATTTTCCCATAGTGATTTTCCCCATGAAAATGGAAAATTGTGATTTTCCCCATGAAAATGGTGATTTTCCCCATGAAAATGGTGATTTTCCCTATACAAATGGATGAACATGGTGATTTTCCCTATAAAAATGGTGATTTTCCCCATGAAAATTGTGATTTTCCCTATACAAATGGATGAACATGGTGATTTTCCCTATAAAAATGGTGATTTTCCCCATGAAAATGGTGATTTTCCCTATACAAATGGATGAACATGGTGATTTTCCCTATAAAAATGGTGATTTTCCCCATGAAAATGGTGATTTTCCCTATACAAATGGATGAACATGGTGATTTTCCCTATAAAAATTGTGATTTTCCCCATGAAAATGTGGATCTTTCCCTATACAAATGGATGAACATGGTGATTTTCCCTATAAAAATGGTGATTTTCCCCATGAAAATGGTGATTTTCCCTATACAAATGGATGAACATGGTGATTTTCCCTATAAAAATTGTGATTTTCCCCATGAAAATGCTGGATCTTTCCATGGTTTTGGATCTAAGGCTTTCTCCTTCCATCATTTCGGATCATCCCTGGCCATCCCGCCATCCGCAGCAACGATGAGCTCGGCGCATGTGGAAGTCTTTCACCCCCGTCGCTGTTCGTGGGGTCAACCCAGCGGATCGGTGGGAAGAAGGGGAAGCAACCTGAGATTTGGGATGGATGATAGGATGATAAGATGATAGTTGGATTTATATATGTATATATATATATGTAGATATTGGATTATGTTAATATATGTATCATTGTCAAACAAATATATATACATATATTAACATACCAGATGATGTTTTTAGAAAATAGTGCTTTATGAGTTGGGGGAGTATGTTGCAAGGAATCTCAAACACTGGATACATATGTTTGAGTTTGGGAGGGTTCTTGAGCAATGTTTTAGTATTGAAAATCAGCATATTCCAATGATTCCATCCAACACTTGGATGAAAATCGCCACATTCCAATGATCCAACATAGAAACCATACATCCGAAATGTGGTAAACCACCCAATAATAAACCTACCATTTGGGGATGCTTACATCACATTTGTGGTGATGATTTGGAGGATGGTAAACATCATGGTAAACATCATGGTAAAACATTCAAGTGTAGCATGGGACATCAAGATTTTTTTTTGAGTCCAATCGCCTGCAAAACAGGCAGCCTGTCCTGGCCAAGCCACACAGCGTCCGACATCTCGGTCGATGGAAAAATGGGGGGAGAAGCCAAGCATGATATGATGATGATAATGGCTAAATATTATATGCTATTCATAGTTATCATATGTTAGTAAATATTATCATAGCTAAATATTATCATATGCTATAATATTATCATTATCATTATTAGTAACATGTTTTTTTTTCATAGTAACATAGTAACATGATATGATGATAATGATAATCTATATAAATATATGTTACTATGTTACTATATTATACTAGATATGTTACTATGTTACTATGAAAATGTTTGTTACTATAATGGTTTCCCCATTATACTATGTTACTATATGGTTTCCCCCAGTAACTTATATGTATAATGAGAAACCCAGAATACAATGTTAATATAATGGGGAAACCATATAGTGGATCAATCGGTTTTAATCATAGTACAATGGATCAATTGTGATTCAATATAGGATTATGGTTACTGGGTGGCTGGGTTTACTGGGTTTATCGGTCTCCATCAACATTGTTGATACTGGGTCAACCGTGTCTAGCATTCATATATTTCTTGGATGCGGTTTTGGTTGCATAAATAATGGTTTAGTTGCAAGAGAAAATAGATGCCGAAAAATGGAGAATGTTGTGGGGTTAATACCTGAGAATGTAGCAACAAGTATGACACCAACGTGACTGAGTACAGGTGTAGGGAATGATGTTAGGTAAACCTATCAAAATGCTTGCCGAAAATAGATGAAGTTTTTGCCGTAAATGGGTTAATGTTTTATACCATGAAACAGACTTGTTTGGATGGTATCTAAATGAATCTAAGATGAATCACACAATACACAATGATTTTTTTCTGGTTGGTGGTTTGGAACATGCATGTTATTTTTCCATTCAGTTGGGAATGTCATCATCCCAACTGACGAACTCGCATATTTTTTCAGAGGGGTAGGTCAACCACCAACCAGAAAAATTGTGGTATATACCCCATTCATCCTAATTTTCTGGTATATACCACATGAGATTTCCACCGTTTCCACCAACCAGTATGAATTGTGGTACTCATTTTCCAGTGGATTCATCCTCATTTTCCCAACAACGGTCCAACTTAGCTTGGGGATGACCCCAGCAGTGACCGATGAAAAAATCGGGCTGGAATCGAGTGATTTCTACGGTACTTTATCTGGTTAATGGATGGTTAATGGATGGTTATTCCCCCAAATTTCTGGTAATTTCATATGTGGTAAAACGGTATTTTTTAATAGGTTTTGACCCATCCACATATACCATCTGGTTATGACTAACAGTTCGCTGGCTGGAAAATCCCTGAAATAAATGGAGGTTTAGCAAACGCTGGGAAAATCATCTATTTCTATGGGCCATGGCTTCCATGGCTATGTTTGTCACAACCAGATGGTACTTTATGGATTGTTGTTGGGCATTTTGAGTTGTGAACAACTCCTGATTTGTGAAGGGGTAGAAAATGCTAAAAACCAATGAAGCAGTTGATGTGTGGTTATCGTAGGGGGGGGTTCTACCCATGTCACCAGCCATTTCCTCACCATTTTAGCTGCCATTTGGGAAATGTAGAAAACCCACCTCAGGCGCATCAAGACCCATTTCTTTCTCGTTGATCATCAGGTTGTGAAGCGACTATTTCTCGGCCGCAGGACAGAATGGTGACCGGGAGAGGAGCATGGTGTTTTTCCGGGTATATATTGCGGATTTTTCGTGGGGATATGTGACCGGATATATAGCCAACAATAACCATGTGATTATGGCGGCAATTTAAATCGGGAAAGTTATAATTCATCATCAAGTTTTGGGATGCCTATTTCAGCGAACCTATAGTATATCAATATATCTACCTTCGAAAGTGGGCATGGGGTGGGTTTGACATGAATGAAATATTCTTTAGCGTAACTATCATATTCGAGGAAGACACAGCCTTTTTTTTGCAGTTTTGCAGTGAGAAAGTAGGCTTTTTGTGGGTGTAATGTTCCCTGAATCAGTAGTGGATGGCAATGTTTTTTTTTCCCACGGGCAGAGGGAATTGGTGCTAAAGTTATCAGGAGTGAACGTATTTATTTAGTTTATATTTGGATCATGGACACATCAACAACCATTGTTGGTTATTTGGGCGTTTGTACAGTTTATCGAATCACATTTGTACAGACTGAAAGTGGAAATTTGGCACCCACCAGATACCGGGTTTTCATCCCCAGATGTCGTGGGCAGGCGGTGCTAGCACAACTTGTACATGGGGGCAGTGCCCTGATGCTAGCCTTTGATACAACTTTAGCCGAATTGGATGGTACACCCAGCCATGCTTGAGATCGAAGGGAGAGGGGTCGGCAGGGTCCAACAGGTTGAGTTTCTGAAAAATCCATTGGATTTTTAGTCTGGATTTTTAGTCTGATCATGTACTGATCCTTTCTGAAATTGAATTTTGTGGTGCCCACAGGTGGTCGAAACACATCCTTTATCTTGCAATGCGTGGTGTCCTCTCTCTTCTGTTGAAACCTCGCCAGGTTTGAGTTATGGAACGGAGCTGAATTGCTCCAACGTTTTTCCCCCAACGACTGCCGCCAACTCAGGGAGTGTGGTGCTGGGAGTCACTCAAGTGTAGCTGCAACATGAGAAAAGGTTGATGCTGATTATCATATAATATCATATAATAATATTATGAAAACATCCAGTTCAAGAACCATGCCAAGTCAATCTGGTGTTCCGCGCACACTTTTGGGCAGGATTATATGGATTATGGCAATGGTCCCGCATGGCCCAGGCACATTCCAGCTCAAAACAGCAAGTTCAAGGTTCACTCCCTTTGTCCTAATACATCCATATACATCCTAATACTATACAGTGATCTTCCAAATCTCATCATAGATGTTTCGTGTTCTTGGCCTTCCAAATCATCAGCTTCCAAATGCTCAAGTGCGTTCAAATAGATTCTCTGGACCACATTTCCAGGTTTTGAACTACCGTGGTGAGGTAGCAGAACTTGGGGACGAAGCACTTTGCCTTCAGGGCCAGAACCTTAGATCTTCCAACGTGCCTGGAAGTTGGGGGTCCCGACTTGCACAACATGGCAGTGATGGCAGGTGATGGTGGAAGATGATGGTAAAACTATCACAACTGGTTGGTCGTGACTGGAACATTTGGATTGTTTTTCTATATTAATTGGGAATTTCATCATCCCAACTGACGAACTCGCATATTTTTCAGAGGGGTAGGTCAACCATCAACCAGTCATAATTAACCATCATTAACCACTATTAACCACTATTAACCATATGGATAGGTCAACCACCAACCAGACAATGTTGGTATCATTTTCGTAAGATGCTCGCTTTGGTAGCTTTCGATCGCTAAGATGCTCGCTGCTCACCTGGTGCTCCCCCGCCTTGGTCATCATCCTTTCTACGGGGCCTTCTAAAACTTTGTCCAAGTAGTGTACATTTAATCTTACTGGTGCTAAACGCAGGGAATTTTCGGGAATGATCCACTGGCTAACTATCAATAATCATCCCAGCAACCCCCAGCAACCCCCAGCAACCCCCAGCAACCCATCCATTCCCTACGTAAAACGCACCAGTAAGTAATATATGGAATCCCCAAAAAAGTGGCCATATCCTCTTTCGGAGAAACATCACCTACCATAGAATCATGCTGTCTTGATGGCCCAACTCCTCATATATTACAATCCAAATACCCACCATTCACCCCAAGAATTCGCCCCATTTCGGCTGGTTTTCAATGTCTGATTGCTGTTGATGAAATGCAAAAAAATCACCATGTTTTTTGCTAAGATCAACTCCTGATTCCTGGGCACATGAAAATCTCATACTTTTTTGTACCATGTTTAAAAAAAAAAAACAGCCAAATTTTCCCACATGATTTTATCATGGTAAAACAGCCATTTCTCAATATTTCTGGGTAATTATATTATAACGACCTCACTGCGACCTCACTGGAATCATGGTTAATAAGGGAAATCATCCCCACATGGCCTTAATTCAGGTTGGTGAATTATTGTAATTTACCCAGATATTTCTCTGGTAGAATGGCCTCTGGTATTGGAAAATCCCATCCTTCGATGGCTTTGAGAAAAAGCCCAGGAGAGTTCAGGGATTTCTCAGCCAGACTTCCTTTGTAAAGTCCACTGAAATCCACCTATTTTCCCGTATCACAAAGTAAAACAAAGTGCTAAGTAATGTTAAACATCCATGTTCCATGATTTTCCATGATTTTCCATCATGGTCCATCATTTTCCATCATGTTCCATGATTTTCCATGATTTTCCATAATTTTCCCCACTGAAAACCAGCATTTTGGGATATGTTTTGGTTGTTCACCCACCATTTCTTGGCCGTTCACGTCATTCACCAAGGCTCTCCGCGGCACATCGTGGTGCGCCTGGGCTTTGGCGCATCGCTGGGAACCGCCTCCACGGCTGTCTTCGTGCTGGTGCGGAACCGCGGTGTTACCGAAAATGGATGGACAATGGAGGGTTTAACAATAGGTTTAATCCATGGAACTTAGGTTTATAAACCCATAAACTATAAGCTATTCTGGTTTATAAAGTTTAACAATAGGTTTTAATGGACAATGAGAGGTTTACCCTCTGGCAATGACTGTTACATAGCTATTGAAGCCATGGCCCTAATCGAAATAGTTGATTTACCGAACTTAAAAATTCTGATGTTCCATAGCTATGTTAGTTTACCAGAGGTTTAACATAGGTTTAAGTCGCAGAAATTGAGGTCTAACATGGTCTAACTAGGTCTAAAAAATATGGGAAGATGGAGGTGTTGAATGAGCGAAAATAGAGGGTTTAGTTTAGCTAGCCAGATTGAGATTTCACTGGCAAAAATGAATGTTTTATGCATTGAACATCGATACTTTACTTGAAGATCATGATGATTCTTGGAGCATTGACCATGTATGTTTTGCAGAAAACAGACCCGAAGTGGTCACCATATTCCTGGGGAACCCTGCGCCAAATGGGGAATCACTCACATCTCAAATCATCTCTTAAATCCATTTGCAGATGACTTGCAGATGATTTGCCCATGATTTGCAGATGATTTGCAGATAGTTTTTCCTTTTCAAAGTGAAAACTCAGAAGTTTAGGCTTCAGTTCGAAGGTTTGTGAACTAGTTTAGCTGCAGGATGCGGCGCGGCAATACCAGCAGATCGATGTGCCCATCGAGGTGTGCCATGGGTCGGGAGGTTGGATTTCAATCTCGAAACCGTGGGGATGGGATTGGATGGGATGGGATGGGTAGTTGGTTAGTTAGTTAGTTCAATGTTATTTAAAGGTAAATTATACACGAAGTAGTATTACGGATAGTTGCAAAGAATGATAAAAAGGAGACATGATAAAAAGGGATGGATTGCACTCCAATACAATAAACACATATATGCAGTTATGCAATCGTTGTAACGAAGGAAGGTTTGTTGTGGTTATTGTTCCCAGAATCATTCCCAGAATGTCATCACATGTCATCACCATGATTCTGCAACCTGCCACTCATTGATGTGATAACGACATTAGTGGCCGATGTCACTTAACGAATGATGACTAGTAGGGGCAATCAGGCTATCATCTCCAAAAAAACAAACAGTTCACAGCAAGAGAATAAAGAACATTGTCTTCCAGACCCATTTTTGGAGGAATCAAGCCAAAAATCACTATGAATCACTATGAATCACTATAATCAGTGATGTTTGTTTCAGTTGCGATGGCTGAATATGTTCCATGTTGTTTCTTTGAGTTGCGGACATGTTGAAGTTTTTCAGCTCTCACTGCTCATGTTCATTCTCAAGAAATCGGATGGTTCTTCAATATCTTGAGGTTGGTTCTTCAACCTTCCTTATGCTGGATTCGTTTGCTCTTGACTGCAGACTGTCATGGTTCAGTGATTCAAATAGCTTGTCTCTCAACCAAAAAAAAATGCATATAAATATTCTCCCAAGTGACTCACTCCCCAATGATTCATGGTGATTTTTTCGTGGGTTGGCCCATGGTGCAGGTGAGTCGTCCTTTCGAATTTCCCTCGCAGCGGCTCTTTCTGGGACCTGTCGGGAGCCAGGGGGAGTGGTCCCGTGGCAGTCCCGTGGTCCAGTGGTGTTTCTGGTTGGATGGTGATTTCACTGTCAAATCGCCATGAATTTCATTTAAATGTCATTTGCCTAAGCTTTCAGTGTTTTGATGTTCCAACTCTCTTTAAAGGTTGGTAAATGGAGGGTGAAGGGTGGGGTGACTTGACTTGAATGTCTTGTTCCGGTTGATGTCACGGGTCAAGCTTTAAAGCCCATTTGCAACTTCCCATGTCTCTCATGCGTTGTATACTCTAGGTCAATCTTACATGGATACTTTAATCCTTTAGTCTTTTGGTATTAATGGGAATATCTACTAACCAGCAAAGAATTTATTTTGTTGCAGGGTATCTAAGATTGGCAATGTACTAATCACATCTAATCACATCTAATCACCAAATCCTGGCACATCAACAGTCATTAACCATGATATTGCCAATATTGACATCTTGGGGGTAAACAAAAGATCACATATCATGAACCATCATTAGCCATCATGAACTATCATTAACCATCATTAACCATCATTAACCATATATATATAATATATATATATATATATAAACCATATATAAACCATATATAAACCATATATAAACCATATATTAGCCATATATTGGCCATCTCTGTTTGGTCAGTCCTTGCCTGAAAACACCAGGCCTTGGGAGAGACCTGGAACTTCCAGCAGCCGCAAGTGGTCCTGTGGGGCACCCGGGGACCGGAACGTGGATTAATATATGGTTAATATATGGTTATTGATGGTTATTGATGGTTAATGATAAGTCATGTGAAAATGACAACAATTGGGTTATGTTATGTCAGTTATGTCAGTTATGTGATGTTTCCCTGAAAGTGATACACAAAAAAAAACTGGCAGAATGAGTCATGCAGATTTCTGTTTTTGTTGTGCATATACTGTATATATATATGTTAACACTGCTGAATTGTTACATGATTCTACTGTGGCATCTACTTTCCAAGGGATCCCAAGGGTCCTTTCAACCAGCTGATTCTTTGCAGCTTGACCTAGACAGTAGATACCATTAGATACCCATGTTTTTGGGGACAGCGAACATATACTTTATGTTTTTGTTTTACAGTATTTTTCACAGTTGCCTGATAAAAAAAGACACCATCATCATCATTATCATGGAAAAAACAACCATCACCATCATTTGTATCATTTTGGAGGTGTTTTGAATCCAACTTTCCTCCCAAAATCAGATGACCTCCAGGCGAAAAAACTCCCCACGGCTGAGGCGTGGGCCCAGCATCTGGGGTCAGTGCGGCGATCTTCATCTGGACGGTTCCTTTTCGTTGGGCTCTGGTGGTCGGTCAGGGGGACCCAGGGTGACCCAGGGTGACCCCGGACGGGATCCAAATTGAGGATGAAAAATGGGATGGAAGTGGATGATCTATGGTGGAATTTCTGGGTGATTTTGGTTGTTTAATGTTGGATGGCAAATATCTTTCTTGGTGGTTGAAATTGGCAATTTCTTGATGGAATGCGGAATGCTACAGGTTTTTTTCTGGGTGGCTCTTGTAAATGGTGAATCATCAAGAATACCCTCTGGTAAACGTTTACATAACTATGGAAAATAACAATTTTTAATAAGAAAACTCACTATAAATGGCCATTTTCAATAGCTATGTTAGTCATTACCAGAGGGTAAAATGCAGCGCAATGGGATTTCGATTTTTCTGGAAATTGACCCAAGACTAGATGAAATCATCGCAATTGTTGCATCAATGATCCATCTATTTGGGAGGTAAGAAATCACATATGTTTTTGGTGTTTTGGGATGTTTATCCAAGTTAGGGCGCACATCGAAAAACTCTCATATTCTTTCTCTCCCAGTGATTATCCAAATTGTTGTGGAACAAAATCTTGCATGTGTGATTTTGTCTCGCAATTATCTCCCATGTGTTGGGTGAAGACTCAGTATCGTTCGTGGGTAAATACATGTGAAGATTCATATAAATACAAGACTCAAAGTTCGTGCGAAAATACATGTCAATACATTCATTATATATATATATATGTCATTATATATATATATTAGATCTATATATCATGTTGACATATATATATATATAATGATAATTACAATGCATATCCCGAATCGCATGGAGATCGCCTCGGCCATCTGAGGCCCTGGAAGCTGATTCGTTGGCGCTGCAGCGGAGATGGATCCCACTGTGCCAAGGTGCCATAAAGCTATCAGGGGATGGCTTTTTCCCACCTATTGATGATCATTTATGGAGATGATAAGGAAAAACATGGGATAGAAAGGGGATATATATATATAATGATATATATGTAATTATGTATGTATATACATATTGTATATGATATATGATATTATACATATATATATATACAATGGAATATTCATGGGATCTATATGAAATTTTCAGGTGGAAATTACAATGCAAATGGAAATACTGAAATACTTGGCAAATCCGGACTGCCTACTTTGGTCACTACTCCAGGGTTCTAGTATGCGGATCCACAATTTATGACATGGGACATGTTGATGTTGGACAGTTTTGTGAATGTTCATTCAAAGTCTGCACTTGGGGGAAGTTCATCATTTTGGCCGTTGTTTCTGGCATATTTCTATCATCAGACAATCACAGCTGTATATCCTGCCACATTGTGCAGAAGCTGTGTACTTGCCAGAATGGGTTGGAATTGTCGGGGGAAACCCCCTTTTTTTTCATCATCAAACGAACGATTGGAAACACATGATACAATTACCCTCTGGTAAACTAACATAGCTATGGAAAGATCCACCATTTTTAATGGGTAAATCCACTCTTTCTATGGCAATTTTCAATAGCTATGTTAGTTTACCAGAGGGTATATCATATTAAATCCCATTCAACCACCATAAAATCCCATTAAAACCCAATCCATTGAGTACTCCTCAGTTTTTTCAACATCCACCTTGCAGATTCTCTCCTACCTGCCCAACAGCTGTAACCAGCTCACGCGTGGCGTCCCAGTGCAGCCTCTGCACAAACAAATTCAGACTGATTGGGAGATATGGACAGGGCTACCATGCAGTGAACATGTCCAAAAAGATTAATAGTGATTAATAGTGATTAATAGTGATTTTATGGGATTTTATGGTGGTTTAATGGGATTTAATATGATATACCCTCTGGTAAGCTAACATAGCTATTGAAAATGGCCATTTATAGTGGATTTTGCCATGAAAAATGGTTTTTCCATTGTATTGGTATCTATATATTGGTAGATCTATAAATAGTTGTTTGGATGTGGGTAAATATACAAATATATACAATGAAAAAGAAATATCCACAAGACCACAACTTCGCTGAAACGTTTGACAATTCGTCAGCAGAACATTGTGACCTCTGGGTCGATTTTTCTCAGCAGGAGAGAATGTCATCTTTGATCAAAATAGAACCCGTCACTGCGGGCTATGATTCTCATACTCATAGTTTGTTGCTTAAAAGTCCATGTTGCATAATTTTGCTTCATAAGACATGCTGCAAATGCCATTAAGTTCTTCCTCCAATGCACCATATTATATATATATATATGTTTCTTGCTCATATATGTTGATCTAAAATTTCACTTATCTTCAAGTATAAAAAACCAGCATTTTACCATACCTGTGGACAAATCACCATTTTTTATGGGTAAATCCACTATAAATCACCATTTTCAATGGATAAATCCACTATAAATCACCATTTCAATGGATAAATCCACTATAAATCACCATTTCAATGGATAAATCCACTATAATCCACTATTTCTATGGCCATTTTCAATAGCAGCATGGGAAAAGTCCTGCCCAACGGAGGTTGGGCCTGGATACTGCTGGCCTGGCCGTGGGCTCGGTGCCGTGCGGCTTGCGCGCCACGATCCCGGAGGTGCCGTTTTTTGACCGACCCACGCAGGTATGGCATGGCATGGCAGGTCTCGGGTAACTTATGGTGATTTAATGGTGATTTTAATGGGATTTATGGTGGTTTTTGGTGATTTATGATGATTTAATGTGATTTAATGATGATTTAATGGGATTTAATGGGATTTAATGATGATTTAATGGGATTTAGTGATGAATCAATGGTGATTTAATGGGGATTTAATGGTGATTTTCCATGGGATGTATGGTGGTTGAATGGAATCGAATGGGATTGACCTGGCCTGGTTATGACTGTTACAGTTCGCCATGGTTAAGCCATGGCCCAATGATTTATAGATGGTTTACCTATGAAAAATGGTGATTTTCCATGGCGAAGTGTTAAATAACAAGATGGTATCTCAAGTTACTTGACTTTGATTGTGAAGATTTTGGTGTAGATAGATATTATGCTAAAGTGCAACTTGATCGCAAAGATCCTGAAACTTGTTGAGGGAAATGTGCCAAGAGGTGAAGGACATCGGCTAAAACATGAGAAACCATGGTGGAAACAGGCTGATGACATCATGCAGGTGCCACTTCACACCTGCCTGGTGGGGTCACAAAAGTCTAGAAGATGATTAAACATGGAGAGACTCATCCAAAGCCATGCATAAGTTGGATCATATCTCGTGACTCAGTCTGTGGCGATCGAATTGACCATGGCCCTGGCGAACTTAAATGTCGGTGCCTCAACGCGGGGTTTTTCACGGAGTGGTGCCTCAACACATCTGGCCCTAAATTTCGCATGGAAGATCAATTGGATGGTGTCTATTTTATGAATCGTTTTCCTATAAAGCGATATGGGTATGGATCAATACCTATTAATACCATTTTTAGTGGGATGAACATCCATTTACCAGCTATTTTGATGTTCACCAGGGGTACAAGGTTTTGACACACTGCCATATGGCAGTTTTTTTAGATAGTTTGTTGGGTATCATCCGATGGAAACCAGCGGTGAGTCAGATGTGAACCATCCTGACTTTCCTGACCATGACACTATGACTATGACCATCTGATAATATGATTTAATATGCTGGCATGGTATGAGTCAGGTATGAGTCAGATACTATGACTCATGACTATTATTCTGTTGGCTTCAAAGTCTCTGAAAAAACCAAGGATAGTGTGATAGTGTGATGAATTTTCTTCGGACATTTGTCCCCTCTTCGGTTAAGGTGTGTTCTTCTTCACTCTTATTTGCTGGAATTCTCTGCAAACATCTGCAAACTATGGAAACAAAAACTTCATAACCCATAAGACACTGTGGAAAACCCATTATGGCCCATAACTCATAACCCATAGCAGTGTCTTATGGAAACAAAAACTTCAATCCCACAGCTCAAAAGCCTCATTTTTCCCATAAGACACTGCCACACTGCCTGGGCCCTTGGGCGACCAACCCATCCATGGCAGAGTTTCCCCAGCTTCTCAGGTCTACCTGAAGCTTGAAAACGTCTTGGGTCAGTGGGACGAGGTGGGAAAACGATGTCAAGTCATCGATGTCGATGTTTTTTCGAGGGTTACCCCCAGTTTTTGCCCGGAATTCCCATGTCTTAGTTGCATATTGTCACATAGATGTCACATGTTATATGATTTTATCATATTTTATCACCCATTGTGAGGCGAATCCCGCCTTCGCAACAGAGGCGAATTTCTCAAAGAGTTACCTCAAACCTCGATGTCTTTAGAGCCGTGAAATCGCACCAAAATGCCGCATTTTTTCGCGAATGGCTTTGTCTGAACAGGTATACACACCAAGAATGATCATGGTCATAGGGAAATTCAGGCGATAAACCAGCATAAGCCAATGAATGAAATGTAAATTGGTAAATTCCAAAAAATGTGTTTGAAGAACAAAAAGAAGGGTGGTTGTTCACATCATGGTCAATTCATGACCAAATATTCAGAGGGGGCATGTTCCCATGTATGTTCCATATGTCCCATGAGAAATACGGTGATGGTCCATGATGTTCATGGTCAATATTTACAAACCCTTTCTATCATGATCCATATATTTACCACTAGTAGTCCTGTGGATATTGACATATCAATATACAAGCCTTACTATCCTTTTCTATCATCCTAATTATTTGGTTGGTGGTTTGGAACATTTTTTCATTTTCCATCATATTTGGGAAGAATCCTTCCCAACTGACGAGCATATTTTTCAAGATTGTTAAAATGAATCCACCAACCAGTTTTTCTATCATAGTCAATATTGACATATCAATATACAAACCTTACTTTCCAGATATCATATATCATCCTAATTATTCTATTCTATCGTCAATAGTAATAGTCATCCACCACTATATCCACATATCATCTCCAATCACCATTGCATACAATGTGAGGCCCCCCAGTGATGTGAACGTTGGTTTAGATTCGCCCCAGTAACTAGTTCGTTATTTGCATACCATAAACCATAGTGAAATTGGAGTTATAAACCATAGTTATAAACCCAAGATAGCTAAGTTGGTTTATAAGCCCCAGTAACTATAGTTATAAGTACCATAAACCATAGTGAAATTGGAGTTATAAACCCACCAACTGAACGCGATTTCGTACGGCCGGGGACCTCACATTGTAGTAGGGTCATCCCATCACCCATGCCCCCGTGCCGAGCAGGGCATGCACGGCATCAGCTTCACCACCAGTCGCGTTCCCGACGCCGTGGCGTTGACGAATCGCCAAGTGCTGGTGGATCAGGGCAGCAGCATCAGGCGCTGAGCTGGGATGGAAAGGGGGGATGGAGATGTGGTTGGTTAATGTTGGTTAAACCAGGGTTAAACCATGGTGAAACCATGGTTAAACCATGGTTAAACCAGGGTTAAACCAGGGTTAGACCATGGTGAAACCATGGTTAGACCCCCAAAAAAGACGGGTTGATGGGAGTTGATCGCCAATAATCGCCACAAAAAGTGCTGAAAAATGGATGAATCTAAGATACACATGACTTACAATGCCAACAGAATATGGAGGGTTGATAGATAACAATATCGAAAATCAACAGAATTAATCTAAGAATTAAACTTGATAGCCAGTAGATTTGACTCCATCTGACTCCATCTACTACTAACCATATAATTCAGTATACCAACATATTTGGATAATCTTGGGAAATTTTCAGAGACGCGGCTCAGAGCCGTCGTCCCGCGGAGATTTGGTAGGAAAGTTGGTCAATTTTTTGGAACGGTCCACGATGGTTTTGTTTCAAAAGACATGGTTTCTCCACTGGATTTTTTTTTTCCAAATGCTTCAAAGTCACAATATCCACATATCATCATATATCCACATGATTATTTTCATGAGTCACATGAAAATCAGTTTTTTCCATATGTTTCTCACCATTTTGGTCCACATTTTGCCAACAAAAAGTTCCCCATGTCCCCCGAGTTCCTGAGCTCCGCCGTTGAAAGGTTGGAGTTGTCGGTGGGACCAGCACTACCCGTCCGGAGCTTTATGCTGGACTTTATGAAAACGGTGGTAACATGGCTATGGATCAATACCTATACATACCATTTTTAGGGGAATGAACATCCATAAATCCCAGCTATTTTGATGTGAACTACAGGGGTTTTCCAGGTTTTGACCCATCCCCACATGGGGATAGAAGCTGATATATGGGGATAAATGGTGATAAAATGGGGATAAATGGGGATAGATAGGATGGGAAATGATGGGAAATATCCATTTCTCATGTTACCATGTTACCACCATTCCCATCAATACACAAAAAACACTATTTGTACACCATATGACATTTGATGATATTTGGGTGTGTCCTTAAAAATCCTTGGGATATTCAAAAGTTGCCGTGTGTTGTGATGTTGCAATGCACCGTGATTTTTTTCAGGTGGAATCGGCATGATGTGACCTATAAATGATCTGCTTGCCTTTATTAATACAAACTTCCAAACCAAACCAATTCAAACAGAGGCAACATGCATACATATTTCTAGATGTACCAATCATATACAATCATCATATTATATATATATAGAGAGAGAGCAAGTTTTTCGGCATATTTCAGCATCCACAAAAACAGTCATAAGAAACACACCGCCGAGGTTGCTTCCTTGGGCGCCGGCAGTTCGTTGGGCGGCCCATGGCCCATGGGGACTTCAGCGCTGGTAGGGTAACAAAAACCCATCAGCCAGTAGGCTAATTAGTTGATGGTTGGAAAAACCATATCTAAAAATAGTGAGCTGGTGAAATATGGTGAATATTCCATAGGGTGATGAAAAAATGTGAATATTTCCCACTCGTTTATTCTGTTAGTTGATGGGCTCAAACTTCATGGTGATTCTGATCAGTCACAAGCCGGGAGTCCACTGGCCAGCTGCAGCTGTGACATGTGTGGGGAGTGAACGACATGATTCGGTGATCCAGTGATTTTCAAAGCAGCTTGAGAAAAACCATGTGAAGATATGTGAAGATGAATTGGCCAACCAACAATAGCCTATCTTTTGCATGATTGTAGCATCGAATCTATACCATACCCCCAAATGGCTAACAGAGATATGGAAAACCAACTGTTCATCCAAAATTGACATACACCCAATGTTTGGTGGTTAAATCCTGCTAAATCTCTTTTTTCGCCAACTATTAGCCACGTTAGAATATCGATATAGAGAGCTCACCATTTTTTGATGTTTAATCATCTCATCATCCCACATGTATAAATCAATCAATATGTCTGTATATATATATATATTATATGGCAACATGGTTTGGTGGTGTCCCCTGTTCCCAGCATCTCGAGGTGTGGAGCCTTGGGTCCTGTGTCTCTAGAGTGGCGCTATGGTGACAAGCTCAGCGGGTGGCGGCGTGCCTTTGGAGACTTCGACTGAAGTTATAGGTGTGTTATGCTCTCAAACATATTACTTAATCGGGGATCTTCATAATACATATATATATATACATACACATATATCTATATCTTATATACATATATTCGATATCATATAGATCATGAAAATTTGGTATTAACTTGTCAACTAACCCAGATATGGGAATACAGTGGATGTTTCATGCTTAGTGCCTTCAAAAAGGCTATTGTACTTGTTCAATGGGGACTATGCTAGTTGGTGCCGTTCTAGTGCTTCTAGTGGTTCAAAGATGTTCAAAGATGTTCAGCTGGACGGTATCGGACGTTGGTGAGTAGCCAGTGATATGAACTGAGACATGGATAACTTCCACCGAAAATCGCTGAGTCAGACCCCAGTTATTCATGATGGACCGGTCCAACATCCCAGGGTTTCACTTACCACCATCCCAATAGCCTGCCATCAATGGGTCGACACGGTCGACACGTTTCATTGGTTGATCGAGGCTACGTTTCGAGGCTACCCAGATTTCTGTGCACAAACTCCCAATCTCTCGAAGGCTTAGATCATATACCCTCCATATATGTCAACCATCATTTTTATCCTCAGATGTTGGAACCCCAAAAACCAAACCTCAAACAGTGAGGATCTTTGGAGATGGAAATATCCAGATGTTTCAGAAAACAGACCTCGATGTCATATCAGTTAAACCATGAAAACTCAGTATTTTCTATATACCATCTGGTTATGACTGTTACAGTTCGCCATGGAACATCACCATTTTCAAGAACGGTAAACCATCTATTTCTATGGGCCATCTATACCATGGCTATGTAACAAATAACCAGAGAGTATACAATTCTTATATATGATCATCAGAGTTGGGCAGTTTTCTTGGTCCCAAATTTCCATAGTTTTTTCCATCGTTTTTTGTACACGTTTACCAGGCCGGGTAGAGTTTCCATTTTCCATGACAACTGATGGATCTTTTTGTTTCGTCCAAGCCTCTCAGGCGCTGGCACTGTGGCGGACGCCTCTCAGGCACAGATTAGGGGAGGAAGTCATCCCCAAGTGGCCAAACTAATCTAGGGAAGGATTACCCGGCCTGGTAAACGTTTACAAAAAACGAACTGGAAAGATTCACCATGTTATTTTTTATAGCTGGGTAAATCAACTATTTCGACTGGGCCATGGCTTATTGGGTTCGCAAACTGTGAATGTCATCGAACTCTCCCAGACAGCTGATGAAAATCAGATGGAATCTTCATGGCCAAGTTAGATGGGTATGTTTTTTGTTTTTGGCCTGGCCTGGTTTTTCTTGTTGAACAACCCAACCTATATGAAAATATCCCCAACTGGTTTCATGAATTCACCAATCAACCATCCATAGGTCTTCATGGCTTAAGTTGTTGATTGGTGTTTTTTGTTGGGATTTGTCCAAACAGTTTCATGGCTTAAATGACTGACCCGGGTCCCATATTTGTCCAGTCCATTCTGGAAAAAACGCGATGTCTTTTGACACATTGCAAAATCTCAGGCTGGTCTGATAATTCCAAATAATATGGTGATTTTTTGTTGATGGAAGAAATCCTGCACCACCAATTTGGGATGTTTGAAACCCTGTAAATAATGGGATAAACCACCGTTTTCAACTGGTGCTTCGGATTTCGCAATCATCCACAGTAGCAAATCCGATCTTTCCATGTTTTTTTTTGCTGGTTTTGGACATGCTCTGTCCCATCCGGAAATTGGAAACTTACTAACTATGCCTCTCCATATTCCCTATTGAATGTGGAGCTAGGGAGCTAAGAATTCAGTTTCCCAACCACATGATTTTCAGGGTCAACCAAATGGGGATGGGTCAAAACCCTATCCCCCTGGTGAACATCAAAATAGCTGGTAAATGGATGTTCATCCCCCTAAAAATGGTATGTATAGGTATTGATCCATAGCCAAATGATTAAATTTTCAGTCTCTCTATTTCATCCATGGTTTCATCGCGTTTCTTCCATCCCAAATTTATCAGTTGAACAAAAAATCCAAGTGTGTAATGTGCGCCCACAAAATGCCTTGAATTATCCAAAATTGAAGAAACACGTGGGTCAAAACAGACCCAGAGAGATCTTTTTGACAGATGTTGGTTCAATACATTAAATGACCCATTATGATCCCATTACAACCATCTCTTGTTGGTTCATACAGACCATAACAGATTCAAATAGACAATGTATGACATTCTATATCCATCAACATATTTATATGGCAGTGGGTCAAAACCTTGTACCCCTGTAGTTCACATCAAAATAGCTGGGATTTATGGATGTTCATCCCACTAAAAATGGTATTAATAGGTATTGATCCATACCCATATATATTTATATGGCAATTAAATCAAAAATTCCATCGGTTCAACGGGTTCTAAGATGTGGCTTCAACACCCATAGGATCCATGGTGCTGCTATATATTGTGTGCCATGGATCCCATCAATATACCCCCTTTATGTTAGCATATATACCAGCACCATGGATCCTATGGGACATGCTTCAAGCACTGAAGCACCACCCCCCATGGTTTCGGTCTCAGGCCTGGTCTGAGATGAGCTCCACCCCCGCCTCGCTGATTGCCACGCTGGATGCCAAGACCGCCCTTCTGGAGGTCGTGTTGGGAATGGCGGGACGTGGAACGAACGGCTTAACCTGGAAAAATGGTGGTTAAACCATGGTTAAACCATGGTGACTCTTGCGAAAATGGGCTGGGTATGGCTGGGTCTAAGCTATTTTTATGGAAATTGGTGCTGGTCATCAGCAACCATAATTGAACATTGAGATGTAAGACTAGGAACACACTATGATTCAAATCACTTAAATTGGGATTAAACCAAGAATTTGATTTGGTCATGAGCACTAGAGGTTTAGCCATCAAAAGTGGTGACTAATCAAGGGGAAGAGTGTTCAAGCACCCACGGATGTACCTATTTTCTCACTGGTTGGATTCAAACATTTAGTGGATGTGTTTAGCCTCAAAATGGTACCGTATCGGATGTATACTTACCGTACCCGCGCTTTATCGCTCACATCAGCTCAGGCTCACTCTACACGTGTGGTTTTGTTGGTGATATACCGCATTCTACATGTCAAGTCAATCAAGCAACTCCAAATTGTCTTCTCTTTAAACCCAACTTTGATGCAATCCTATTCTTGGTTGTACCAAAAATTTCCTCAGTCTATAGCCATCAGAAACCATGTGGCTGTTTCTATGGGAGATCTCCAAATCACCATGGTTGCAATGGTTACAATGGTTGTTTCAATGAGTCATGATATGAATATTGTGTGTCTTGCCTAATACCAGTAACAGTAGCACGAAGTATAGCACCAAAAAATGCACGATAAAAATGGCTCAAAATAGACTATCCCTGCCAGAAGGTGCGCCCCTTTTTATCTACCAATGAATAACTCTAGCTCAGTAACCGCGTGACCTGGCAGAGCAAGTTGAGATCAGCAATAAAAAATGACATGGGGGTGTGCAACAAACTAAGCAGTGGTGGGGCTGAAGTGAAGAAATGTCGCTCATGCAATCACACATTTAGTGCTGTCACCTGGGAAGATCGTTCAGGCAACATTTTTTCCACTCTGGTTGCCCGCTGGGCTGTGAGAGAAGTTTGCACACAGCATGCCATCTTTCAAGATACCAAGATACAACATACAGTCAACAGGCTGACCGAAACTGGCTCATTGGAAGTACATTGGTCTGGTCTGGTGATAGATTTGACTTAGGGAACAAGCGGTATCAAGCAATAGGCATGCAGGTGCATTGGGCACGATCTGGATATTCAGAATATTGTCATCCATGACGACTGGATGATTTGGGGTACCCCTATTGACATAACATATAACATAACGAACTGGAAAGATCCACCATTTTATAGCTGGGAAAATCAACTATTTCGACTGGGCCATTTTCAGTAGCTATGTTAGTTTCTATGGCCATTTCTATACCCATTTAAAATGGTGATTTACCCATTAAACATGGTGATTTTCCGGTTCGCTTTTTGTATGTTTACCAGGCCGGGTAGCCGTCGACACAACGGAAAGCTCCGGATGTCGCAGGGATTCCTGGGCTCCATGGACGTGCCCGGCAACAACTGGACCGTGGTGGCGCGCTGGGCACCTGGAGGGTTGACATCTTGACCAAATGGGATTCCAAGTGGATTCCAAATGGGATTCCAAATGGGATTCCAAGTGGATTCCCAGTTTTTGAACCTAAGATCCAGCACTTTTGACTGTCCCTTCTTGTTCGACCCCATTTTGTCGCTTCCCCACGAGCTCCAGCGCTCAGGTGTCTTTCACACGGCAGGGGGAGAGTCGGTCTATGTGCCCTTTTTTTTGGCTGTGAGGCGCCGCAGAAATTGGTGGGTCATGGGATGATCTAAAAACTGATTTCGGACATGTGGTTTTTAGATATGGTAAAACCATATGGTAAAACCAAGATTTTATCCAATTTTATCCAACCCAGTCTCAGAATCAACATTTGTTAAATCATTTTAGGAACAGTTAAACTGGCTGCTCTGATTTCGTTCGTTCCTTTTTGCTTGGATCCCGTTGCGGGCCAGGCCCCAGCCTCCTTCCATCAGTCTGGACGTTGGCACCTCAGTGGGCCTGCGATGCTGTGCCAACGGTTCCCAAAAACACTGACTGAGATGATATTTGAATATTACCCTCTGGTAAATTAGCATAGACCCTGAAAATAGCCTAGTCTTAATGGAAACTAATCTTCCAACCCCTATCTGCCAGGGTCTATGTTAATGTACCATAGGGTAAGATTATTCAGGGTTGATTGGATTTCAAGACTCCCCAATTATATCATCTTCTTCCTTGTTGCGTTTTATGGCATATGGATTCGATCCCCATCATTTTGCTACCAATGTCTGGCCAAACATCGATGCTGAAGTCCTGGCTCATCAATTTCATACTGCATCATACTGTTTGTTTGGGATCTAATACAGATCTTCAGGATGGTATAGTATCATATAGTATAGATGATATTTATATACCGCATATGTATGCATATGTCCAGGTTTCCAACTCTTCTATCTATTTTGGGATTGCAAAAAAACCAGAAACATGAGGTATTTAAGCAACAGATGTCACGAACACAGGGTACAATAGGTCTGGTGCAGACTTACTGCAAAAAGTCGGATGAAATGTGTATTCGGCGTTTCAAAACGATGACGGTAGCACTAAGGTGGCACCTTGCCTGAAAGTTTCCACACTCCAAAATAGACCATGCAATCGAGGATTTGGGGGCTGCCAATTCTTGGACATACCCAAAGTCTTCCCCGACAAATGGCCTGATCATGTCTACTTGAAGCCTATCATGATTGACAAATACTGCAAATTGAGTCCATTCCAGATCTAATTTTTCCATTTGCAAGGCATCTTTTCCACACATAATTTTTCAGATCGTTTTTTTCCATACAGGTCTCTCTTGGCATCTTCAGATCAAACATACTTGCGCAGCTACGGAGGTTTATATCAGGAAACCTGCAAGACAGTGGTGATCGAACATCTCTTCCATTCCAGATCTACCATTTGGTTATTTAACATAGCCATGGTAAGCCATGGCCCATTTATAGATGGTTTACCTGGGTTTACCTATTAAAAATGGTGATTTTCCATGGCAAACTGTTAAATAACCAGATGGTAACATCAGTATATCTCCCAGTGTATCCACTATAAATGGCCATTTTCAATAGCTATGTTAGTTTCTATGGCCATTTCTATACCCATTTAAAATGGTGAGTTTTCCCATGAAAAATTGTTATTTTCCATGGCTATTTTGACATAACCAGAGGGTATGTTTCCCAAAGAACACCACTGCACCGAGGCCCCCACGCAGATCTCCGACCAGTGCAGCTTCTCGGTGGTGGCCAGCAGCAGTTGGAGCGCCTGGATTTTTTTCTCGCGGCGATCCCAAACAAATTGCGGTGAAAAACATGGGAAAACTATGGGGAAGCTATGGGAAAACGATGGGAAAACGATGTTGATAGTTGTTGATCAAGAAAAGCGCTCCGGATTGGGGCTGGCTACGCCAGTTTTGGACAAGTCTAAGACTATGATGAAACGGGAAAGATGATAGTTATCAGCATTTAAGGAGAAAAAACTGAGGATGTAGGTCTAAGAATCCAGGTGCCTTCGATGCATTCCAAACTCAGGCGACCAACATCTATTTCTGATATGGTTGGCTCCCAAGGTTTGCTGTAACCCATAGATTTTACAGTCTGTTTTTTCAAAGTCCAGCCAGTTTGTTGATGGATTTGATGGCCCTTGGTGGATCACATCGCCTAACTTTTTGGTTGAATCAAAATTATGAATACGACTTACAACAAATGTGATTCAACCAAACAGGGATGTGATCTTTGAAGTATTGGATCCTTATCATGTTTTTTAATGGTAGATCTTTCCACGTCTAACAATTTACAACAAATCATGTTTTTTTTATGGTAGATTGTTGATGTTTATGAGTTTATGGTAGATCTTTCCACGCCTACAATAATTATCTTTCCACGATTCGATTCGTTCCGTTGAATCATCTCCGCAGGTGGAGTTTCTGGTGATCCCTACATCACTTGGAGATGTACCTTGGTTGCGATTTCGGAGGAGTGGAGCTATTGCTATTGGAAACATGGAGGTCCCAGGTGAAACTTTGGGATTGTTTATTGTAAGTGATTCAGAAAGTCCATGAAAAACATATGGAGAACTTTATCTAACAATTTTTTATTTACTGTCTAAGACTAAGATACAATTTAAGCAACCAGAAAAAACCCATTGAAATTGCCAAACAAAGAACGACAAAACTGGGGGATACATGGGGAATTGACTAATGAACATATGGAGATCAAACCATTGACAACGTGGAGTCATGAGGCCTGGAGGGATGATGATCTCATGAATAGATAGCCAGATGTTCTTTCTCGCCAGCGTCTCCAGCTTCTTATGGCTGATATTCCTGGGTGAAAATACACTCTGGTAAACTAACATAGCTATTGAAAATGGCTATTTTCAATGGGAAAATCCACTATAACTGGCCATTTTCAATAGCTATGTTAAAATACCAGAGGGTAGATGAAAATGGGACTTCACCCTGGGAAGATCCACTGAAAATGGCACCATCCATTGAGGCGTTTTGATGGACGTGGTGGCGGCCAACAACCAGGAAGCCTCGCTGTGCGCCGCTCGTGCCCTGCAAGAACGTGGCTCTGTGCCCGGAAGCTTAGGAGATTTCGGCTGGGTGCCTGGTTGCCTGTGTGAATGTTCATATTAATACTATTAATATCTATAACTAACCACAACTAACCACAACTAACCATAGCTCACCAAAAACATAACCCAGAAGTAACCATAACTAACCAGAATCTGGTTGGTGGTTTGGAACATGATTTTTATGTTCCCATATATATGGGAATAATACTCCCAACTGACTTTCAATCTTTTCAGAGGGGTAGGTATACCACCAACCAGATTAATATCTATTAATATAAGAAATTGTAGTAAATTTTCTGTGTTTGAACCAAGGTGTCTTGAGGGGATGTTAATATATGTCAATAACTGTTAATATGGTATTTTATTTTTGAAAGTCTCGAGATTCGAGATGTTTGAATCAACTTGTCTTGAGGAATGATTTTACGGCCGGGGCAAACCAGACTGGGTATCCAGGTTATCCAGGCAACAAGAATTGGTGTGTACTTGGTGGATCATCCCACTTAGTAAGTGGGTTATAACCCCAGTTATAAATGGGATAAGTAGGGTTAATCCACTTATAACTGGGGTTATAACCCACTTACTAAGTGGGATGAACCACCAAGTATGGCTGGTTGGTGAGTCCGGAAAAGACAAACAGCTTTCCTTTGTGCGTTTGGAAAGGCAGCCTTCTGGGGTTGGCTGAAACCCCGTTTTCCGGGCTTCCTGATTTGTTCATGATGGGGGAAGGAAAGTCTTGAAGGAAAAATACATATGATACATATATATATATATATATTCACATGCATATATATATATATATATATATAGAGTATGTATATATATAATTTATATAATTGTGAACCGGGTGTTAGTCCCCAGACCACAGGACCCACTCGGACCCGCAGGTTGAGTCTCCCTGCTCTCATTCCTGGGGTTTATCAAATTGAAGCCATCGTCCGCATGCCCAGCGCAGCCATGGGAACCCAGCGAGCCTGCCAAGAGCTGGGGACTGGAAGATTACCATGATTACTTTTCACTAAAAATCATAGGGTTTCATGATGGTTAATGATGGTTATATAATGATGGTTAATGATGGTTAATGATGGTTAATATGGGGTTTCATGATGGTTAATGATGGTTAATGATGGTTAATGATGGTTAATGATGGTTAATGATGGTTAATAATATCTGGTTGGTGACTGGAACCATGGATTTTTATGACTTTCCATATACTGGGAATGTCATCATCCCAACTGACGAACTCATATTTTTCGGAGGGGTAGATATACCACCAACCAGATAGTTGTTTTCAGGGTCAAACTCGGGGAAGGTGTGGGTTGGTTGATTTAAGGTTTAGGATGGGCTTGGGGAAGGTGTTGGGGGATGAATTCGCAAAATTCGGGCACTGATGTGTCTATGGAACTTTCTTAAGATTGAAACACATGCAGGGAACGGAGTTTGAGATCGCTCAATCGTTTAATCCAAACATATGTTTAGTTTAATCCAAACATATGTTTAGATGGATTAAAGAAGATGACATATCTTGTCTATCATAATATGTGATTACCCTCAAATGATGGCTTTGGGTGTTTGATGGATATGAACAGGTGTTTTCTAGAAAATCTTGAGAATGACCTGAGAGACATCCAGAATGACCATCCAATTTGCGAGAACCAAAGCTTCATTTCTTTCCCAACCTCAACATGTGCAAAGGTTTTACATGTTTACCACCCCTTTCTCCCCCCAAAAAAACTGAAGTTTTGAAAAACATACCCATTTTTATATTCCCCCCCCCCAAAAAAAAAACTAAGTATTCACCCAAAAAATATAGTTTCAGTTTTCTATATCTTCTCCCATATATGTGCCTATTCTTCATATAAATATTACCCTCTGGTTATTTAACATAGCCACGAAAAATCCCCAAAATAAATGGATGTTTTTAATAGGTAAACCATCTATTTCTATGGACCATGGCTTCCATGGCGAACTGTAACAGTCATAACCAGGCCGGGTAAATCCCATTAGATTCCATTAAACCACCATAAATCCCATGGAAAATCACCATTAAATCACCATTAAATCCCATTAAATCACCATTAAATCACCATTAAATCACCATTAAATCACCATTAAATCACCATTAAATCACCATAAATCCCATTAAATCACCATTAAATCACCATAAATCCCATTAAATCCCATTAAACCACCATTAAATCACCATTAAATCACCATTAAATCCCATTAAATCACCATTAAATCACCATAAATCCCATTGAATCACCATTAAATCCCATTAAATCACCATTAAATCACCATTAAATCACCATTAAATCACCATTAAATCACCATAAATCCCATTAAATCCCATTAAACCACCATTAAATCACCATTAAATCACCATAAATCCCATTAAATCACCATTAAATCACCATTAAATCACCATTAGATCACCATTAAATCCGATGGAAAATCACCATTAATTCACCATTAAATCACCATTAAATCCCATTAAATCCCTTTAAATCCCATTAAATCCCTTTAAATCCCATTATATAAATCCCATTAAATCCCATTAAATCACCATTAAATCACCATAAATCCCATTAAATCACCATTAAATCACCATTAAATCACCATTAGATCACCATTAAATCCGATGGAAAATCACCATTAATTCACCATTAAATCACCATTAAATCACCATTAAATCCCATTAAATCCCTTTAAATCCCATTAAATCCCATTAAATCCCATTAAATCCCATTAAATCACCATTAAATCACCATAAATCCCATTAAATCACCATTAAATCACCATTAAATCACCATTAGATCACCATTAAATCCGATGGAAAATCACCATTAATTCACCATTAAATCACCATTAAATCACCATTAAATCCCATTAAATCCCATTAAATCACCATTAAATCACCATAAATCACCATTAAATCACCATTAAATCACCATTAGATCACCATTAAATCCGATGGAAAATCACCATTAATTCACCATTAAATCACCATTAAATCACCATTAAATCCCATTAAATCCCATTAAATCACCATTAATTCATCATTAAATCACCACTGGTTGGTGGGTTTTTCCACCAAAAATGTTCTGTGGAAAAACCATCAATCCGCTGAGTTGGATGATCCCTTGAAGCCCATGGATACCATCTTCGTTCACGTGGCCACTGGAGCTGGGCCTGGACACCCAGCCGATAGGCTTAGATAGGCTGCTTGGATAGTACACGTGTATAGATAGTCGCATCCTGACTTATAGTTAGACTTATAGTTTTTCGACTTAGTTAGACTTATAACTTTTTTGACTTAGTTAGACTTATAGTTTTTTCGACTTAGTTAGACTCAGCCAACAGAAAATATGATGTTTGGCGATGTTTTTTGCTAGGGATCTATTGGACCTGAGGTTGGCAATGATCTGATATTTGCTTGGAGGATTGAACTATATTGAACTGCATCAAGTGATGGAACGGGTTGTGATCCATGAGTATCATTTGTAGAGAGGGGGCTATGGACTTCCACTTATGAGCCATGACATATATACGTAATTATATACTACATATATATATATACATAATATGTCGATATATCTTTATAATGTATATGATCCAGACATGGAAATCTGCAGCTTGTCATTTGGCCCTGGCGCCGCAAAGATTCCGTGAATCAGGCCTCGCGTGCAGATCCTTGAGCCGGCGCTACCGCTGCGGCGCTCTGGAGGTGGGATGTGGAGGAGGAAAACATGTGGAAAAGTCTGTTAGTGATATTTTGTGTACCTATATTATATATATCATATATATATAGAGATATCATATATATATATAATATATATATATAGAGATATCATATATATAATATATATATATACTTTTCAGTAAATCATGGAAGAATATGTAAAAAAAAATCCTTGTAAATGGAGGTTTTATTGGGATTTAATGGGGACAAAATGAGATACGAATAGAGATATTCTGATGGAATTTTGCCAGTTGAACCAACTGATGATGTCCCCACCGGTGTCATCAAAGGTGGCTGGCTGGGAAATCCGCGGTAAATGGGGGATTTTCCATTGCCATGTTTGATAAATCCAGGTGATATTTCTGAGAGGATCCATGCAGAATTATTATGATGGAGTTCATTGACAGAAAATCTAAGCGTCTGTGGTTGATTGGATGTTTGGGACGGTTTTGGGAGTATGTTTTCAAGTGGATTTTGGTGTCCAACAGATTTTGGTGGGTTTTTCGACCAAGTACCGTAGCTTGATCCTTCGGATTGAGTTTGCAGCAAGGACATATGAATTCATATGAGAGCATTGATACCCTCTGGTAAACTAACATAACTATTGAAAACACCATTTTTAACGGGAAAATCCACTATTTCGACTGGGCCATTTTCAATAGCTTTTTGTATGTTTACCAGGCCGGGTATCACCTACCCGCTTTTGTGATGTGAAATCCTTCTTTCCGGGATGAACCTATAGCCTGCTGGCCAGGAGACGACGTCGTTGTCTCAGCATCGGATGAGTTGGGAATGATTGGGTGCCCATGGGAATGTATTGGACACTTTAGAATGAAATCTGTTTATGCATGACGAATCTTGTGCTTTCATTGGTAGCATTTTTTTGTATGTGTTTGAGCTGAATGCATTTTCCAGCTAACGAAATTTTGTCAGCAGCATTTGAATGAAACAGTCTAAAGGAGGACTCACTTATATCTTTTTTTTTACGAACAGCCTTGGATTTCTCAAGATTTTAATCCAATGAATCCAATGCTGAGACACCATTACCCTCTGGTAAACGTTTACATAGCCATGGAAAGATCCACCATTTTTCATGGGAAAATTCACTCTAAATGGCCATGTTCAATAGCTATTTTGACATAACCAGAGGGTAGTCATCAGCTACTCGAAGCGGGTCTCGTTCCTCCTTCGAGGTTCGTTTCAAAGCGCGTCTGTTGGCCACTTCCTGTGGCACCAGTGCCATGGCTGCTGCTGTGGCTTGGGTTGCCCAGTGAAGCGCGGGAGGTTGCCGTGGTGAATCTCCACCAGAAATGGTGATTTAAAATAGGAAAACCATAGGAAAACCATAGGAAAATGGTGATTTAATGGGTTTTAATGGTGATTTAATGGAGATACCCTCTGGCAATGACTAACATAGCGATTGAAAATGGCCCAGTCGAAATAGTGAATTGTCCCATTCAACATGGTGGATCTTTCCAGTTCGTTTTTTGTAAACGTTTACCAGAGGGTAACCTTGAAAAACCCATGATTTTACCAATAAGACTTGTGAGTTCATTGTGATTTTAAGGGGGATCTGGGAACGAAACCCTGCACATCCAGTGGGGCTGTTTTTCGTGGAAGATAAATGGATAGATAATATGATGTAATGAGATAGTGGAGATATATGATGGATAGATAAACCCTATAATATATCTTATAGTGCAAGATAATATGATGTAATGAGATAGTAATAACCTCCATAATTAAGTTGGGATGTAAATGATATAACTCCAACTATGGCTTAGTATAGCCCAATGTGTGGGGATGGCTACTGATGAAGCAATGAGAAAATTTCCCCAATGTGTGGGAATCTCCAAGTTTTCCCACCTCCGTCAGATTTTCTAAGAAGCCTATAGGCTAATGGATCAAATACCAAGTTAATCACTGTCAATTATTGTTAATCATGCATATTTTACACCATACAGACGTTTGCTATATATGTATATAAACATATACATATACAGATATAATTATATATATAATATAAATATCTAAATCTATGTATTTTTACACATAGATACATATCTTCTACAACCATATTTCGTACATAGCTATGATATATACCGCCACACAGGTGGTCTTCTCCTCCGTGCCCGGAGAGGGAGCTGAGGACCCAAGCGCCAGGCGAGCATTCCATGCAGGAAATGGTGATACCATAGAGGATGGTGCCCAGTGGACTGCCCCAGTGATGTTTAGTTATAAGTTTCTTTATAAACTTTATAAACCTCATGAATATATGAATACGATATAGTTCGTTGATGTTTGTTGGTTATCGTTATATCTACCATAAACCAATTATCGTTATATCTATATACCATTCACTATACTTAATTATCGTTATATCTACCATAAACCATAGAATTCAGCCACTTAGAAGGCAACTGAATGCTATGTTGGGGGCCCCATCTTGTAGAAAATTTTGGCAATATTCCAATATTCAGTTTTTCTAACCATCAAACATATTGGAGTATGATCCTAAAATGTATTATATGAAGTAATATATTGGGTGTAATTCATGGTGGTAATTCATGGGAGATAGCTATCACCAAACTTGATACCTTGATACGAGCTTCGTAGAGGATGACTGAACATGTATTATATGAAGCAAAGAGCAGATTTGTTTCTGGAAAATGAACATATTTCATGGAGACATTTCATGGCATACGATGCGATCCGAATGTTAAATGTTGGTTGAACTATGTTGAACTGTTGTTCGGAAACCGCTTGATGGATGGGTCCTATATCAAATACGATCCGGTAGATGAATATATATATATACTGTATACACAATTGGTAGAATGAAAGATTATATAGCTAGAACTGCACAGACAGTAGAAGCGGATGTTCCAAAAGATCATTAACAACAGTTTCTGGTTGGTGGTTTGGAACATGAATTTTATTTTTCCATATATTGGGAATAATAATCCCAGCTGACTTTCATGTTTCTCAGAGGGGTTGAAACCACCAACCAGGTTTGGAATATAGATGGTTGATGATTACTGGAGGTTGCACTACCGGTCTATTGGGGATGATATTTGATAAACTTGGAATGATAAACAGTGGTGATTTGGAGGTTGCATGGCATTTACCACTAATGTTCATTCTGCATTGATATACTTATTTAATAATATATATATATATATATGTATGTACCCTCTGGTAAACTAACATAGCTATAGAAAATCACCATTTTTAATCCACTATAAATGGCCAGAGGGTATGTATTATATCCATTCATAGCTATCAATATGTCTCCATTGATCCAAGTGTTGTATCCATTAAATTCACTATCAGCAGGTTTTTTCCACATTTGTGGGTGAGAAAATACTCCCATACAAATCATAAAATTGCATGAGCCTTTTTCTTTTGGTAATTGCCCAAAGACTGTTGGGGGGTTGTATATCCATTGATAAAAATATTCACGTAAATCTTATGGATACATTGTTTTTGTCATCATTATCAGTATATCCATTGGTCTCCATTAAACATGGCCACAAACCATCATAACATCAAAACTCATCAAATACATGTCCATATCGTTCCGTTATTTTCCCTTGGTATCCATAGATCTTGGCGATTATACTACACTTATTATATCCACCTCATAAAATCATAGAACACCTCAATGGGAACTTCAGGATCCTCAATAGAACCATATTTTGGGGGCATATCCCCTTACATAACCCAAAACAGACCTTGTATGGTACCATCTGGTTATTTTTTACATAGCCATGGAAAGATCCACCATTTTGAAGAACGGTAAACCATCTATTTCTATGGGCCATGGCTTAACCATGGCTATGTAACAGTCATAACCAGATGGTAGGTACCTTCAAACAACCAGATGTTGGGGGGCATATCCCCTTACATAACCCTTCCAAAACAGACCTCAGACCTTGTATGGTATACCAACCTTCCAAAAATCGCTCCCAAAAAAAACGGTCATTTGGGTATGGGTCAATACCTATAGATACATATTTTTAGTGGGTTATTCACATCCATTTTAACCCAGCTATTTTTTGGGGTTCACGGCACGGTACCAGGGTTTTGACCCATCCCCATTTTTCAAAGCCAGGCCAGAGCTGGTCCTGTCCACCACGGTGATGAACATCTCGCAGGATGTGCAGCCGGACGACAACTTTGAGGTGGCGAAACTGGAGGGCGCTGGGCATACGGACGGACCGGTGTAGGGACCGGTGTAGGGCCCTGGGGTTTCTGGGAATCCATGAGAAACATGGTGAAACATATGGGTTAAGCCATGGTGAAACATGAGAAACATGGTGAAACATGGTGAAACATGGTGAAACATGGTGAAACATGAGAAATATATATATATGGTTTATAATGGAAGACTCCTATTAACCCATTTAGTTGGGATGAAATGTGATGAAACATGATGAAATCCAAAAAAAATATGCCTTTTTTGACCCTGACTTTTGAGTAATTCTTAATGGATGGATTGAGCTGAGACAAACTATAGAAAAGCTGTTGGTGTTTAATCCGAAATACAGATGTAGGGGTTTCCTGTAAACTTTCTCCTAGACTGATTCTGGGATATCATGGTATTTTCCTTTGTATTTTGAGGTGGCGAGCCACAAAGGCGAAGTCTCAGTCGAAGCATGTCTGACATGGCCCCATGTTTGAACACTCCTAAAACTTGCCACCCCTCAAACCAAAACGACCCTACCTTGAGCTGGGGGTTGGAAGACTAGCTTCTAAACATGAGTGATTCCCTATTTTACTAACCACAATTCCCATGATATGTTTGCAAGTTTTTGTTCATATACTAGTTGTTTTTAATGTTTACTTCCATATGATGCGAGAACACTATGTAGTCATTGAACATCTAAATGTATAAACACAACACATGATATAGTTATGACTATTGGATGACTAGTTAGCCTACGATTTGAATGTGCGAAAAAAGTTTGGTCAAACTGGAGGTGAATCATCAAGTGATCCACAGAATCCCGCCATCAACGAAACAGTGGGGATGACGGTGAAATGGGCACTGCCCTGTTGAACGAAACAGTGGTTATCGGCAGACGTGATTCTGACCATCTACGCTAGTACTGCCGAATTTTTCACTTGTGGATACCCGGCCTGGTAAACGTTTAGTTTACATAACGAACTGGAAAATCACCATTTTCAATGGGCAAGTCCACTATTTCGACTGGGCCATTTTCAGTTCGCAAACTGTAACAAATTACCAGAGGGTACGTTGAAATAAATGCTTACAATGTGAGGCCCCCGTTCGATAGCTAAGTTGGTGCCAATAATTCCAATTTCACTATGGTCTATGGTACGCAAATAACTTATAACTATAGTTACTGGGACTTATAAACCAACTTTGCTATCTTGGGGGCCTCACATTGTATGAATCATGACAGGATTCGACCTCCAAAGACAGATGTTGGCAGGACTTGACCACTTGACCACTTGACCAACACTTGTATCGGCTTAGCCGTGCAAAATGGTGAGTTCACCAATTTACGACACACCATTTTTTTCAGCAAAGAATTGGAAAGACCAACGGACATGCTATGAGGCTCCTCAAGTCTGGAACCTGATGATTGGATGCTTTCTGTCAACATTTGGGGATATAATGTTTGGAACCTGGCCCTGTGTTGTTTTGTGAGTGGTTGATTAATGTCTTCAACCTTGGTCTTATACTCTTATGGTCACACTGCCTGAATCCCCAATATGTTTTTAGCGGCGTCTCAAGGCACTGAAGTGGACACGGACAGAGAACTTACATCCCCCCAACTAACATAGATCCTGAGAATCACAAGATATCACAAGTGTTTATTTTGGGGGATGGTATATGTAAAAGTACACCAAAACCCATATGATATCATGTAATGATATTATAATATATTATGAATACACAGTTTGTAGTTGCTGCGGATTTGCGCAACACACTGGTGACGTGACGTTTGACGTTTCGTTGGGCGTTCCCCGCAGCACACCTTTGGCCCCAGCCGTTTTGCTGGGCGCCCGCAATGTCCTTTGATCGTGCAGGCCATGGACGGAGTGGTTCCTGTATAAAAACTGGTTGGTGGTTTGGAACAGTTTATATTTTTCCATATATTGGGAACAATAATCCCATCTGACTAATATTTTTCAGAGGGGTAGGTATACCACCAACCAGAAAACATATGGAAACTGGTCACCGGTTGATGGTTTCAGATGTGTGATGGCAATAAACTAGGAGTACGGTTTTCTTGGGTTGAAACCAGCTTTATTTCATCAGTTCAACCTTTTTTATGGTTTGTTCAGTGTATCTAACCACCGTGCTCCACCCCGCATTTTTTCCCAATGCTTACTCATAAAAATCATCTCAACGTCTCATTTGTTAGTTGAAAGCCATCTAAAACCATCCCCGCATCACATCAACGGTCCTCATTTACATCATTTACCCTCAGGTTATGACTAACATAGCCACGGTTAAGCCATGGCCCATAGAAATAGATGGTTTACCGTTCTTAATAGCATGGTGGATCTTTCCATTTCGCAAACTGTAACAGTCATAATAGTCATAACCAGAGGGTACATTTTCTCACATGGAAAACCATCTTAAAAATCACCTCTTATTTTTGCCATCACATTCCCATAAAATGATGGAAATCTATGGGAAAAAAACCCTTTTTTGATGGATCGCCCATAGATTTCCATCATTTTCCCCAGCACAAAAACCCCCAGCAAGGACCCGGCGAGGGCTCGCCCTCGCCGCCGAAGCTGTCGCCGAGCGCCTCGCGGCAGAGCTTGTCCTCGGATGTGACGACGAAAACGCTGAGGACCGCTGGTTCGTTCGAAATCATCAAGCACCAGATGTTTAGTTATATAGTGGTTTATAACCAGATATTAACCATCATAAACAGTATAGTTGACCATCTATAACCATCTATCTGGGTAAATTTCATCACGACCTCACTGTTCTCCCTCACTGGAAATGATGGTTAATAAGGGAAATCATCCTCAAATGGCCTTAATTCAGGTTGGTGAAATATTTTAATTTGCCCAGATGGAGAACTGGACAACCATTATATTAAATGGTTATCTATTACGTAATATAGAAAAGTAGTAGTTTCACATGATTAATATATATATATTTATAATTTATAGTATCATAATAGTTAACATCAGGATTATATCTATACTAATCTTATTTAATATGGTTGGAAATCACTTATGGTGGTTCTCATCAATTAATAGAACCATCATCAATTAATATGCTTCGCATCACTATTGGTGGCTAACTATTAGTGGACAGCACTAACTATTAATGATTGTCATAATGGACAACTGGACAACTGGACAACAATTAGCAAGTGTATCATAATAGTTAACATCATTAATATTTATATTAATGGACAACCATTAACCATATTAATCACCAGTGATATATGGTTCCTTTAGTAGAGTCAAACTAACATGAATACTAGTTTGAATGCTATATTGACCATTAATAGTGACTGACAATGAGATGGTGATATGAAATGTGATGCTTAATAGTTATGAATGGTGAGTCTTGGTGATAAATGGTGCTAACAACGATTATTGGTTATTGATTGCCAATGGTGGTGAATGATGATTTGTGATTATGAACGGTTTTGCCAATTATGGTGGTTATCAACGGTTAATAGCACCATCTCATTTTTCTCAGCCAATCATTGATAATGAATGACAAGTTTCATTTTTGATGCTAATGATGATCATGATGATCATAGTGATAAATGGTTCGTGGTGATAAATGGTGATAGCAATGATGATGATAATAGTGATAATAATGATGATTATCATGATGATAATGGTGATATCAGTGATAATGATGATAATGCTTGCTTTCATTAATCACGATTTTCAATCAGTCATGAACAGTATCATTCATGAAGGGAGAACTAATTACTAATAGCTAGTATTGGTGCTTAATGGTGATTGATGATGATTTAATTAAATTTGATAGGATTTAATGGGATGTACCATCAATTTAACTATAGCGATTGAGAATGGCCCATTGGTAGTTGTTGTTGTTATCATAATTGTGAGATTCCATAGCTGTGCTAGTCCACCAGAAGGTATATTTAAAACACATGCCGAAGATTGATTTGCTTCGAAGTTTTCCCCTGTTTGTTTTTTTCTTAAATATCGGGGGATATCTAACCATCAGTGGATATAACTATTATACCCTATTGCCATTGGACATGTCTTAAACATTGGTTAATGTTGACTATATTCACCATTGTTTTGTTTGGGATTATCAACAAAACACTTACGTTGGGTGTACCAGTTATATTGATAGATGATGATAGACTGGTTAAACGTTGTTTAATGCTGTGTTTTCTTGGATATTGATGGGATTTGTATGGTTCTAAAATGTTCTAACATATTTTGAACACTTGTTTCAAGATTGGTTGCAAACTTCATGGATATCATCAATGGATATAGGAATAACATGGGATAATGTCATGGGATTTACCACCAACTTGATATGATACTTGGGAATACAAATTTGTGATACCACAGATAAAACCACCCATGAAAGATTTGCCTGTCTCCTGATCTTCAGGTTGATTGCGTTACACCTTCAACACATGTTTTCTTGGTTGAACACAATGAGCATATTCAAAAAAACAAAAACATGTATCCAGTTGATGAACATTAAAGATCATCATATTCTCATCTGTTCCATTTTGAATAGTTTACCCTCTGGTAATTTAACATAGCTATTGAAAATGGCCATTTATACTAGATTTTCCCATTAAAAATGGTGATTTTCCATAGCTATGTAAACGTTTACCAGGCCGGGTACTACATGTTTCTCCAATGTCTACCTCAATTCCTCGCAGGAAGTCGGCCTTTACGGGGCCGGACGACAATAGCGAAGCGCATGCCTTCACACTGTCGAATTTCATCCTACAGGAGGGCTTCGGCGGCGCCGTTGGTTGTTGGAGATTGTTACTGCTGCTATTGCTGCTTTGGGTTGTTGGATATTGTTGGATATTCTATTGCTGTTACATATTATTACTGGTTGAATTTTCTGTTATTGAAGCTATTGCTTATCTAGTTTCAATCGCCAATATTCAAACCGCTTCATTGCTAAAAGTTTTTTTTGCTTTGCGTGGAAATATGACGTGAATGAGAATGCTAGCTTATTTTGGAGATTTTCGTGGATTTTTATTAAAGCCAGACTGGGCATATTTGATGGGATATAGATCCGGACAAAACTGGATAGGGGTGAAGAAAACATAGGGATTTTTAACGGTTGGTTGGATGCTTCGATGTTCCTTATCTGTGTATATTACTAGGGGAACGGGCGGGACGTATCAGAATTACTGACCACCGATCTAAGCCTCAGAAGCATTTTTTTAGCAAGGCAGGAATTTGCAAAACCGCTTTGTACTCTCATCCCATACGTCTGATTTGCTGTTGTGTTCCCGTCATGTTTTTTTTTTCCATCAGTAACACTGCAATGATCAAATATGAACTCTCTCCAGATGAGATGGAATACAGCCCGAGCGCTGGTGAAGAATCCGAAAGCTTGAGGTCCAGGGTCCCTCAAATTCTTATTTTTAAATACAGGCAAATTTACAGTACAACAGGCCGAGGGTCCCTCAAATTCTTAACGTACTATGTGTTTGGTATAGCTGAAAATATGTAGCCCGCCTTGGAATCGAGCCCCTCAAATTCTTATACAGTGAATTCTTGTACAATACTCAAGCTGTATGTGAAATGAACCGTAAACCAAAAGTCATGCAAGTAAAATTAGTTCATTAACTTAATTTATACCACTTGTAGCATCGTAACCCAAGTGGAGCAGCGGCATCATGCACAACGCATGCTGTAACATCTAATTGTGGTCCACATATGTCCAAAACCTTCCAAAACATTCCGAAAAACTCTAAAATACACCCAGTCACCCATGATTTGTTATCCTTTTCCACATATAAAAACCCCAGAAAATTCACCCATTCACCCCCTGATTGATCGTGTTTTTCTCCAGGACAAGCTGGAGACGCGGATTCGGAACGAACTCCGCGCCACGAAATCCATCAGCTGCTCAGTGGGATATGTTAGTATATCAAGATCATCAAACAGCTTCGCAATTTTGGGATTTTTTGGGATATGAATGGCAATAATATGGCCATATAGTGGTTATAGTTATATAGTGGTTTATAACCAGATATTAACCATCATAAACAGTATAGTTAACCATCTATAACCATCTATCTGGGTAAATTTCATCACGACCTCACTGTTCTCCCTCACTGGAATCATGGTTAGGATTCGGGGAATCATCCCCTTTTATGGCCGCAAGATTCAGGTTGGTGAAATATTATAATTTACCCAGATGAATGGCAATATATCGGGACATCAACATGGTTTGCACATGGGGATTTTTTTCATGGCGGGAAATTGATGGAGATATAGTGGATATTGATGGAACCAAACCCATGGGTTTTTCATCACTGAAAATGATGGTCTTGAATCGCCGTTGTGGGCAGTTGTGGGTTGGCGATTTCTTCCAGATCTCTTGCGGGTCTTGAAAGATTTCGTGAAACATGGAGGTCATTTTCCAGCTCACGCTACAATTAGTGAGGCCCCCGGCCACGATAGCTAAGTTGGTGCCAATAACTCCAATTTCACTATGGTTTATGGTACTTATAACATCTTATAACTATAGTTACTGGGGCGAATCTAAACCAACTTAGCTATCGAACGGGGGCCTCACATTGCAACAATAAAAAATAGACATATTGAGGAACTGCTACCCAATTTCCTAGATGAATGTTTTTTTTCGTCACCAAAGCCACAAAATTTGCAGACGGATGGGCCCTGGGAAAGGCTTGGGAAAGGATGGGTCCGTGGGTTATTTTTTGCTATCTACCATGATTAATGTTTGCATCTGATTAGTGTGAGGGGCCCCCCCCCCCCCAAACAATTTGAGGATACTTTCGATCTACCCCCCGCCCAGTAACAGCAGATAAATGAGTTTCCTTTAACCTACCCTTTCAAAACGAGCACAAGGAAATTGCTCCAAAAATCTCGGCTAGGAGGTGCCCAAAAAAAAACGTCAACCTGCCCTCCAAACCCCTGATACAGAATTCAGAATTCAAGACAAGGGCTTCACTTTCAAGATCTTTCAAGCCAGTTGCATTCCAACATTGAGAAAAGAAGAGTGCAGACTATAGACACTACATTCACGTGTTTCCCTGAGAAGGTGCGAGCAAGGCGTTTGCATCGAAGCAAGGGCTAGAACATATTGTGAAAGAATTGGTCAGCTTGATGCAACTGGCACAATGTACCATATAATGTGCTGAAGCATGGAGTCAGATTGGCCATGTGGGAAAATCGCAATGTTCTTGTAAGCGCAAGGCAGTCCTTGCAACTTGGCAACCATCCCGAACTTTAAATTCTAAACCCTGAGCCCATCTGAACCCTAAATCGCAAAACTTCATTGACGCGTAAGTACCAACAGCCAAAACCAGCACAAGCAGACACAAAAAGAGCACAAAAAAAACACAAAAAAAAACACAAAAAAAGCACAACAAAGCACAAAAAAGCACAAAACAAAGCACAAGAAAAAGCACAAAAAAAGCACAAAAAAGCATTGCGAAAAAATGAAAAAAAGAAGCTTGGGCAAGGAAAGGTCCAAAGGACGACCAAAACTTTGGTGCCAAAAAAAGTTAGTAACTGGGTTATAACCTAGGGTTATATCCCAGTTACTAAGTCATAACTTCTTAGCTAACTTTTTGTAACTTTTTTTTGCTATTAAAAAAATGTCTTTAAAAGTGATCAAATTTTGATCTTTTTGATGATTTTGAGTGTTTGCTGTTTGAAGCGTTTTCAACTGCTCAAAAAAATGCCAAATGGAGCGGTTTTCAAACCTCTAAAAGCTATTTTTGTTGGAACAGCCGTTTTCAGCATGTCAAACACTATTTTTAATCACGTGTTAAAACCCAAACTGTGAATGAAGATGTGTTCATGTCCACTAGAGAGGATGTATTGCTTGAAGAAGTGTCCAGGTGTTCACTTTACCTTGGCTAAATGCTGCAGAGTCCCTTTGACAAAACTCAATTTTTGCAGGATATCCTAGATGTCTTCAACGTAATTACAATATACATCAACATACCCATACCTGCCAACAAATGCATGCAGTATTCAAAACAGAAATGCAGCATACCCTCCTTCATAAGTGCAATCTTCCTTTGGAGCAACGCAGTGTGTTTTGCAGAACAATATCCCTATGAAATATCAAATTTTCCTATAAAAAATACACCATGCCCTTTGGAGGAGTACAGTGTGCATTTAACAAAATTTCCTTTGAAAGGGGTCCTCAAGGTGAAAGGGTTCCTGGCCTAGAAGCCTCCAAGATTAATTTCGACCGAGTTTTTGCCTTTGTATGAAAAACTCGGTCGAAATTAATCTTGGGGGCTTCGCGCGCATAAGGAACATTCTTGGCCAGGACCTCTTTCACCTTGGGGGCCCGTTTCAAAGGAAATCTTGTTATTTCCACATGTCTAACCTTCCTTTCAAAGGAGCAGTATCCCTTTTAGAAAAGCCAATATTGCTGCACAATATGCTGTATTTTTGACATAGAGCATCCCTTTCAAAAGTGCAATATGTTTTGACATGTGAGATTCTTTCAGAATGTTTTTTCGCTCCTTACAACAGAGCATTGTCCTTTATGGCAACACAATCTTCCTTTGAAAAAGCAGCATTCGTGGAAACCTGGATTACTGTTCATTGATATATGTATCTAATCTACTCTAATCTAATCCAATTCAATCCAATCCAATCCAATCCAGATATATCTCATCTATATAATCCAATCCAATCCAATCAAACCCAAACAAATCCAATCCAGTCCAATCCAATCCAATCATATCCAATCCAATCCAATCTATCTAATCTAGCCAAATCAAATCTAATCCAATCCAATCCTATCCAATTCAATCCAATCCAATCCAGTCAAATCCAATCTATCTAATCTAATCCAATCTAATCTAATCCAATCCAAGCCAATCCAATCCAATCTAATGTAATCTAATCTAATTCCAATCCAACCCAATCCAATCCAATCTAACCTACTCTAATCTAAACTTATCTAATGTAATTTCAATCCAATCCAATCCAACCCAATCTAATCTAATCTAATCTAATTCCAATCCAATCCAATCTTTTTGAAGTGCTGTAAAGGCCTCTGTGGTATATGGGTGGGATATATTGAGATATACTAGGGGAAACTGGGGTTTACTTGGGGATACTACGGTATACCACCAGTATACCACCAGTATACCACCAGTATACCACCAGTATACCACCAGTATACCACCAGTATGCCACCAGTATACCATGGTATACGGCCATTATTTAATGGCCGTATACCATGGTATAATGGCCATTATACCATGGTATAATGGCCGTATACCATGGTATACTGGTGGTATACTGGTGGCATACTGGTGGTATACTGGTGGTATACTGGTGGTATACTGGTGGTATACTGGTGGCACACTGGTGGTATACTGGTACACTCCCTAATCCAATCTAATCTAATCTAATCTAATCTAATCTGGTCCAATCCAATCCAATCCAATCCAACCCAATCCAATCCAATCCAACAACCCCATCCAATCAAATCCAATCCAATCCAATCCAACCTAATCTAAACTAATCTAAGCTAATCTAATCCAATCTAATCTAATCTAATTCCAATCCAATCCAATCTAATCCAATCCAATCCAATCCAGTCTAATTCCAATCCAACAAAACCAAATCCAATCTAACCTAATCTAATCCAATCCAACCCAATCTAATCCAATCCGCTCAAATCCAATCTATCTAATCTAATCTAATCCAATCCAATCCAGTCAAGTCCAATCTATCTAATCTAATCTAATCCAATCCAATCCAGTCCAAACCAACCCAATCCAAGCCAAGCCAAGCCAAGCCAATCTATCTAATCTAATCCAACCCAATCCAATCCAATCCAAAGCAAGCCAAGCCAATCCAATCTATATAATCTAATCTAATCCAATCTAATCTAATTCAATCCCTCAGTCCCTCACCCAAGCCTGTAAAGACCTCTGTGGTATATGGAGACGTCTCAAAATGAGGCGCGCCCTTTTTGACACCCAAAACGCTACTTTTTTTAAAAAAATGGGCTCGCCTCATCTTGAGACATTCCCATACGGGTGGGATATATTGGGATGTACTAGGGGAAACTGGGGTTTATAGTCAGCAATGTCAATATCAAAAAACGTACTCATTGGCTGCCTTTGTTTTTCATAGTCTTCTGGCATGTTTTCAAAAATAAGTCAAAAACAAAATTGCTTAATCCATGCCCCAAGCCCCTAACCTTCCCCCAAGGATACCTGTTTTTCCTTGGTTTTTACATGGTTTCTAATGGAACCAGAGACCTAAAGCAAGCAGAAACAACCACAAACAAATTTGCAATGCCTAAGGGGGGAAAAGTGGCAAAGAGTTAGATCCTGCCACTTTTTTTTGCCAGTCCCTCAAAATAACAACGAACCAAGAAAGCAAAACACCAAGAAACCCCAAAAAAAACAAGATTGCACACCCCAAGGGGAGGGGGTCAGATGCAGTTTGTTGGGTGTGATTTTTGTTTCTTGTTTTTTTGTTTTTTGGTTTCTTTTTTTTGGTCTTTGTAAAAAGAAAAGAAACTGCAAAGGTGAGATTGCAAAGAGCAAACTAACCCATTGCAGGTGCATAAAGCACCTAAAAAGGCGCGCTCCCACAGTGGACTGTTCTGTTTAACCAGTTGCACATTCCCTCAGCCATGGAAGCGATGAAAAGCGCGAATTTTTCTAAAAAAAACTTCGAAGCGGCTCAACCGCTATAATTAGAAAATATTTTGTTTTCGATACACTAAAAACAAGTGTTTTTTCAATTTTTCTAAGTTATAAACATGTGTTAAAATAGTTGATATTTTCTTCACTTCATAACTTTTCATAACTTCTTGTATAACTATAGTTATAACCAGTTATAACATGTACTTGGCACCAAAGAACGAGCACCAGAGGGACCACAAGAAAAGCACAATTTGAGCACCAGATAGCACCAGCCGAGCACAATTTGAGCACCAGCCGAGCACAATTTGAGCACCAGCCGAGCACAATTTGAGCACCAGCCGAGCACAATTCGAGCACCAGCCGAGCACAATTTGAGCACCAGCCGAGCACAATTTGAGCACCAGCCGAGCACAATTTGAGCACCAGCGAGCACAATTTGAGCACCAGCCGAGCACAATTTGAGCACCAGCCGAGCACAATTTGAGCACCAGCCGAGCACAATTTGAGCACCAGCCGAGCACAATTTGAGCACCAGCGAAACACAACTTCAGCACCGGCACCAGCGCAAATTTGAAATTATGGAAAATGAATGCAGCACCAGAGGGACCACAAGAAAAGCACAATTTGAGCACCAGCCGAGCACAATTTGAGCACCAGCCGAGCACAATTTGAGCACCAGCCGAGCACAATTTGAGCACCAGCCGAGCACAATTTGAGCACCAGCCGAGCACAATTTGAGCACCAGCGGAGCACAATTTGAGCACCAGCGAGCACAATTTGAGCACCAGCGAGCACAATTTGAGCACCAGCCGAGCACAATTTGAGCACCAGCCGAGCACAATTTGAGCACCAGCCGAGCACAATTTGAGCACCAGCCGAGCACAATTTGAGCACCAGCACAATTTGAGCACCAGCCGAGCACAATTTGAGCACCAGCCGAGCACAATTTGAGCACCAGCCGAGCACAATTTGAGCACCAGCCGAGCACAATTTGAGCACCAGCCGAGCACAATTTGAGCACCAGCACAATTTGAGCACCAGCCGAGCACAATTTGAGCACCAGCCGAGCACAATTTGAGCCAGCCGAGCACAATTTGAGCACCAGCCGAGCACAATTTGAGTACCAGCTGAGCACAAAAATTGGAAAAAAGTAAAACCAAAAAAGTCAATTGGTTGCGCAGCCCCAGCCCTAGCGCCAAGCCCAGCCCCAGCCCCACCACCAGACCCCAGCACCCCAGCCAAGCCCAGCCCCAGCCCCAGCCCCAGCCCCAGCCACCCCCAATCCCCCAGCCCTGCGGGTTTGGTGGTGGTGGTTGTCGTGGTGGTAGTGGTGGTGGTGGTGCTGCTGCTGCCGCTGCTGATGGTGGTGGTGGTGGTCGTAGTGGTGCTGTCGCTGGTGGTGGGGTGGTTGTTTATATTGTTGCTAGTTGTCATTGCTAAGGTTGTCGTAGTGGCTAAGAATTGCCACGGTTTCCAACGGAATGTTGGTGATAAGTTGGCCAGTTCCTAGCAAATCTGTAGCAGCCAGAGCCGAGAAGAGAGAAACAGACACCTGTGCAGTTTGATTCCTTCCGATTCACATGAAACTTTTTTTTGCCATTTGATGATTTAAATATTAATGGTGTCTACCTGATCCGTTTTTTGATTTGGTATAGGAATTTATCCGTATCATATCACCAGATTAGACCCTTATTTTCTGCATTTGGCTGGTGCTCATTTTGTGCCCCTGGCTTGTGCTCACTGTTACTGCCCCGGGGGTAGATCAAAAGGATACTCTATAACTCGCACTTTTTTTTGCCCCCCCTCAACATTTTTTTGGTCAATCAACTTAAGAAAGGATTTCAATTTACTTTCAATTGATTTCAATTTACTTTCAATTGATTTCAATTTACTTTTAATTTACTTTCAATTGATTTCAATTTACTTTCAATTGATTTCAATTTACTTTTAATTTACTTTCAATTGATTTCAATTTACTTTCAATTTACTTTCAATTTACTTTCAATTTACTTTTAATTTACTTTCAATTGATTTCAATTTACTTTCAATTGATTTCAATTTACTTTTAATTACTTTCAATTGATTTCAATTTACTTTCAATTGATTTCAATTTACTTTTAATTTACTTTCAATTTACTTTCAATTTACTTTCAATTTACTTTTAATTTACTTTCAATTGATTTCAATTTACTTTCAATTGATTTACAATTTACTTTTAATTTACTTTCAATTTACTTTCAATTGATTTCAATTTACTTTTAATTTACTTTCAATTTACTTTCAATTGATTTCAATTTACTTTTAATTTACTTTCAATTGATTTCAATTTACTTTCAATTTATTTTCAATTTACTTTCAATTTGCTTTTAATTTACTTTCAATTGATTTCAATTTACTTTCAATTGATTTCAATTTACTTTTAATTTACTTTCAATTGATTTCAATTTACTTTCAATTTACTTTTATTTACTTTCAATCTACTTTCAATTTACTTTCAATTTACTTTCAATTTACTTTTAATTTACTTTCTTTCAATTTACTTTCAATTGACTTTCAATTTACTTTCAATTGATTTCAATTTACTTTTAATTTACTTTCAATTGATTTCAATTTACTTTCAATTGATTTCAATTTACTTTTAATTTACTTTCAATTTACTTTCAATTGATTTCAATTTACTTTTAATTTATTTTTATTTTTTTTTCACTCCCAAAAGTTGGTGCTCACAATAGAGTACCATCCAAACAATTATATTATTGAGTAACTGAGCCACTCATGAGGTACCCCCTTGAAAAATTGTCTGAGTGCTGTTTTGTAAAAAGGGTTCAATAAGGCATCTAATTATTTGGAAAACCTTGCATTTTAAAGCTTTAGCATAAATTAGTTTCTAAAGTAAAAGGACCAGCTTTACCCAAAGAAAGGTGGAAAAATGTTTTTTTTTCACTCCAAAAACTTGGTGCTCACAATAGAGTACCATCCAGACAATTATATTATTGAGTAACTGAACCACTCATGAGGTACCCCCTTGAAAAATTGTCTGAGTGCTGTTTCTTAATAAGGGTTTAATAAGGCATCTAATTATTTGGAAAACCTTGCATTTTAAAGCTTTAGCATAAATATGGATTTCTAAAGTAAAAGGACCAGCTTTACCCAAAGAAAGGTGGAGAAATGTGTTTTTTTTCACTCCCAAAAGTTGGTGCTCACAATAGAGTACCATCCAAACAATTATATTATTGAGTAACTGAGCCAATCATGAGGTATCCCCTTGAAAAATTGTCTGGGTGCTGTTTTTTAATAAGGGTTTAATAAGGCATCTAATTATTTGGAAAACCTTACATTTTAAAGCTTTAACACAAATATGGCTTTCTAAAGTAAAGGCACCAGATTTACCCAAAGAAAGGTGGAGAAAGGGTTTTGTTTTTTTTATCACTCCCAAAAGTTGGTGCTCACAATAGAGTACCATCCAAACAATTATATTATTGAGTAACTGAGCCAATCATGAGGTATCCCCTTGAAAAATTGTCTGTGTGCTGTTTTTTAATAAGGATTTAATAAGGCATCTAATTATTTGGAAAACCTTGCATTTTAGTTTTAACACAAATATGGCTTTCTAAAGTGAAAGGCATCAGCTTTACCCAAAGAAAGGTGGAGAAAGGTTTTTTTTTTCAATCCCAAAAGTTGGTGCTCACAATAGAGTACCATCCAAACAATTATATTATTGAGTAACTGAACCAACTATGGTTTTTTCAGGTATCTAATTATTTGGAAAACCTTGCATTTTAAAGTTTTACACAAATATGGTTTTCTAAAGTAAAGGCATCAGCTTTACCCAAAGAAAGGTGGAGAAAGGTTCTTTTTTTCACTCCCACAAGTTGGTGCTCACAATAGAGTACCATCCAAACAATTATATTATTGAGTAACTGAGCCAATCATGAGGTATCCCCTTGAAAAATTGTCTGGGTGCTGTTTTTTAATAAAGGTTTAATAAGGCATCTAATTATTTGGTAAACCTTGCGTTTTAAAGCGTTAACACAACTATGGCTTTCTAAAGTGAAAGGGCCAGCTTTACCCAAAGAAAGGTGGAGAAAGGGTTTTGTTTTTTTTTTCAATCCCAAAAGTTGGTGCTCACAATAGAGTACCATCCAAACAATTATATTATTGAGTAACTGAGCCACTCATGGGGTACCCCTTTGAAAAATTGTCTGGATGCTGTTTTTTAATAAGGGTTTAATAAGGCATCTAATTATTTGGAAAACCTTGCATTTGAAAGCTTTAAAACGAATATGGCTTTCTAAAGTGAAAGGGCCAGCTTTACCCAAAGAAAGGTGGAGAAAGGGTTTTGTTTTTTTTTTTCAATCCCAAAAGTTGGTGCTCACAATAGAGTACCATCCAAACAATTATATTATTGAGTAACTGAGCCACTCATGAGGTACCCCTTTGAAAAATTGTCTGGATGCTGTTTTTTTAATAAGGGTTTGATAAGGCATCTAAAATAAAATTAATTAAAAATAATCATAAATAGAAAAATAATTAAAAAGAAAAGTAAAGTTAATTAAAGCATTTGGAAAAAATATTTAAAAAAAAAACAAATCTGGAAAAAAAATCTCACAATAGAGGCCCCCCCCCAACAATTGGCATGTGACTGAATTAGGAGCAAGAAATTTCTCACAATAGGGTACCATCTCTTTAATCAGGTGCAAACATTATGGAAAATTGCCCAGTTGATTTACCCACAAAAAAAAATGAGATTTTCAACCGCCATGTTAAATCACCAGATGGTAATTGGATTTTTGCTCCACACCCATCTAAATACTGATGTGCCTTCTTTTTTCCATGGCACCATTGACAGGAATCACACGCTTCAGCCCCCAAAAACCTCCGTGAAGCAGAGATATTCGTGGGTTGTCGGGAGATTCCGAGTGCACCAGCTGAGCAACACTAATATTTTTGAGACTTGAGATTCTAAAATTCAGAAGCTTGGCCCCGGCATGGTCAAGCATTGCTGCATATGAACTACCCTCTGGTAATTTAACATAGCTATTGAAAATGGCCATTTATAGTGGATTTTCCCATTAAAAATGGTGATTTCCAATAGCTATGTTAGTTTACCAGAGGGTAGCATGTTTATCTTATATCGATCCTCCATGATCCCTCCAATTGATGAATTTTGCGGGTCCCTCCGCGAAGCCACTTCAGGTTTGGAGCATGCGCATCGAGCAGAGGAAAAACATGAGAAAGACAAAGAAAACTTTCCAGACTGCGAGTCATGTCTTTGCTCCTTGGCCATGTGGAGATACCGCTAGGGTCAGCGCCAACGTATAAGTGTTTTGTTGATGTAGGTCTGTCTTAACATTGGGGGATATTTCAACATGCAATTTTAATGGGGAATGTGATGAATCACATTGGATAACCATCATGTCTCTATTGGTGCCCCTAGCTTCAACAAAACTCATATTAGATCAGGTATTCCAACCGGAAACATCCCGTTTGTCCGAACTTTTGCCAATGAATAGCAGTGAAAGTGTCCACATCAAACATCGGCTGTCGCCCAATTGTTGTTCGTTGATGTCCGATCCTGGGATGGTGCCAAGGTGACATGACCACGGGAGCCAGTTTGACCAGCAAAGTTGCCAAAGAAGCAAAGGTGGTGACGACCGGTATCCGAGGCGAGATCGATGCGCGAACATCATTTGGATTACTGCAGTTGGTGGTTTCAAACATTGGTTTGTTGTATGGGGTTTCATGATGGTTAATGATGGTTAATCATGGTTAATAATATCTGGTTGGTGGTTTGGAACCATGGAATTTTATGACTTTCCATATATTGGGAATGTCATCATCCCAACTGACTTTCGCATATCTTTCAGAGTGGTAGGTATACCACCAACCAGTTATTTATTTTCCATGATAATTATATGGGATAATCCTTCCCATTGACGAACTCCATCATTTTTTCAAGGTGGTTATTGCACCACCAACCAGATGATGCTGTTGCAACCAAAATCGAAGGATGTTTCAGATTGGGGATATATATATAATATATATATATATATTGGGTCTGAAAACATCATTTTTTGTGACTCACTGAGGTGGCTGAATCATCATTTTTGCTGGTGTTTCGGATGAAGCTAAGGGGCCAAAGCAGCCCCGCTTCTACGGGGGGATTTGGGCATATTTTGGCCATCGAACATCTCTTGCAAAAAAGATTCCAATACCGCAACACACATAGAATTGGGCCCTTAAAGCTTAGCAGCTGGCTTCATATGTTTGCCAAAGTGTGGTTGATACGGCCATGTTTCGATATGTAAATCGCCATGGTAAAAAGCCCTGAAAGGCCGAGCCTGTTTAAAACGATACATTCTCCAACCAATGTTTCCACAATGTGGATCAATGTGGGGCCCGGCCCCATTTGTGGGTTATCTGTGGCTCTGGTTGACTCCTTTATGTTTTTTCATGGGTCCCCATACCCATAGGATCCATGTATAGTATATATGCTAACATTTGGGGTATATTGATGGTAAATGTTAGCATATATACCATACATGGATCCTATGGGATACATTTGATGCTTGATCATTAGTTTCCCTCTGAAATAGACCACCATGATTTCTGCCCAAAGTTACCCGTTTTTGTTCTCCCCTATAATACGCTGAAAAATATCCTAAACATTAGCTGATCATTCAAACCACTTGAGTTGCTGACTTACATCCCATTCAAATCCCATGGGATATTCCATTTACCCTCTGGTTATGACTAACATAGCCATGGTTAAGCCATGGCCCATAGAAATAGATGGTTTACCTATTAAAAATGGTGAATCTTTCCATGGCGAACTGTTAAATAACCAGATGGAAACATCAGTATATCTCCCAGTGTATCCCACTAAAAGCCATATGTTTCCTGCATCGCAGGGGGAGCAGACAAGCGCGTGCTTCTGCCGGCGGTTTTAGAACTGCAGGGCGAGGTGGCAAGTTTTGGGGGTGTTGGGAATGGAATGGAACTAAGCTACTTCCCTACAGGATGGTGCCCCCGAGTTATGTTTGTTGGTTCAAAAAAAACATAAAAATACTATAGCTATATCACTATAAACCATATTTAAACCACAAAAAAAGGCAACTGAACGCTATCTTGGGGCCCCATCCTGCAACTAATATAGTATATAATATGATATGTGTAACATGATCAATACATATTTATATATATATATATCATTATCATCATTATCATCATCATCATCATCATCATCATCCATATGTTTGTAGGAGATTAATGGGATATGAATAAGACTTAACTGTCACTCATATGGGTTTTATTGGGTTTTATGGGCTTTACCAACTAATATCTACATATACATACAATGTGAGGCCCCCAAGATAGCTAAGTTGGTTTATAACTCCAATAACTATAGTTATAAATACCATAAACCATAGTTATTGGAGTTATAAACCAACTTAGCTATCGAACGGGGGCCTCACTAATTGTATGGTTGTCCAAACGTCCAGGGCCATTTTTGGGGATATTCACGAGGTTTTTCACATGACTCGACCCATGGGGATGCCCCGGTTTTCATCATCATGGATGGCCACCATGAACCAAATGACTGGTGAGTCGATTTTGAGTAATCTTCAATCAGGTGACTCAGGTGACTGGCTATTTCTGGGATCATTTCACAAAAATCCACAGTCGGATGAAACAAACCTAATAAAGATATATATATATATAAACATTGTTACCGCTTTGGATTACCAGAGGATGCCTCTTGGGTTTTTCAACGACCACTCGAAAAAGATAGAAACCATCCATGCTTTCTGGTTTTTGTGTGAGAAAGGCTTCTCTCGAAACGGCTGGGAATAGAGGGGTCAATGGGCTGCCAGCTTGTCACTCCAGGGCCCAAAATTACGGCTCCGTAAGGGTTTCATCGCCGGCAAAGTCCGCTGTGCCCGGGAGAAAAAAAAAACACATTACATGATGTCTACCGATGCCAGTGGCTACATGCCACGGAGCTGTTCCGAAGTAGGTCTGTGTATAGTATGCCTCAATGGTGAAACGTTTACCCTGAAGCTCAGCGCTTCCTCTTTGGGTCGGGAAGTATATGCGACGGTATCACAGCAACTTCCATTGAAGAAAGGTGGACAGTTTATTTTGCATCATCTTGATTCCCGGCTAATGTTGCACCAAACATTGCAAGAGCAAGGCATTGTGGGCAAATCTGCGACTCTCTCTTGCACGTTTGCTTCTGGCTTGTGCTTTCAATTCAGATTTTCATTATTTTCATCTCCACAAATTGAAGTTATGTCCCAATGACCACTATTTTTTTAGGGGTTGGCCAAAAAAACACTAGGTTCCGACAGATCTCTATGCTGCATGGTGTTCTATTCGAGGATTACCAGTTCAGGGACTGGCACTAGAAGGGCTGACGCGGATAGCAGGACTCAGCCGCAAGGAGCTCTTGGAGAAACTCCCCCAGAGCCTGGAAGACTTGACCTTCAGCGACAATTTCAACGAGAGCCTCGAAGGGACGATACTGGCCATGGGAAGCATGGGATCGGGAAGCAGACTTCAGAGCTTGACATTTGGGAAATATTTCAACCAAAGCCTGGACTCTGTGATGCTGCCAGGCAGTCTACAGAACTTGATATTTGGACATCGTTTCAACCAGAGCCTTGAAGGAGTGTCCCTGCCAAGCAATCTTCGCAGTTTGACACTTGGTGATCGTTTCAACCAAAGCTTGGAAGGAATGACCCTGCCAGGCAGTCTTGATACCTTGGCATTTGGCAATCGTTTTAACCAGAGCCTGCAAGGAGTGACACTGCCAAATAGCCTTCGAAGCTTGACATTTGGCCAATATTTCAATCAGAGCTTGCACAAAACAAGGCTTCCCAGCAGTCTTCAGAGCTTGACATTCGGCCGTAATTTTGACCAAAGCTTGGAGGGAGTTTGTTTGCCAAGCAGCCTTGAAAGTTTGACATTTGGCCTTGATTTCAATCAGACTCTACAAGGAGTGACACTGCCAAGCAATCTTCAGAAGTTGACATTTGGGCATCATTTTGACCAGAATCTGGAGGAAGTTTCTTTGCCAAACAGCCTTCGGAGCTTGAAAGGTGGTTCCCTAAAGTTACGAACACTCTCCCTGCCGAGTCTTCGCAGCTTGACATCTACTTTCAACCACACTTTGGACCTCAATCATCTGCCAAAGAGTCTTCAGAGATTAACATTTGGCGATACTTTCAACTGCAACCTTGAAGGAGTGACCTTGCCTAGCACTCTACAGGATTTGAGATTTGGCTACGCGTTTAACCGGAGTCTGGAAGAAGTGACTCTGCCAAGCGGTCTTCGCAGTTTGACACTGGGCCATCATTTTAACACAAGCTTGGAGCAAGTTGAACTGCCAATAGGTCTTCATAGTTTGACATTTGGGGAAAATTTTAATCAGAGCCTGGACGGAGTGAATCTGCCAAGCAGCCTGCGGAGCTTGACATTCGGCTGCAACTTTAATCAGAACTTGCAAAGAGCGATTCTGCCAAGCAGCCTTCAAAGCTTGACATTTGATCAACATTTTAATCAGAGCCTAGAAGGAGTCGCCATGCCAAGCAGTCTCGAGAGCTTAACATTTGGCTACGAATTTAACCAGAGCTTGCAAGGAGTGACCCTGCCAAGCAACCTTCAGAGCTTAACATTTGGTCATCATTTTAACCAGAGCCTCGAAGGAATCGCACTGCCAAATAGCCTTCAGAGCCTGACATTCGGGGATTTTTTCTACCAGAGCCTGGAAGGAGTGACCCTGCCAAGCGATTTGTGCAGCTTGGTATTTGGACGTCGTTTTGATGAATGCCTAGAGAAAGTGACCCTGCCCAGCACTCTTCTCACTTTTTCTTGTGGTTCCATCTTGGTGAGCAGTTTGTGATCGATGGGTCTTGCCAGTTGAAGAGACTGGACTCGCAACGAAGCTAGGCACTCGCTGGTGCAAAAAACTGGCTCAAACATTGTGAGTTTCCAAGGATGTCTTAGTGGTTCTCGAAACCACACACTTCTTTGTTCGTTGTTGGTATGAACCATCTGCTTTTGGAAGTCATTTGATCATGATCACTGGATATGAGTCTGTCATGGGTCTGTCATGGTCTGAACATAACCCAAATCCCTTTGGTGGATCATTAATTTCCCGATTACCCTCTGGTAAACGTTTACGTAACTATGGAAAGATCCACCAATTTTAATGGGTAAATCCACTATTTCAATGGCCATGTTCAATAGCTTTTTGTATGTTTAACAGGCCGGGTAGCAAAAATCAAACATGGCGTGCTGGAACCCCATTGATTCCTGTGATTTCCCATTTGAAGATCCAGCACGATGATGCACGAGCCATGGGATCTACCATGGACACAAACCACTTCTTTATATCTATAGTCTATGAGTCTCTATTATATAGTCTCTGTATATATTATAATATATATGTCGATCGTTTATATGTCATGTAGTCTTTTACATGCTGGTTTCAATGTTCAGAATAGACTATCTAATTCACAACTACTATCATGATTCCTGGCTGTTTGCTATTCAAATCCACCTTTTTTATGGTTCGTTGGTCCGTTGACGCCGCCAAAATCACGTCGTGTCCTGACGCGAGGTGCGGACCACGTTCCAATTCTTCATGAGTTTGGCATTTTTTCTGCTCTTCGGCTTGGGCTGTCAGATGTGCCTTGGTTAAAAGAATATTGCTGGGTATCGCTGGGTGAGGGAGAGGCCGAAACTACTTTGGGAAGCCCAAAATATCGAGCTTGTTCACATTCTTTTCACTGCTTGGAAAACTTGGTCCCAAAAAGTTCAGCTATGTTCAGCTCAATTTAGGTCAAGAACTTTCCAGGCACAACTCTCATCCGCCGCCAGATTTGCCATGTCTGAGGCATTACAGGACCTACGCCATCCACCTGCAGGAAAAGTGCCTCGAGCAGCAGGTGCTGTCGAGATCTGTCGAGCAGCTGTGCAGATGGGGGATGATCTCATAGGAAGAGCTGGTTATAATGGGGATGTACCCTCTGGTAAACGTGTATGTAACTATGCTTTACGGTACTTATAACTATAGTTGCTGGGGCTTATAAACCAACTTATACCTGGGGGGCCTCACATTGTAGTGGTTAGTCCAAGGACCACCAACTACCCTCTGGTAAACGTTTACATAACTATGGAAAGATCCACCAATTTTAATGGGTAAATCCACTATTTCAATGGCCATGGCTTCAATAGCTATTGATGTCAGGGGGATATATTTGGATATTCAATGACCATGATCAATATGATCTCATTGGCCCACGTCACCGGGTTTATGATGGGAAAACATGGGGAAGAAGATATTATTAATATGACAATTATCATGGTGTGGATGATCATGATGATCATGGAAAATGGCTTTGAAAGACCATTTTTTTAAGATTTCTTTGAGTGATTGAACTCAGTCCTATGAGTTCCAAATCCACAAATCCACAAGCCAAATACAGTCCACATTGGCAACCAGATTTCACCAGCCGGAAGATGGGGAGCACATGAGAAAAAAAGGTGGGTTGAAGATGGTCGAACTAGTTGAAGCAACAACGTCAGGATATTATAGTAAATAATCCATATCATGATTATCAATAATGATCCATTGAATATGATTATTGAATATACTACTATTGAATATACGTAAAATTAAAAATGAATATAATTATTGAATATAAAATTATATATTATTATAATACAATATAGTCCATATATTAGTAATGTTATATTCAGTTTCTGTCATTACGTAAAAATATGTCGTCTGACTGTCAGAAAGGAAATTCGCGAAAATTTCATCCGGTTCCCGTGGACTTGATCACAACGTTGGCGAGTGTTACTTAAATGTAGCATTCCTTTAGGGCCACGGGGCAAATGTTTGTAAAATGTTTGTAAATATCCAATTTGCCAGATTTTGGATATTTTGCGGGGAGGTCAAACTTGCTATTTTAGGTGGCTGGTTTCAGTGTCATTGGCTTGTTCTATTTTTAGACGGTATCTAAAAACCAATGTTTCTCCGTTTCGTGAATCACAGTCCATGTGTCAGTTGGTTACAACAACCCATGTTCATCAATGTTGTGCCTGAAAAATGTTTAACGCCTGTTCATCCCGACTGATAAAGTGATATATCTGGTTGGTGGCATGAATTTTATTGTTCCATATATTAACCATCATTAATCATTAACCATATATTAACCGGTGATAAAGTGATATATGATATTCTGGTGGTTTATAACCATATATTAACCATCATGAACAGTATAGTTAACCATCTACCATCTGGTTATTTAACATAGCCATGGAAAATCACCATTTTTAATAGGTAAACCCAGGTAAACCATCTATAAATGGGCAATTTTCCATGGCTATGTTAAATAACCAGAGGGTATATACACCATCCGCTCCGTGACTTTTTTTTGTTCAGTTCAGCAGCGCCGCCGCCGCTTGTTTGAGGAACCTGCGGCTGCAGCTGACGGATTCGGCGACGGAGGTGAATGAGATCCCACAGATGTTCGAGTGGATGGAACAGACGTGGTTGCTGGGTTTGGATCATCCACCAATGATGGTGGATCCATAGATTTTATGGTGATTTTATGGTGGTTGTATGATGATTTTATGGTGATTTTATGCCGTCCCAAGTGATTCAATGGTGATTTTATGGTGGTTTGATGGAAATTTCAATGGAAAATCCATAGATGATCTGGTTTTGTGTCATGGCAGTCATGGGGGTAACCCCCAGTCATCATCGAGTCGTCGATGACCTTTTTAGCATTGAAACAACCATGGTGGTTTGGGGATGCCCCATGACTTACCATCTGGTTATTTAACAGTTCGCCATGGAAAGATCCACCATGCTTTTAAGAACGGTAAACCATCTATTTCGATTAGGGCCATCTATACCATGGCTATGTTAGTCATAACCAGAGGGTAAGAAAAAAAACAATCTGAGATCTGCGGATGACTTTGGAGGTTTACCCGGAGGGCTGTCATCATTGCCATGGCGGACAGCGCTTCGAAATTTGCGAAGTAAATGGAGGTCTTCAACAGGAGAAGCATCAATAAATTCAATAAATGGTGATTTGGAAACCAAATTTCACCAATGTAGGAATTGAACCTAACAACAATGTGACTCAATGGCCGAGTTCAAAAATTGTTTTGGGTATGGATCAAACATTGGGTACCCCGTTATTTTTTGAGTTCCGGCACTTTGTTTATCATCATTTCCATGTTCCAGCCTTAGTAAAATTTCCATGTTGTGAGTAGACCCTATTCTTGGACCAACCCACTAGGTCGTTTTCGAGTGATTTTGGGATGCCTGATTTTCGTTGGGAATTCTTTTTGTAGGTGGATTCTTGTCGGTGTATTTTGCTTAATCTACGTGTTATTTTTTTGCTTTAAATCTTTAATGCGTATAAGTTATATGGTGATTACCCTCTGGTAATTTAACATAGCTATTGAAAATGGCCCGTTTATAGTGGATTTTCCCATGAAAAATGGTGATTTTCCATAGTTATGTTAGTTTACCAGAGGGTACCATTCCTTTACCATTGCCAAGCCATCAGAGATTGTTTTGGGATGATTTTCATGAAGATCTCTAATGACTCTGATGTCAGCCCCGGCCTGGCCGTTCTGAGGTTCCCCTTCCTCTGGAATTCGCCCAATGCAGCAGGCACCACAGGGAGCTTGTTACCCTCGCGACAGCTCACGCTCCTGGGAGGATCGTTGCAACTTGGCAGCTTTTTTGGGGGAAGGGTGGAGGGGATGGTGGGTAGAAGACCATAGCTAATTGATCTTCCGGGAATTATTAGTGGAGGCTAGAAGACCATAACATTATATATATATACATATACATATATATACGCCTATTTTTTGATGGGAATTGTTGGGCGTATAGCTGAATGCGACAGTTACCAAATTACACAGATTTATTGGGAGAATTACCCTCTGGTTATTTAACACAGCCATGGTATAGATGGCCCATAGAAATAGATGGTTTACCGTTCTTAAAAGCATGGTGGATCTTTCCATGGCAATTAGTTTTTGTCATAACCAGATGCTAGTTTTAGACAATCATCTACCAGCATTTCATACATTTTCATACATCTACCATATCAGCAGGATACAATCATGTTCAAGGGGAAATCCCGATTGTTAATGTAGATTATACCCTCATTTACCCATGTTTGGTTGCTGAAATCCATGGATAATTATTGAACTCCCACTTGGCTAGGTTGGATCACCATAAATCACCCATGTTTTACTTCATAAAACATACAAAAGTCATAAAAAGTCATCAGAAATCACCATGTTTTACCACCATCCCACAATGTGGGCCCCCCCAGTGATGTTAGTTGGTTTATAAACCCCATGAACTATAGTTATTTGCGTACCATAAACCATAGTGAAATTGCAGTTATTGGCACCAACTTAGGTTTGCCGGTTAGGATCCCTTCACCGGATCCGTGGTAGTGCAGGCTGAAAGTGATCAGCAGCCCGGAGGAGGAGTGCGTCTACGTCACGGGCGCCACCTGCTATGACCAAGGCCGCCGAAGTTGAGCCAGAATTTTCTGCTGGGAATTCCAGAGGTTTCCAAAGTCATGGGGGAAAATTCGAGTTATCATATGTTCATCATCCATGAAATCCACATGTTAATCCACATTAATCCACTTATTCATCCACTTATTCATCCATTAATCCACTTATTAATCCATATGGCAGTGTGTCAAAACCTGAAAAAACCCTGGTGAACCCCTAAAAATAGCTGGGATTTATGGATGTTCCCCCTAAAAATGCTATTAATAGGTATTGATCCATACCCATATGTTCATCATCCATGAAATAGATGGATTTTCCATGAAAACCATCCGGCTGGGGTAGCTCCATAGGAGATAGAAAAGGAAGAACCAGCTGGGGAAAACATGGACTTCCGCCGGACCGCAGTGATGCCATGAATTTCCGAACGACGGGAAACCAGTTGAGCCCGCCCCAAAATGCCAACGAGTTATTGCCGTTATTATAGGATCCATGGTGCTGGTATATATGCTAACATGGATCTCATCAATATACCCCATTTTTGTTAGCATATTTCTCCCAGCACCATGGATCCGTCATGGGATATAAGCCATATTAGGGAAACCTATCGTTGGCAACTAGTAATGTTGGATGGACAATAGTAAAGCGCGTGCAATAGCTACAAATAATTTTCAGAATCTGATTTTTCAGCCCCTATTGATTTTAAATTAGGCCTTATTGATTTTAAATTACAAACATCAACCTTGGGCCAGAGCATCTGCAATAAATGTGGTTCATTCGCAATAGCTACAAATAATTTTCAGAAAATTCCCAAATTATCAGACTTTACAATACTAAATTGCAAAGGAGCTAATTGAGATTTAGTATGGATGCAGGAAAAAAATCAGAACCAATTACAGTTCAGCTGTATTTTTTCCCTTCTTCCTTAGTGTTTTTAATTGTGGTTGAATGGTTTTAAATTGTGATTGCATGCTTTTCAAAAGCAAAAAAACAAAGCAAACCTTTACCAAATCAAAAACTTTACCTTGTTCAAAAAAGCTGTTTTCTTTATTAAAATCCTTTTAAAAAATTGCAAAAAACAGGTCCACAAAGGGTACCCCCTTGCAGGCCCTTGCATTTGCAATTAAAAACTGGAATTAGCACTTGCAATAAGAAACAATCTTCCTGGCTCTAGCAGGCATTTTTTCCCTTCTTCCTTAGTGTTTTTAATTGTGCTTGAATGGTTTTAAATTGTGATTGCATGCTTTTCAAAAGCAAAAAACAAAGCAATCCTTTACCAAATCAAAAACTTTACCTTGTTCAATAAAACTGTTTTCTTTATTAAAATCCTTTTAAAAAATTGCCAAAAACAGGTCCACAAAGGGTACCCCCTTGCAGGTCCTTGCATTTGCAATTAAAAACTAGAGTTAGCACTTACAATAAGAAACAACCTTCCTGGCTCTAGCAGGCATTTTTTTCCCTTCTTCCTTGGTGTTTTTAATTGTGGTTGAATGGTTTTAAATTGTGATTGCATGCTTTTCAAAAGCAAAAAACAAAGCAAACCTTTACCAAATCAAAAACTTTACCTTGTTCAAAAAAGCTGTTTTCTTTATTAAAATCCTTTTAACAAATTGCCAAAAACAGGTCCACAAAGGGTACCCCCTTGCAGGTCCTTGCATTTGCAATTAAAAACTGGAATTAGCACTTGCAATAAGAAACAACCTTCCTGGCTCTAGCAGGCATTGTTTTCCCTTCTTCCTATCAGAATCCAATGAAGATCCCATCAGAGCCCATCAGAAAAGAGAGGATTTGTCAAAACCTTACAGAAGCCTTTGGGGAAGAGTTGGGATTTTCGATTTACTATTGCAAAGCAGACCCCCCCCCTAAAAAAAAAATAGGGGGGGATCCCCCTTTACTATTGTCGATGTAACATTACAATGAGAAGGGATGGGCTAAAATGTTCAACGGCTCAGTTGGTTTGAGAATCACAACGGTGATCATTGGTGATCTATCCCATAACACATGAGCTAACACCTTATGATATCCAAAGGCCAAATGATGATCCTATCAGTTGGCGTTTTGAACCCAGTTGGTTTGATGATGCCTTTGATGTAACTACTTGGTTCCTACATATACAGTCTATACAGTAGCATCTAATCGCTTGGCTATGACATGGTACCATGGATTTTGTCAACTGTGCACTTTTTTTGCGGAGTGACATCCCTGTCTTGCTTGATGATACCTTCATTTTTCCTGGTCAATTGTTTGTTCCTCAAAATCTCATTGCCAATCATTGCCGTCCCTTCAGGCAGGGATTCTGACAGAAATTCAATATAGATACTCCCCAGTTTCCCATTTCTGATGGTTTTGGTGGGTTTTGCCATGTCCACAGAAAAAATCCCCAAATATGTGATGATGCTAAATCACCATGCTTGATGATGAAATCCACATGTGCTCATGCTGAAATACCAGCCCCTTTTTAAGAAACACCATCTGTTCCATCTCATTTGTTGAGCTCAAATCAGCAATCTTCAATTCAACGACTAACAATCCACATCACTAACCATCACTAACCATCACTAACCAACACTAACCATCCAGGGTGAGACTTTTTGGTCGTCTCCAGGCGAGCGCGCCTATAACTACGACCCCGTGCTGAACGGCTGGGACGTCCACCGGCGTCTGGCCACAGCCTCGGATGCGGAGGCGACCCCAGGCGCGGCGCCAGAGAGGGATGGGATGGTGGAGATGAATCATAGGGTTTCATAGGGATTCATATGGGTTTGATATGTGGATTAAGTGGGTTAATAAGTGGATTAATGGATTTATATATGGATTAATAAGTGGATTAATGGATTTATATATGGATTAATAAGTGGATTAATGGATTTATATATGGATTAATAAATGGATTAGTGGATGAATAAGTGGATTAAGTGGGTTAATAAGTGGATTAATGGATTTATATACGGATTAATAAGTGGATTAATGGATTTATATATGGATTAATAAGTGGATTAGTGGATGAATAAGTGGATTAAGTGGGTTAATAAGTGGATTAATGGATTTATATGTAAATTAATATGTGGATTAATGGATGAATAAGTGGATTAATGGATTAATGGATGAATAAGTGGATCAACATGTGGATTAATATATGGATCAATGGGATGTGATTGATCGTCAATCTTTGAACGATTTTTTAATGGGATCTAGCCGCGAAAGAGTCATGGAATGCTGAACATTGATGGTGTAAACTTGATTCAACAAATTGTAGTTGAGTGGGTTATGCTAAAGTTGTTGCATCTCCACATATCTAATTCATTTGTTTCCTTGGTGACTTTCCAGTTGTGATTGTTTAAGATCCAAGTTGTTTCTAATTGGGCTCTAGAGCCCAATTAGTTTGCCTGCTTACATCTGGGGCTGTCTCAAAATTGGAAGTCCATCATTCATGTCGTCCATCCCAAAAGCCATCCCTCGTGGATCGCCGTGTCAAGGTTGGACGGGGCCAAGTAGACTCATGGCTTTCTACCAGTGGTTGCGCCCCATGCTGCCGTTTTCTAGCGAGGGATGGTACGAGGCCGAGGCCGACGTGACTGTGCCGTGGCAATGGGTCTGAAGATGAGACTTCAGCCCTCCCCCCAAAAAAAAAACTACCCTCTGGTAGACTAACAGAATGAACTGGAAAGATCCACCATGTTTCATGAGAAAATCAACTATTTCGACTGGGCCATTTTCAATAGCTTTTTGTATGTTTACCGGAGGGTAGCTAAAGGACTAAGGGGATTCCGTTTCAGTGTCGAAATCGCTTGGTGTTTTTGAGCCAAAACCAGCCAAAAGCGGCTTACTGGTGAGATCCGAAAAATGAAGTGGCAAAATGCCTATTGTGGCTGACTAAATCTGGTAATTTCATGACTCTCATCTTTTGCTAAATCTGAGATCCTGATTTTTAGGTTAAAACTCCTCTTTTCCAGCAGAAATCCAGCCATTTTCGCTGCTCAAATCCAGCCCTTTCTGCCCTTTGCCTTTCCCCACAGGCGCCGGACGCCACAGCCGCCACGGCCGCCGCGCCGGACGCCGAGACGCCGCGGACGCCGCGGACGCGGCGGCCAGTGGGGAATCTGCCGCCCAAGGCAGGGATCACCAGGGATTTGAAAGTCATTTTTGGGACATCCCTGGAGGTACCCTCTGGTGAACTAACATTTTTCTATGGAAAATCACCATTTTTCATGGGAAAATCCACTATAAATGGTGATTTTCCATTGCTATGTTAGTTCACCAGAGGGTATACCATGGTAATGTCAACCCCCGGATTTGGCAAAAAACCATGGTTTATGACAATTAGGGGGTATTCCCCCAATAGTCATGATTTGGTACCTAAATGGTACCTTCCCAATTAAATGGCCGTTTGGGGTTTATGAATCCGGGGTTGACATTATACCCAATAGTTTCTGACCAAAACTGACCATGAATGGATGGTATAAACATGTATAAACCATCAAAATATACAGTAGGTGGTTCATTATTACTAACATTATTGGTTGGTGGTGACTGGAACCATGGAATTTTATGACTTTCTATATACTGGGAATTTCATCATCCCAACTGACGAACTCATATTTTTCAGAGGGGTAGGTATATCACCAACCAGAATAGTGTCTTGATGTGTATAATATATATACATATATATTATACATATTGATTTTAGTATCTATGAAGTAAAGATGATGTACATAGTTTCTTCTAGGTGTAGAATGTATTCAAATGTGGATTGTTTGAAGTAGAAACGATGAATTGGCCTCTAATTTGGAAGCAAGATTGTGCGGCTTTTTCTGAAGGGAGGTGGGAAACGTGGTGTACATCTTGAATTTTGCAATGCCATGAGCAGGAAACTGTCGTCAAATGCTGGATTGATATTCATGGATTTTCTATTGTCAGCTTTGTATACCCTCTGGTAAACTAACATAACTATGGAAAATCACAATTTTTCATGGGAAAATCCACTATAAATGGTGATTTTCCATAGTTATGTTAGTTTACCAGAGGGTATCCATACTGTTTGACCGGCTTTGTAGCCAACCAACATGGTGAATTTGTTACGTAGCAAATTACCACTGAATATAGGTGAACCTACCAGGCCAAATGCGGTCCGGTCAGCACAAGATCTGCGCAGTTAGGATAGCCACTGCTTAGCTTGTGGGAAATGACAGTTGATCAAGTGGGGATGGGTCAAAACCCTGGTACCCCAAAAGTGAACCCCTGAAAATAGCTGGGATTTATGGATGTTCATCCCCCTAAAAATGGTATTAATAGGTGTTGATCCATAGCCAAGTGTTTTTTTGTTTTTTTCCCACCCCAAAAGCGTTGTGCCCTTCCACCCCTTGGCTCCATTTGGCCCCCGCGTCGAGGCCAAGAGGTTGTTGCAGGGCGGCCTGGAAGGCTTACCTTCCAAGAAGACCAAGAGAAGTAGATCCCTGGCCTGGAGCCGGGCGAATTCAGCAAAATGGACTCGAGATGAAGAATCTACAACGAGTTACTGTTTGAGTATTCTATGTATTTAATAGGTATTATTAGGGATTTATAGGGCATATTGGGATATACTGGGAACACACATATATATATATATATATATATGGCCATGGATCAATACCTATGAAAATACCATGTTTAGGGGGTTATTCACATCCATAAATCCCAGCTATTTTGATGTGAACTGCAGGGGTACTATTGGTTTTGACACACTGCCATATATGGATTTATAGGGATTTATAGGGAATATTGGGATATATTGGGAACACACATATATATATATATATAAATGTATATATATATATACATATATAAACGCGATATATAGGGAAACTCCAAGAGGATCAGGAAGGTCAGTGGATCGGCCACCAAGTTCATGTGGAAGTGGTAGTTATGGAGAGATCAGCTGCCGTCACCAAAGCCTTAAGGGCAATGAATTCAGGCAGGAATTTTGTTGATTCAAATGAGTTGATGGGCCTTTCAGCCAACCAAGGAATTATGTTGATTTAAAATGATTCAAATGATTTGATTTCATTGATTTGATGGGCCTTTCAGCAACCAAATTCATGATATTCATGGCGATACAGCTGACATCCAATTGAATTATGGATGTGAGAGATTGTTCTATAGTGGATCTTGACCATGCGAATTGATGTTGTTTCAGAAAATAACTAACAGCATTTTTCATAACTCATTGATAAACTACAGTTATTACCCCAGTTGTAGCTCGAAAATCCAGCCATGTTTGGCTTAAAATATCTGCCGTGGTCATCACAGCAGCAAAAAAAAGGCCAAGGACATGGATGGATGCGTGCCTTCTTCGAAAAATCCGAGCCTTCTTCGAAGCCCAGGTGGGGATGATGGCAATGTTTGGCGCCATCACTATGTGGTTTTTTTTGGGCAAACACAGAAAAAAGGGGGGTAATCCCATGGAATCCCATAAAAAACCCATCAAAACCATAGGTTTCCCATACTAAAACAGATTAAAAAACTGTCTACTGTTGGATGATAAAAAAGGGGTACCCCCATTTGGGAAAGCCATGAATTGGTGTTGCGGTGTTCATAAAGCCATGACTGGTGCAAAGCCATAACGCAGGCGAGTGGTAGTGGAGTCCCATTGCTGGCACCAGGGACCCTGTAAAGAAACATGGGTGTGTCTGAAAATAGTGTACCCCTAAACCCAATGGTTAATGATCATTATCCCTATTAAATGGCTATTTCATTGGGAATATACCCTATTTTCAGACAAAACCATATGTTGATTGGGTCCACATCGATACAGCATCCCAGATATGAACCAATCTTGAATCCTTATGACTCTGCTAGAACATGAGATCAATAAAATCAATTAAAATCATGCATCAATGCACACATCCTACCACGGGTTATCTCCATATCTCAATGAATTTCAAAGTTGAATCCGTACCATATGTTTCCAGTGAGGTCTTCATTTCTGCCCCCAAAAAGTTATATGCTGCATTATTATAGCCCCATGAACTACAGCTATAGCTTCCATAACTGCCACCAAACCATACCAATCCTATCTGGTTGGTGATTTGGAATATTTTACATTATTTTCCATAATATATGGGATAAGCCTTCCCATTGACTTTCATATTTTTCAAGATGGTTATTGCACCACCAACCAGCTATAGTTATTCGAGTTATAAACCACCAACTTCGCGGCCGAAAACGACCCAACCCCCCGCAGTGATTCGTGACTGGGGCACCACATCTGTGGCATCCAGGCGTCGCTTGGCGCCAACGTCTTCTGCACCTTGGCGCCAGCGAATAAGATCCACTCTGGATGAAGAGATGATCTACATATTTTTGGGAGATAGAAATCGTAAGGGTCTTTAGACTAAATAAATAGATAAATAGATAAATAGATATAGTAAAGTATAGTATATGACTGATTATAGATAAATAACTATTTATATATGTGTATAGTGTATACATATCATATGGAATATGAAACATGTTGGGTAGCACGGTGCGATAGACTTAGCATGTGGGATATGACTTGTAGGCATGGAATGAAATTGTCAATTGTTCATGAAATTTGGTTGACACTTGTTTATATTCTGTTTATATTTGTTCTTAGTCCCAAGATGATTCTTATCCATCATGTCACTCTTGCATATCTACATGATCTTATCGTGTCGTGCTGTATCTTTCAGCCTATCAATGCTCATGCGTGGGGCCCTTCAGAAGCGGCTTCACAATTGATATGTTCAGCTCGCATGGGGTCCACCGGTCCACCTTCCTACTTTGCGGTTTTGCGTGTATGGGTCGTTATGGTCATTATCTGTCGGACAAACTCAACCGATAGAGCACTATTTAGCCATGCACTTAATCACTTGATCGGCGTTTCCAACCATTTGGTATGAAATGCACTTGACTTTCATATGTTTCTTGGGATGGCTTGAGCATCAACTAATCAACTGGGGATGAAAGTGCTCAAGCCATCCCAAGATAAAGCCATCAACTGATCTTGATGGGTTTTTCATGTGTTTTTTGAACCCCATTAGGATCAGCAACTGGGGATGGAATTGATTTTTTCTCCTGAGTGAATCTTCAGGTGATTATGGATGGATTGCCAGAACCTGTTGGAAATGAAAAGGCGGGCGATGGGGCTTGGCTGGGCCTCAACAAAATTCACTGATAATTCAACGAACATTTCAGATAAGACTTGGACTTTTTCTAAGGTTGGGTAGCTCCAATTTCGGATTTGTTGTCATTGAATTCCACTTCGATAAGAATATGGAATTGACAAAAAAGTTGCACTTTCAGATTTCGGATTTCGATATCTTTTGGGGTCTCTTTTTTAAAAGCGGCTCCACTTTCCCGTCCACGAGCGCGTTACCGCAGGCGGCCATCACGGTGATTCCTATGAGTCGCTCCTTGGCCAACGTCTCCAAGCAGCTACAGACCTGGCAGATGCTCGGCGCGCTGAGCAACTGGGAAGAACTGGGAATCATCGCCTGAAAAATGGCCGCTTAATGGCGGCCGCTACTGATTCAGGTCAGTGAAATAATTTAATATTGCAATTTAGTACAAATTACCCAGATTGATATCATAGAAATCCATAGTGATCCAGTGGGAATATGCATTGTATAGTGATATATAATGGATATAATGATGTATATATTATCCATGATTATGGATGTATGATCCATGATTATGGATATGTATATGGATATTGTAGATATGACTTTAATGGATATTGATAATGGATATCTATTATTGTGGATGTTGTAGATAGATTATCCAGTGATATCATTGATCCACATGGGAATCTGTGGTTGAATCATGAATCTAACATTATCTGACTTCATTGAAGAATCACATATCGATTCTGGGGAGAATCAAGTATACAATGAACTTAGCTGAGAAAGAATATGTGATCATTTGTGATAGGTGAGAATATATGTACTGTATGTGGTTGAATTGTTTTGAGTCATTGCTTCAAGATATATTTGAGCAACGGACTCGGCCGCAATCGGCTATCCATATGGAAGCAGCGGATGGATGCCAATAATGTATAATTAAAGGTACCAATGATCTCCGAAAAAAAGAATGGCAAATGTGGTTGATTTCCGGTGAGCAATTTTGAGCCGCTCAAACCTTGGAAAAGTGTTTAGATGTCAAGAAGCCTGCAGTTCACACCACAGTCTTTACCCTTGGTCTATCTAGGGGAAGCCATATGTTGTTGTTTGATGTTCTAGTCCAAAAGAAAGCACAACGGAAGAAAACATGCTGCTTAAACGATTAGCTATAGACCCCAATCCGTGAGATGATTTGGCTATAAGTATAACCAACAAGTTGTTTAGTGTTTGAGTAGTTCGTGGGTACAGAATCTGGGTCCGCTGAGATTCCTGTCGTTGTGCTGTATCCAAGAAGACAGGGTGCATCAAGTTTAAACCACAGCAAACCATCATAGTTTATACGCAGCAACAGCTGCCTGAGCAGACCATTGGTTTCACAAATTTGTGTCTACCCTCTGGTAATTTAACATAGCTATTGAAAATCACCATTTTTAATGGGAAAATCCACTATAAATGGCCATTTTCAATAGCTATTTTGACATAACCAGAGGGTATCTATGACTGGAATTGAGTTGTCGAATTGTGGCCGACCTCGCCATATATTGAGCTTTGATATACATGATTTTGCTTGCCCAAATGAGTATGCAGCATGTTCCCAAGGACAGACTGTATTAAATACATTTAGACAGACATCATCCGATTTCCACTTATCCATTTGGAAGATCATTATCATCAGTGGTTAGCTATAAGAATATAGCTATCCTTGGGTCCCAGAACTTGGTGGCTGAGGACCGATATGAATCGCTTGGTAAGCCAGCGGACCTTGGCTCCTTGTCATTTGGAAGGCATGGCATGGCATGGCCCCAGGTGAAAAAAAGGGTCTACTTTTCTCCTCAACTCGTGGCCCTTCAAAGGGGGAACAAGATGGGAACATGATGATCAGTTCGATGGCCATTCCAGGAACCTAAATTGGATGTACCTACCATGGACCATATATAAGGCCTATTTTTCAGGCCTAAATTTCAGGGAATATCCCCCCAAAATATGGCCAAAAATATGGTACTAACGTATCTCCATAAATTGGGTCCTGAAGATCTCCCATTGATCAGTGCCTGGTAGATGTCATGTGACTTATATAAAATCTCATGACCACATGGCAATTCTCTTCAAAACCATTCATGTGTCAAAAAAATGGGCCATGTGTTTCACGGTTGATTCAACACGGTTTAAACATGTTTAAACCTTCAAAATGCTGCCCCTTGATATTCTTCTGCCAAGGGTTGACCCTGTGAAAAACGCCCGCCTGCTGTCGCACCAAGATCGTTGGCCTTGAGACGATGGTACGAAATGAGCAGACGCAGCTGTTGACGCATGTCTTTGTGAACTTCCTCTTGAGTCGATCAGGCGGGATATCTCGGGATGGCGCAAGCCCGGTATATAGCTGGTTGGTGGTTTCTGAATGGATTATGGTCCATTTCATATATGGGATGTCATCCTTCCCATTGACGAACTCCATCATTTTTCAAGATTGTTAAAACCACCCACCAGATACGGTTGCGCATGAGACTCAAGTTTCCCTGATAGTGAAGAGTAAGAAAAGCAAGAATGTGAGGGGTCCAGGGCCCAGGGTCTTAGATTTTGAAGAGCCATCCAACGGTCTGCAAAATCCACAATTCATAGATGGCAATGCAACATTCCAGCAAATGTGTCATTACATTCCATTTGAGCAGATGCTTTGAGATGTACAGCACTCAAGGGTAATCTATGGTAATCTAGCCTGAAAATCTTTCACAATACTATCCACCTATGACTGGCCGGGTGATGATAAAAAATGAGGAGCGATCTTCGTCCAAGTGCGCCTCCTTTCGTTGCACACGGTGAACGACCCCTGGGTGTCTTGGCATTTTTTCCAGCCATTTTAGACATGGTGCTGATGTGGGATGTTGAATATTGATATGTTGCCCTCTGGTAAATTAACATAGACCCTGAAAATCACCAATTTTTAGAGGAAACTAATCTTCCAACCCCTATCTACCAGGTTAATTTACTGGAGGGTATAGAGATATATATATATACACACACAAAATATTGGTTGAATAAAAACCTACGTCAAAGTTTGGAAAGGTGCATGAAACCAGCAAATGGCGAATTCTGATGTGGTTTGTGGTGGTTTATGGCGAAGGACCAAAATATGGAGCACCTGGGTTGCAATGCCATGTTGAAAAGATTAGCACTTGGCCGCAAGCATGATGTCCAAATCAAAAGGATAATATAACATATACCCTCTGGTAAATTAACATAGACCCTGAAAATAGCTTAGTTTTAATGGAAACTAATCTTCCAACCCCTATCTGCCAGGGTCTATGTTAATTTACCAGAGGGTATCCTATATAACAAAATTTTGAAAACATGCTGGAACTCGTGGTTGTGAATCGATCCTCAGGTCCGTTCATCCTCACAATGTTTAACCCCGGATGCATACATTTGATCAATGAAATTCAATGAACTCAGAATGTGATCAGTTGCTACTGATCAGTTGCTACTTCAATGACCAATGAAACCAGAGGGTTATTGATGGGTTGAGAGTGCACGCAAATGATCCACGGTCTCGTGCTTTGTCCATATCAATGGTAAATTGTGCACCGCTGCTTTGTTGTTCGGACATCTCCCAACATCGTCTCTGGTTTTACGGTTTTTCTCCCGAAGAAAATGGGTCCCAAAAATGGTTGAACTCACGGTTGAACACGTCATTTCCGTCGAAATTGCCATCTTCAAGGGGTACACCATCTCTTTTAAGACACTTCCAAATATCAACTAATTATTTAGTTGGAGAGTTGACTCATTGTATCCCAATTTTGTCTGATATCCTGATTATATCCCTTTTGATGTATTGTTTTATCATATTTCATCTCTGATGGTCAAACCCCCATAGCAGCAAACTTCGTTGGATCATTCGTTGAAGCTCCAAGGCCATGATTTTGGCTGCGATCTGGGTGATCTTCCTTCTTGGCTGCATCGTGGCACCTGAGCAGCAGCTACCTTCAGAGAGGACTTGAGCTAGAGACATCATGCTTTACCAGGCCTTCCACTTTTTCTCACCAAGATCTCAAAAATATCTAAAGCTCTAAAACTGCTTTATTGTTCTTCCAATGGTTCTTCCAATGGTTTTCCAGTTTTTCCACCCACAAAACCCCCAAACGGTTTCACCGCAGCTCCTTCCGAGGCGTTGCTGGCGCAGATCATCATCGCCTTCTCCAACGGCCGGGCGGCGGCACATGCGAAGAAGATGTCGACCCTGGTGCAGTGGGCCATCGCACCTGGGACATGGATACCGGTAGTTGGTGCTGACTGGAACATGGGGATTCAAAACATGGGGATATTTTTTGGGATAGCCAGCTATAGTATAGTTATATATGTTATATAACATTATATAGTTAAATATATATACATATATATACTTGGTTGGTGCTGACTGGAACATGAATGGATTATGACTTTCCAGAAACAGTTGGGAATGGAAAATCATCCCAACTGACAAACTCCATCATTTTTCAGAGGGGTAGGTCAACCACCGACCAGATACATATGGATAATCTAGGATGTTCAATTAGAGGTTTATGATACCATGTGATATTTCACAAGATTGGATACCATTGAATGATACGTAGCATTTTATGGAAAACTCATTGATTACCATAGATAATGATATGGAATAAGGTCAAATTCCATTAAATCACAGTTTCACCATAGCTAATGATCATTGATTACCTTTGTTGTTTGACAATAGCTTGTTAGCCTTGGCGTCATGTTAAATGTTCAGCGATGATCCATGGCACACCTGGGGATTTAGCCCCAAACAACATCGCCCAGCTGTTTGTTCAACATACCCGGCCTGGTAAACATACAAAAAACTATGGAAAGTCACAATTTTTAATGGGAAAATCCACTATTTCTATGGCCATTTTCAATAGCTTTTTGTATGTTTACCAGAGGGTATCTACAATTAGTGAGGCCCCCGGCCACGAGAGCGTTCAGTTGGTACCAATAACTCCAATTTCACTATGGTTTATGGTACGCAAATAACGAACTAGTTACTGGGGCGAATCTAAACCAACGTTCACATCACTGGGGGGCCTCACATTGTACCGTATAGGTATATTAATGTGATGCAATATGTAGTAATATGTCATCGTTCATCGTGAAGTTACAGATTTGCAAGTGTTTTCCATCTGATACTTTCCATGACATGGTTTACAAAGGGTTGACTAAAACTATGACGTATTAATTTCCCATAGTATCTCATAGTTACCCTCTGGTAATTTAACATAGCTATTGAAAATGGTCCTTTTATAGTTGAAACTCCTATTAAGCATGGTGATGTTCCATAGCAAACTGTTAGTTTACCAGAGGGTAATCGATCATGAATAAATCCAAATCAACATTCCAGACACTTCCACATAAATCCATATTACAAGTTACATACCGATCATATATTTCATCTTGAACATGTCAAATCCATATTACATCATATGACATGAATATTTTGGTGATTGACCATATATTTCCGATATCACATTAATTATATCCCCATGAATATATTTCAAACATATATATAATATATATATATTGGTTGATGATATTACATGATCTTACACATGATTTGTATCTGACTGTAAGATTACCCGTAATCTTACAAATCTATATATCTATATTTGAAAATATATGATATCCACCATAATCTTACAATTATATACAAATATGATCTGGTTGGTGGTTTCAACCATTTTTTTTCCATTTCATATATGGGATGTCATCCTTCCCATTGACTAATATTTTTCAGAGGGGTAGGGTTCAAACCACCAACCAGTGATATATGATGACTTGGTAGCTCATGGTAGCTCCATGTTAGGAAACCTCCATGATCGGATCATAGGGGGAATGGGCCTATCACCCATTATCACCTATAAAAAAAACAATGTTTTTCACATATGGCTATGGATCAATACCTATTAATACCATTTTTAGTGGGATGAACATCCATTTACCAGCTATTTTGATGTTCACCAGGGGTACAAGGTTTTGACACACTGCCATATGTTTCATCACCGCGGCCAAGCCGCGCTTGGCAAAAAGGTGCTGATCGGCGTGGTGATCGTCGCGCTGTTCGTCACCGAGCGGATGGAGATGAGACGCGCCAAAAATTTGGTCGAGGACCGACCTCGCCGGGACCGCACAAAGGGAAAAAGATACCCGGCCTGGTGGGTTTTACCATGGGTTTTATATGGTTTTATAGGACATATCCACTAGTTTTACGGAGGTTTTACCATGGGTTTTATGGGAAAATCATGGGAATATATGGGGATACCCTCTGGTAAACAGACAAAAAGCGAACTGGAAAAATGGCCATAGAAATAGTGAGTTTTCCCATTAAAAGTGGTGATTTTCCAGTTCGTGATGTAAACGTTTACCAGAGGGTATGTATGAAACATAGCGTAAAACCTCAAAAAAATAGTGTGTATACAAAAATTACATATATATATATATATATTAGTCTTTAATGAACATGGATTCTGGAGCCCAATGTATCTTCAAACCTTAATGTTTGATAAGATACTGTATACAGTAATTTTCTTAACCATGTTAGGCTTCAAATACTAGGGAAACGTCAAGATATTTCGTGACTATTGATACCCCGCTGTAAATCGACATAGATACAGAAACTCCACCATGAATCTTGAACATTTCCGTGTCGGAAGACCATGTTTGTTTTTCATATCTATGATATCTTAACGAATTCATCATGTTCAACTGTTCAAACCAGACCTTTCGCATAAAGTAAATCTATAAATTTGGTTGGTAGTTTGGAACATGTTTTATGACTTTCCATTCAGTTGGGAATTTCATCATCCCAAGTGACGTTCGCATATTTTTCAGAGGGGTAAGTATACCACCGACCAGATACATATGGAAAATCTCTAGGATATTCAATTAGAGGTTTATGATAGCATATGATATTTCACAAGATTACATACCATTAACCATCATTAACCATAGAACAACCATCATCATTAACCATTAATATTAACCATTAATATTAACCATTAATATTAACCATTAATATTAACAGTATATGAATCACTGGTTGGTAGGTCAACCACCACCGTCCCCAGAAATCTTGGTTCCAAACCCCCGCACCCGCTTTGCCAAGCCGAAAACGCCACGGCCAGGACTATACATCGGCGCGTCCTTCAGTGAAGGCGTCGGTCTTGGAAGACTTCGACATCAGTTGGTGACGTGGCGATAAGGGTTTTTCGGGCTAGGGATGGCGATTGGGAAAGGGTCAAACGTTGACCAAAATGGCTATGGATCAATACCTATGAAAATACCATTTTTAGGGGAATGAACATCCATAAATCCCAGCTATTTTGATGTGAACTACAGGGGTACAATTGGTTTTGACACACTGCCAAAATGGTGGAAGAAAACCAATTGGTGAAGCACTTATTTCAGCACCAAGACAGTCAAGGCATGGTGGATTTTACTGATTTCAGCACCCCAAGACGTTTTGTCTACCCCCCAAATTGCTGTTCGTCTTTCGGCTGAGGTTCAACCTGCTGCACTTTGTCATCTTCTGGGCCACACGTTCAGACAGTGACCTGGCACGCTGATTTTTTTTTATCCAGGGGGATGGTCGATCATAATGGCTATGAATGGCTTGTAATAGCCATATATGTCATATATATATATATATGTCGGTATAATAAGGGTATAATAAGGGTATAATAAGGGTATTATTATATAATAAGGTTTATTATATGATGATATATGGGTATATTTTAGACTTATATTAATTAATGGCTTATAATGTCGGCTTATATGTCCAATAGTTCATTAATTACATGACTTAAACATCTCCAATGATTTTTGGTTATGATAAGCCGACACATCTCCGAGGATCTTAAACTTCATCGGGTGAACACCACATCTGGTGCTTCAGAAGGGTAAGTGGCTCAACCACCAACCAGTTACCCTCTGGTTATGACTAACATAGCCATGGTGTAGATGGCCCATAGAAATAGATGGTTTACCGTTCTTAAAAATTGTGATTTTCCATGGCTATGTAACAAATAACCAGATGGTATATAGTGTTATATTTATACATCTAATACTATCCATTATGTTTGGATTACCATGAAATGGGATGGATGACCATACCACCTTTTGACCACATTTTGATCGTGGTACATATGGATGTACATATTGGGTATGGTTGCAACAAAGAAACGTTCAAACAATGGAGGATGCTAATGACATCAGATAACCATGTGTCCCATTTGGGCACGTTTACACTAATTTATTATGGGCAAAATTATTGTGTGGGTTAGTATGCTCAGCCCCAAAACGCATGGTTTAATGCTGCAAAAGACAAATTGTGTAGGTACATACCCCAGTTTTTACCTACACCAAAATATAGGTTGGTTGGTTTCACCCCATTTAGTTCCATCCAACGTGGTACAACACACACTTCTCAATTTCAATGGGGTAATGATACCGTTGGACTTGGGGCCTATGTTGGGCAAACCCATACAACCAGCAACTTGGATCAACCGGATGGTTCAATGCATAAAGTGCTGGAATTGATTTTGTGCATGTTTCACACGGAGAAAACACATGCTCTTGAAGGCTGAGATACTAGAAACTTGAGCTTTGGCCCTGCTTGGGAGTAGCAATACTAGCAATACTATGCTTTGCCCATTGACTCAGCGGTGTTTTCGCCAGAATCGAAGTGGTGTAGTTTGGAGCGGAGTATGTCACCTTATGTGATGAGGCGTGACTTACATCAGATATGTTGCTCTGGAAGAAAATCTTGATGCCAGAAGTTCACCCTAAATTCACCATCCATATCTATACCGGTCGATACCATCATTTCACATCATTTCACCCACCATTGCCCGATGTGAAACATGAAAAAAATCAACCATGTGATTCACCATTTGTTTCCATGGAAACATTTCACCCTAATGTTTCACCATGATCTCACCCATCATGTGTCTCATTTCGCAAAAACATCTTCACCATGTTCCCCACATGTCCATCATTGTTTCACCATTTTCCTAGCATGTTCCATGATCTGTTCAATTTGTTCCCATCATTTTTTCCCCACATCACCATTTTCCTCAGATGTTCCCCACATGTTCCTAGCATTTTCCACCATGTGTCCAGCCTTTTTCCAGTTTTTCCACCTAATTGTTCCAGCGTTTTTCCAATTGTTCCACCTAGAGTCTAGAGATTCCAACTTTCAGAAAGTCCCAAGATAATTCCAGCTTGTACGGAATTTTTCCAGCGGTTTTCCCCACCAAGGTGACCTGTTGATCCTGATCTCGCTGTTCCACGTGCTGATCCTGCTGCAGTTCCTCGCAGCCTCCAAGGGCCAACCGCGCCTGGCGCTCTTGGTGAACACCTTGGAGAAGGCCTTTCAGGACATCGTCCACCTGTCCCTGTGGCGAAAATCGGGAGGAAAAATGGTGGGAAAAATGCTGGGAAAAACCTGGGGAAATGGGAAGAACCTGGGAAAGATATGGAAAAACCCGGGGAAAATGGGAAAGGAAGAGAAAAGTTTGGGAAAATTGGGGAAAAAATGATGGTGGGAGTATGATTTATGAAGAAATTGTGAATGGTTTTGAGATTGAAAAAGGATCAACAAATGTGGAATAGCAGTTTGGTTTTAAGATAATTGGATTATTAGTGGATTACCAAAGGCTCTTTAGTGGAGTGAAGGCTCTTGGAAGGTTAAAGATCAGCGGAACATTGGTAAGTGCCATCAAGCCATCTGATGTTTTTTCCGACAAACATGTTCACATCAAATCATCTGTTGATACAAAGATTACCCTCTGGTTGTTTAACATAGCCATGGAAGCCATGGCCCATAGAAATAGATGATTTTCCCAGCGAACTAAACCTCCATTTATTTCAGGGATTTTCCATGGCTATGTTAAATAACCAGATGGTATATCTAAAAAAAGTACAATCTGAGGCCCCCGTTCGATAGCTAAGTTGGTGCCAATAACTCCAATTTCACTATGGTTTATGGTACGCAAATAACGAACTAGTTACTGGGGCTTATAAACCAAACTGGGGGGCCTCACATTGTATCTAATCATGTGTTCAGTGTTGGACCACCATGTTTTGACCCATACCCATCCCATGTCCACAGAAATGAGTTTTTTTTTTATGAGGCTCACCTTAAGAATGCACCCAAACATACTGGTACTTCTGTCCCTGTTTCAGGGGAATGTGAAAGTCAAGATTGGTGAGGAACTGTATATTGTTTTGAACTTGAGAAATGCGGAACTGCTCCCATTTTTTCTCGTATCATCTGGCTGAACTGTGGACCATCACAGCGCGGTCAACCACCGACCACTCCAGCATTTAAGAGCCTCCAGCGGATATAAGTCTACATGATATGTAATTTGTCCAGTATTTACAGTATATCAGTATATCAACGTATATCATATCATATGTTATCTCGCTGTATGTCACATTCAAGTATATCTCCACTAGTTTAGTCTGTTTCCATACCTCCGAGCCGGGGAATCGCCAGCTTCCCCACGGCGTGAAGGTTCGTGGTTTTTCTCTTCATCTTCAGTGCTTTCGTCATCGCCGGACACATCCTCTTTGGGGCAAAGTTGAAGGACGACGCTGCCGACGCTTCTGTTGGAGGTCTAGTGAATCAATATACCCTCTGGTTATTTGACATAGCCATGGAAAATGGCCCATTTATAGATGGTTTACCTATTAAAGATGCTGATTTTCCATGGCTATGTAACAAATAACCAGAGGGTAATTATATACGTGGGGATATAGATGGATACAGAGCAGACGATCCAATAGGGATCTGAATCCGAAGCAGACGAGCACAATCCATGATGTCCATGATCGCCCAAGAGTTGGGATAGAAACAGTGTTTGTTTGAGTGTGTTTGGGGGTGCTCAGGGGGACAGATGTCATGTCTTTTCAAGGGGATTTTGGAAGTCGGTGCAGGACTTCTCAACCGTACAGGGATCATTTGCGAAGAGTTTGGAGCAGGTGGGGTGGGTGAGCCACGGACCTTGGACGGACGAGGGAATCAGATGCTAGCGACAACAACAGATGTACTTAGGGTGGGATTTGCGAAGGTTTATGTTTTCTCTCGTGTTGTTTTAATGTATCTTACTGGGTTAACCTTGACTTGTCAGGCTCATCACGGCTCATCTTTCTTTCTTGATCCATAATGACAAAATAGACTCACCTGTTGGTTTTTGCACGGGCATACCGGGATATCTAAGATTGGCTGTGGATATGGAACTCGTGCGGGATGGACCCAAGAATAAGACCCAAGCTAGGTGTGGTTACCAAACTTCATTTGAAGGAAGAAAACGTGGTCATATTCGAACCAACCACTTCAAAAATTATAAACTAGGAAAACATAAACCAATGCCAAATCGGAATCCAAGTCCCAAAGCCCTGCTACGCCCCAGGTGGTTTCCTTCAAGACCGACTGGGACGTCATCACCCAACAGGACAGGGCTCGATGTCAACAGTGTCAATGCACTACTTGGGAGAAAATCACACAGTGGCAAATGTGTGCGAACAAACGAGATAAATGAGAAATGGTGAAAAGTAAATGGTTGGTGGTTTCAAACATGAATTTCATTTTCCATTTCATATATGGATGTCATCCCAACCCCACTGACGAACTCATATTTTTCAAGATGGGCACATTGCACCACCGACCAGCGAAATTCTGTGAAATTCTGGTCGTTTTCTTTCGAGGATTGGTGGACGGCCGCCATCTGGGTGTGGTTGATGATCATCGTGGTCAGTCTAGTGGTGATCAACATCGTCCCTTGGGCGCGGTTGAAGCCTTGGGATGTGCAGGTTACAGGTTAGTCCTCCTGCAATGTGAGGCCCCCGGCCACGATAGCATTCAGTTGGTGCCAATAACTCCAATTTCATTATGGTTTATGGTACTTATAACATCTTATAACCATAGTTACTGGGGCTTATAAACCAACTTAGCTATCTAGGGGGGCCTCACATTGTGGTAACTTGAGGTTTTTCACCAAGAAATGTTGATGGCTATGGCAGCTATGGTGCCGGAATCGATTTGTATCTGAAAAACTGGAGATGTGCACCCCTGAAAATCATGGTTGTTTGATTAGAAAGCAATTAATGTTGACACCTGGCAACAAATATGTACTGTAGAATCGGAAATTTATTATATTGTATTGTATGGAACAGCTGGTTGGTGGTTTGGAACAGTTTTATTTTTCCATTCAGTTGGGAATTTCATCATATTTTTCGGAGGGGTAGGTTTACCGCCAACCAGAACAGTTTCTTGATCCTATGGAAAATTGCCCATTTATAGATGGTTTACCTATTAAAAATGGTGATTTTCTATAGCTTTTTGTATGTTTACCAGAGGGTACGTACTCTTCTTGCTGGTACAGTCTGGACAAGCTTTGTCTCTGGAAATCTAAGCGAGCAAGGCAGAATCTCTATGCACATCATTACTATCATAGATACTCTTCCCAGCATTTGGGATTTCCATGGATTTCCTGTTGCCATGCAACAGGAGCTGCTGGAGGATCTCAGGAGCGGCACTTGATCTGTCATACAGATCCAGCAGTCACTCCGGATTTCATATACCCTCTGGTTATGACTAACAGTTCGCCATGGTTAAGCCATGGCCCTAATCGAAATAGATGGTTTACCTGGTAAGTTTTACCTATGAAAAATGGTGATTTTCCATGGCTATGTTAGATAACCAGAGGGTAATATATAACTTATACAATAATATAGGATTTGTGCCAGATGCGACCAATTTTTCCATTTAAGAATTAGGACCAAATTCGAGTTTCTAAGTCCCTACTTCAGCCTACTTGAATTCCTGCTGCCATTTGGCTCCACTGTCAGCTGTGGAGCTAAGCCACGCAGCCATGTGGCATGGCTCCAGCTGACTTTCACAGGGCGGATGCCGGAAATTCTGCATCCAAGGCTCATGAATTCCTGAAGATTCAGGCCAAAAATCCCAGAGCTTTGCGATCTGAGCTGGAACTTTTGGTGCTGGTTTCAATGACGTCTGTGTTTTGTGTGTTTTTTTCCAGGATCCAAGTACCTCCGGAGTATGGCGAGTCTGGTGTTTGATTGAGGGGGTTCAGTAGCTTCTCAGGAAGTATGTTTCATCTATGATGATCGAGTCAGTGAGTTTAGATGGTTTTCTGACCCAGCAACAGTCAGCGGTGAATGCCTACACTAGATCCAAATATCAATGTGCCGATTCTGCAGGTACCTGTCTAGTGGACATCTCACTTACGACTGAAAACGATTATTTATGTTTCACCCCCACGTATTGGAATTCCAGCTAGCTTTTGTGCGCAACCCATGTTTTTGTTCTATGTTTGCTCCCCAGGAAAATCAACCAATATGGCTACGCTTACCACTGGTGTTGTTCACAGTAGCACCATTTAGACCATTTATACGTGTTATGTTTGTATCAGTGATCTGCAAATTTATACCGAGTTTATACCATTTAATATGCCTATTTCCACCATGTAGTTTTGTTCCAGTTGGTTTCCCCATCAAAAATCAGGGTGTACCATGGTGTACCGCTCCGTTGACCAGGAAGGCTTGCTGCAACAGGGTGTACCGCTTGAAGATCGCAGTTTTACCTTTGTCATCAATTCCTGCGGCCGTTCGGCCTTATGGAGAGACGCCATGCAGGTCTTCAAGATGTGCACACCAAACGTGATCATTTACAACGCAGCGATTACCGCGGTGACTACGCAGTGGCTAGTTTTAGCAGGATTGATGTTTGTTAGATTTGTTTTGTTCATTACACCCCTGAACTTTAATTTGGAACAGCTTTTCCGACAGGAATATCACCTTCCAAGCTCATTTTGTAGCTGCCTATATCCACCCCCATCCAGCGACTATTCAGGTGGCTAGTGGCAGTGGAGCTCTTTGCTCAGATGACTATGTTTTTTTTTCTTCCCGACATCGTTAGTTACAATTCCATGCTGTCCTCCTGTGACAAAGCCTCTGAGTGGCAGATGGCCTGTCATGTTTTCTCGATGACTTCGATCGGGAGGAAAGCTGATGTCATTAGCTACACCACTGCTGCCAGTTCGTACATCAGAGCTCTTCAATGGCACTTGGGATTGGCTTTGTTCCAAGAAATGACTCGAGTGGTTCTGGAAGCAGATGTGGTGAGCTACTGGTTGGTGATGTATGTGATGTGTTGTTTTTTCCCACCTTCTTTGATTCTCAAAAATTCGTATTCCCAATAGTATATCAGAATTTGGTGATGATATACACAACATGTTTCTGGCAAGTCATTGGGCATGGTTTATGGGCTTTCCCATGGTTTCCCACATGTTCTCACCTTAAATCGGATGATGACCAACAGTCGACCCCTCCCGAGATTTGCGTTCGGTGATGTTCGGTGTCACCGGTCAGGTTACTGCGTAGCCATCACTTCTTGTGGTTTGCACTGGCAGTTGGCCTATCGCTTCTTCCAGGCCATGAAGGCAGATCAGGTCTCTCCAAATGTGGTAACTTACAATGCTGTCCTGAGCTCCATGACCGAGCGAAGTGAGCGAAGTTGGCAGTTGGTCTCAGATTTCTTCAACCAGATGTCTTCCAAGATGGCTCCAGATGTGTTGACCATGACTTCTGCCATGACTGCTCTTGGCAAGGGCTCTCAATGGGACGCAGCCATGAAGTTGTGGGAGGCCATGCACCGAAAGTCCTTGAGGTCGAACGTGATTACCTACAACGCTGCCATCAGCTGTTGCGAAAAAGCCTTCCAATGGCAACTGGCCCTGGAACTCTTTCAGAACATGCCAAGGACGGATGTGATTACCCACAATGCCGCCATCAGCTCTTGTGAAAAGGGCTTGCAGTGGAGGCTGGCAATCTGCATTTTCGGTCAGATGGGAAGCTTTCTCTGAGGTGTGAAAAGCCATCTTTTTCGATGTTTTTTGGTTCCCCAAGTGGCGGCTAGCAATATGAACATGCCGCAACCCCCCAAAAGGTGGCTTGCACCGAAAAAAATTGAACCCGCATTGGCCGAACGTGGCTTGTCGCCCAAATTCAGCCAGGAAAGTATCACCGGCCCAATCTCATCACCTACATCAACAGCATCACTTCCTGCAGCACGTGTTCCCAGTGGCCCCTAGCACTGCAGCTCTACCCAGCAACTCCTGATGTCGTGGCGCGCAATGGGGTCATCAGCGCCTGCGAGTCTGCGGCGCCGGCGGCGCAGTGGCAGAGGGGACTGGAAGTCTTTGGAGAAATGGAGGAAGCTGATGTGGTGAGCTGCTGGGTGGTCTCTTTTTGAGAAAGCTGTTGATAGTTCTTACATGTTGTTACTATAGTTGATCTATATATACTGGGATTTTGCTTTGTTTCAATCAATATTCCGGTGGGTTGGTCGACTTTTCTTAATTTTTGATTGGAAGAGGTTGTTTTTGGTCTGATATGATGGGATGTTGAGATCGTTGGTTGGTTGGAATCAGTATAGAAACATATGTAAAGAATTATTCCTAGGTGACTTGTTTTGATTCACCCGCTTCCCCAGGCTACAACGCGGTGATCAGTTGCTGTGAAAAAGGCCTGCAATGGCAACGGGCACTCGACTTTTTGGCGCAGATGAGGTGTCAAGAAGTTGCAGCAAGTGTGATCACCTACAATGCAGTGATCAGCGCATGTGGCAGGTGCCAGGAATGGCAGTGGGCACTTCAGATTTTTGATGACATGAAGATGTTGCGGATGAGACGAAATGTCATCACTTACAATGCCATGCTCAGCTCTTGTGAGCGAAATTGGCAGCTGGCCCTACAACTGTTTCTGGCTGGTGGTGTTGAGTATGTTTCTTACTTTTCCAATCCTAAGGAGAGGATGCAAAACCCGCTTGGAGGCTCTATGAATATATGGGTTTTCGGGAATTCCCCAAAAGAATCCCATGGAAAACCCCACGCATGTTATGAATCTCTGACAACTGCCATAAATTGGGGAAGCCACGTCACCACTTTGCCAGAAGCCCATATTTCCAACATTACCCGACACAGTCCTTGGATGAAAGACCCTATCATTGTTCCCATTTAAATGGCCAAGTAAAGTAACATCAATCTGGAAAACAAACTTGGTTTCCCCGAGAAACTGTGTGTACAGTCTGTAAAGTGATTTTTCATATGTCAACAAAAACCGCATGATAGAATCATAGACTCCATAGTTCTGGTGTCTTTTTCATCTTTCCAATGATTTTTTATTCTTTTCGAGTCGTCCAGGTTTCAGTTAATCACCAGTGAGTGCCTTCCCGATGTCATCAGCTACAATTCCGCCATCACCTGCTGCGCCGTCGCGACTGCCTGGTGCTGGGCCCTCCATGTCTTCTTCGCCCTGCGGGACGAAGGCGGAGTTCTGGCCAGTGACATCAGCTTCAACGGCGTCATCGAGGCCTGTGAGAAGGGGCGACAGTGGCGAATCGCGCTGGAAATGATGGAAGTTATGGTGAAAAGTGGGATGACACCTGGATTTTGCTTGATTTTTGTGATCAGTTTTTGTTGGATGATTCCACTGCTTGGCATATCTGATTTATGTTTTTTTGTGGACTTTGTGTGTTATTGTGTTAATCCAACCTAGAAAAACATGTGAAATCAAATCTGGGATAGTCAAAAAAAGAGTTCATTGGGAATTGACTGCCCCATCAGCAAACTGTTAGCAAATCTAAGGAAAGCGGATCCCTTAACTTTCACTTCGGCCTTCAGTTGCTGTGTGCTGGGCAGCAAGTGGCTGCTTGCAAGGTCACTGTTGGAAGGGACCAGGCGATACCTATTGGGAAGTCTGGTGAAAAAAAGACCCGAGGATGTTGCGTGATGAGAATCACATTCAAACTGGTTGGTGGTTTCAAACTATGGAATTTTATTTTCCATTTCATATATAGTGGATGTCATCCCAACCCCATTGACGAACTCATATTTTTTCAAGATGGGCACATTGCACCAACCAACCAGATATCATTATTAACCCTCATTAGCCATTATTAACTATATTATTAACCATGGAAATCCCATTAAAATCCCATGGTTATTGCACCACCAACCAGCAAAAAAAACTTTGGGAATGGATGGTGATCATCCCATTGATGTAAAAAGTGTAGGTCAAAACACCTCGTTTTAGCTGCGCCCCATCATTTGCGCATCAACTCGGGGGATCTTCCCATGTAGCTCCCATCCTGCTGGTGAGTGGCATCCGAATTTTTGCCGCGTGAACTCCGTCCATATTCTTAGCAGTTCAATGATGATGCGTATAGTTATCATCTCAGTTCATCCAAAAAATAATCATACATCATCATATCATCATATATATATATATATATATATGAATAATTAGTTCACATAATAGTTCACTAACTTATATCATGTTATATCTCTACTTAGTCACCTCAAAATCCACCACTTCCCCCTTTTTGAAACGGCTGAGGTGCTGGCAGTGATCTTCGACTGCTACGGCAAGATCCGTTCCGGAATCACCGAGAAGGACGCGAAGGGATCGCGAAGGGAAGTCGTCCAGTTTTGTGGCTGGGACATTAAGCACAATAACCGAACACAACTATGGCTGGTTCTGGTGGTTTGGAACCATGGAATTTTATTTTCCATATATAATATATTGGGAATAATCATCCCAACTGACGAACTCATATTTTTCAAGATGGTTATTGCACCACCAACCAGCTATGGTAAATCACCATTTTTACTAGAGAAATCAACTACAAATGTCTCATTTTCAACCGCTATGTTAGTAACCACAAGGACTTGAGCCATGACTGAGTCAGAGGGTCCAAGAAACTGAATGCTGAAAAATGGCTGGTTGGTGGTTTGGAACCATGAAATTTTATGACTTTCCATATATTGGGAATAATAAGCCCAACTGACGAACTCCATCATTTTTCAGAGGGGTAGGTCAACCACCAACCAGCTTTGATCTGTTATGTGAAGAAGTTTGGAACAGATGTTTTGGTGTTGTTCTTCATTCTCGGAAGCTACACATCGATCTCATAGATACCACACAGCAGTACGATACAAAGTACGCAACTATATACATATTATACACACACACACACTTACTGCATACTCACTACATCTATAACCAGAGAAATTTAAAATTGCAACGAATCAGATTCCCAGTTTGGAAGTGGTGAAAAATTGCCATACCTCTAGGCTCTAGGGTCCTGGTATATCAATCCCATTATCCCACAACTGGGGACCAGGGTCAAAACTGGTAATTAAGATATCCAAAAAAAAACGCAGATGATTCCATTGTCATTTTCCATTTTCATAGGGGTTCATATATCATATCTGGTTGGTGGTTTGGAACATTTTTTATTTTCCCCAATAGTCGGGATGATGATCCAATCTGACGAACTCCATCATTTTTCAGGGGGTAGGTCAACCACCAATTAGATATATATATATCTCTCTGTGAATATTTCAGGAATGCCATTTTAATGATGGCTCAAAATCATCGCACAACTGGATGATCATCCCCAAATGACTTGACCATACTGGACCCCACAAATGGGTTGCTTAATAATGCTTTATAATGATTAATAGCGGTTAAAAATGTCTTAAGAATGGTCAATAATGGTTCCAAATGGTTAATAATGGCTAATAACATCTAATAACGGTGGATAAGTACCAAGAGTAGGTTTCTCTTTTGAAGGTTTTGGTAAGTGGTACTCGGAGAATCATTCACTTAGTCACCGCTTAATCACCCCATGGGTAGAAAGTCACTTAAGTAGGGTTGTCCCATATATGGATGTAAAAGTGATGTAAATAAGCGGAGCTTGACTATGTTTACCCACCGGTAACCACAAAAACTAAGTGGTATGATACGGTATGATCCTCAACGTACCCTCCACAAAACCAACATAGACATGGAAAGTTCATCATTTATAGATCATTTCCTAATGAAACACCTGGATTTACATAGCCCATGTTAGTTCACTGGATTTACATAGCCATGTTAGTTCACTCCGGTAAAATGTCAGCATGAAAACTGTGTCGCCCACTCAACGTTAGTTCCGTGCGCAGGACACATTGTGGACGACGTTGAGGCGACAATTCATGGCGCTGAGGTATATGAACCAGTGGCATGGCAGTGGTGTTGTTTGAAGTCAACCCCCACACGAATGGGTAAATTACAGCAACCTTACTGCGACCTCACTGGAATAATGGTTGATACGGGTAACTAGCCCAAAATAGCCCTAATTCAGGTTTGTGAATTACTATCATTTACCTAGATAGATGGATAGTAAGCCCTTGTAAACCTTGTTGTTGGTGGTATAAAGGCTCTTAATAAGCCTTTATCATATCGGGTTGAGTCGTTGCGTCCCCATGAAATAGGGCCTTTTGTTGGCTTCTTTTTCGGAGATTGGGAAGATTGGGATGGGGATTCTGATGGAAGTTGGAGAAACCATCAGAGAATGTTCAATGATTTCAATGATTTTAGGTGACTATGAATCAACCAACAAATGAATTCTGAATAATTTTTTTGTGATGTTTGATGCTGTGGATGGGGATGTTTTTTTTGTGCAAAGAAACAGAGGATTTCAGGACTTTCCACAACTGCTGACCGCTTGGTTTCTTTCAACCACCGTGGATTTTTGAGGGGACCCGGGTTTTCCTCCATCGCATCTGTTGTCATATGTCGACATATTTCATACAGATCAGATTTCTGTCTGGCTTTCCCAAGTTCCATCAACTTCCATCAACTTCCATCAACTTCCCAAGTCACCTCCCAGGTGGTATGCAACTTTGGACTTGCTCACGGGCATTAAGAATAGCAAGACCGAGAGCATCACCCAAGAAGGCGACGACTTTTATCGACTTTTGATCGGTGGAGCCTTTGGAGAGGATGAAAATCATGGCGGTTCTGTTTGGGGAAACCAGCATGGTTTTAGCTATGTTTAGCTATGTTTAGCATTGTTTGCAGGTTGAAGACATCATCATTTCTGCGGTGTTTTTGTTGGTAAATTTTGTTGTTTCGGACATGTTTGAAAAAATCATGTCTGACAGATTAAGAAAACTCGCCATGTTTTCCCAAGCGGATCATTCCTTCCCAAAGTTCTCAAGGCAAAAAATGTTGGTCGAGATTCCCATCTAAAGTGGGATGCAAAACCCTTTCCTTAAACCCTCCAGGCCACTGTGTTTTTTGGCAGTCCCTCTGTTCCATGTTGGCTACCTCCATTTTTTAAGCCACAAGAAGAATAATCAGAAAAAGTGGAGATTCTTGGAAATTGACCATCTGAATTTCATGGTATCCCGTGACAAAAATCTATCACTCCCTTATCATCCATGGCTCCTCACATTAAATCGCCCAACCCAAACATTCTCTTTGAAAGATCTCCACGGAACGCCGATACCACCATCGACCCACCATCGAAACCTTCGAATCAATGGGAGATCTTCAGGATCCAATTGATGGAGGTACGTAAACGTACCATATGTTTGGCCATATGAATTCTGGGGATATTCCCTGAAATTTAGGCCTGAAAAATAGGCCAAACATATATGGAATCGGTACATCCATCGACCGCCATCGACCGCCAGGCTTCCGCAGAATCTTCCACGACATCACGGAGGAACAGGTGGAGCAGATCTTCGAGCTCGCCGAGATGCGGGCCGTCAACGTCCCTCGGATGCTGTCGTTGCAGCCGTTGCGTTTTGCTGTCGGTGGTTGGGATGGCAAACCATAGGAAAACCATAGGAAAACCATAGGAAAATTGTGATTTAATGGGATTTATATGGGATTTGTATGGGATTTTGGATGTGATTTAGGATGGGATGGCAAAAATTTTATCCATTGTTGATCCATGTTTGGATGGAATGAGCTGTGAAAACCATGGTGAAAACGGAAAACGATGGTATTTACGATGGTATTTACCCCCGGAATATTGATATTGGGACTTTGTTTGAATTTTGATCGGGCAACTGGGTGAGATGGCTCCAGAAAAAAGGCCAGCAAAAAAAAGAGTAAAACTAACATGTGCCAAGTTTGCTCATGCAGTTGGACATGCACTTCATATACTTCCACATGGAAGTTGCACTGTTTAAACAGTGTAATCCGTTAAATCGTACACTTTGTGATGGACGGATGTTGATTTGCTGCTGCAGTTCACCAATTACTAACCGCAACATATCCCAGGTTTTCTTGTACTTTTGTGGTATTTGCTGTAGATACCACTGTGTTGACGTTACTTCAGATACCATCCACTGGTGAATCATCATGTTCTATCTGGAGACTGCCATGAATCAGGGATGCATCATTTTCAAACACACCCAAATGACAGATTCTTGGTTTACCCCATTATATCCCCATAGATTTGCATCAGATTCTTTCCAGAGTTTTCTATCCCCAGATTCTCCACCAACTTCACCAACTTCAACCCTCCACATGAATCGGCAGGTCCAGGTCGAACTGGTCGCCCCCTGCTACGCGCCAGGATACCATCAACGGCCAACCCACGCTGCTGGGGGAGGCCATCGCCAGTATCCTGTTGGGCATCGATGATGTGCGCGATGGCATCCGCACCCTGCAGGCCATGGCTGATGGAAATAGACCCCAACATAACTGGTTGGTGGTTTGCAGAGAATCAGTTATAATCAGTTAGTAGTTTTAGATATCAGATAATTAGTGTTGGTGGTTTGGAACATGAATTTGATTTTTCCATTCAGTTGGGAATTTCCATCATCCCAACTGACTTTCACTCCATCATTTTTCAGAGGGGTAGGTTGAAACCACCAACCAGATAAAATTTGAAAGACACCCCTTTGTGAAGAATTGGGAGGGTTTAGTTTTTGGGTGGTTAGGTCTGCTGAAATCAGGATGAAATGATGTTTTGTGTTGTGATAAGATGGCGAAAATATGAAGAACCCATGGCATTTTTTGGGTGGATCCATGATTCATGCCTCCCTATATAGTATCTTGATTCATGTGGTGCAAAAAGGGAAACATGATGGGTGAAATGTTGGACACCATGAAAAGTTCTTCCCCTGGAATATTCAGATCTGAATACCCTCTGGTAAACTAACATAACTATGGAAAATCACCATTTTTAATGGGAAAATCCACTATAAATGGCCATTTTCAATTGCTATGTTAGTTTACCAGAGGGTACATGTACTTTATTTGTAGTGGTACTGATTCAGATAATATGCAGAGATCCGTTCCTTGCCGGTTTCGTCTTTCGAGGAATCCTGCAGGAAAATGCTTCAAACTGAATCAGGTGACTCAGGTTGAACAAGTAAACTGAATCCATGGAACAATAAATTAACCATACAAAAATATGGTACAGTGGTATATAAGTTGTACAATAGCAAACTCAATCAGGTTGATGGTATGGTTGATTTGAACATTGACTACATTGACTACATAATCAAGCGGCATTGACTTGGCTTGGTATGTTTGTCAGATGGATCCTTTGCATTGAAAGACATGAATGACTTGGCTGATCCTGATCACAGCTCGGGAAGATCATGGATACACCATGATACACCCAGTTCATTCTCCCAAAGTATTTCCAAGTTGGCCTGTTATGGCCTAATAAAGGCCTAACAGCTCTAACAATCAGCGTTCTTCAGTGGTTCCAGGACAAGAGCTTCAAGAGCTACAAAGAGCAGAGGATTTGGTTGGAAGAATTCAAGGAACCTTTGACCGCCCCGGAGCCTGTTTGGGATTTGGGCGCCTCGTCGAGACGTCTCTGAGAAGCTGAGTTTTTTTGTTGGAGAAATGGGACTTTCGATGACTTTAGATCAGTTGCTTAAATCACTGTTTTCCCATGTGGATCGAGAAACGATGAGAAACGGATGAATTTTAGGTCACTTGTTTCAAAGTGGGTGGAGAAGAGTCCGAGCGTTACTGTGTTTCATAAATACAACCACAATCAAGCACAGAAGTTTACAAAGTTCTCATGTCCCGGATTCAGAAACTCTGGTTGAGGGCACTTGCAAGGTACAATCCCCTTTCAAGCATCGAATGACAAATTCCTCAAATTACCATCGAAAACTGGCCCCATTCAAAAGCCTATTTCGAGGGGGAAAGATCCATGGTGAAACATGGTGAAACATGGTGAAACTCAGCAGTTGAGGTCCCGATACCTACCAGATCGTGTCCACCACGGGCTGCGATGTCCGTGATGCTCCGGACATGACCTCACCAGTGGTCACCAGGTGTGGGATTTTTTCCTTCATCCTCGAAAATCAGGTACAGCATGGTACATCTAAAAGCAAGATTTGTGCAAGAAACATTTGGACACATTTGGATTTATCTTTATTTATCCAGCAAGTGAGAGTTTGAGTAGCAAAAAACTACTGGAAGTCAGGCAAAATCAGGCAAGCAGAAATGGAGATTTGAGCAACACACGTCGCCAGGCTGGCACAGAGAGATAAGGTGGAGGTGGTTCGAACCAAGGATTACTATGGAGGAACCTCGGCTCACTGGAAGATCCCAGGAATCATTTTTGGGTTTAGTAAACTACCCTCTGGTTATTTAACATAGCCGTGGAAGCCATGGCCCATAGAAATAGATGATTTTCCCAGCGAACTAAACCTCCATTTATTTCAGGGATTGTCCATGGCTATGTTAGTCATAACCAGATGGTCTGTTTGAATATGTTCAGTTCATTTGGGTTTGTCTGGAAATAGGGTATATTCCCAATTATAGCCATTTAATAGGGATAATGATCATTAACCATTGGGTTTAGGGGTACACTATTTTCAGACACACCCATTTTAGTTCCATAATTCACCGATCTAGGTGGATTACCACCAGAGATTTTTCCATGTCTTGGAAAAGGATGATTTTGGTGGATCGAATCAATCAGCAAGTGCTTGGAGTACCTGGGATGACCCCAAGTGCTTGGAGCTTTGACTTGCCACAGTTCTTAAAAACAACCCTGTGGTAAATGGATTGGCTGCGTTTGTGCGTTTGTGATGTGAAATTGTGTTTCCGATTGTTCAATCATTTCAATCCACCAGGGACGCCCTTTGACTACCCTGCCTTTGGCGCCAACAAAAAAAAACATCAGGGTCAAGCGTGTTTTGTTCAGTTGTTGTCAACCCCACCTCTGCACCAAGCGCCACTGCTATTTCAAAATGATTAATTGCACTTGATCCCGATCTCCCCGCTTGTTGATTTTATCATGAACTCTTCGACCCCAGTTCCAGGCTCAGCCATATATAGTTCCGAAAGTTATAAAGTCTTAGATATTCCCTCCACTATTTATTCCCCTCAGCCTCCTCATACTCTTCCTACATTCCCCTCCAGCTTGCCGTTTCTAATGCCCATGTCTTGTTTTGCTAATCATAAATGTTTTGTGTTTATATCTTATGTAAGTGATCCCATCCTCAATTCATATTAGCTTGCACCACCCATTCTATGCTAACATATTTAAACTAATTTTGGTTCTTTTGCAGAGAATCAGTTATAACTAGTTAGTAGTTTTAGATATCAGATAATTAGTGTCCTTTAACTCATTATAATTGATATTCTGATATTATTTCCATTATTGTATCTGATTTAGTGTTTTATCTGATATATAATATAACTGATATTAATTATATCCAACCAGTTATTCTATCATAGTCAATATTTACAGATCCATATACCCTCTGGTAAACGTTTACATAACGAACTGGAAAATCACCATGCTATAAATGGGTAAATCCACGAACTAAATGGGTAAATCCACTATAAATCACCATTTTACACCGTTTGATATATAACTGATATCATATACAATAGTTATCTTTAGTAGTTAAACTACTTATAGTTATATCTGTGGAATAATATACCCTCTGGTTATTTAACATAGCCATGGAAAATGGCCCATAGAAATAGATGATTTTCCCAGCGAACTAAACCTCCATTTATTTCAGGGATTTTCCATGGCTATGTTAGTCATAACCAGATGGTAATATATAACCTATACATAGCAATAACCATAGATTCTCCCATTAAATATGGGGCTTTCCTGTAAAATTTCCCTTAATCCAATCCATTGAGGTATCTAATGGGACATATGTTATATAGTTATAAACCCTATTAACTATAGTTATAAGTACCATAAACCATAGTTATTGGAGTTATAAACCAACTTATCTTTAGCTCGTTTTTTCACTCAGATCTTCTGGCCATTTCTGAACGCCCGAACTTTCAAAGGCGATGGCCTGCGGCGGCTCATGGGGCAGTTGGCGGAGCCCAACAGCGGCTGGATCCCCATCTTCGACCCCGAAACAGGCAGCGGAGCGGTGGTTTTTTAAGCGCTGGATTTCATGGGGGCAATTCCTATGGGAAATACACCTGGGTTCTAATTTGGTGGATTTTAGAGGGAAGAATTCGGAAGAACCATAAATGGCAACCAAACTTTAGAACGGCAGTTCTGCTTGTGAAATGAAGATCGGGCATCCACTAAGTGATCATCGGAAATGTGCTGACTTGCCAATCAGAATTCGGTCATATTTTTACCCATCACATCCTACCCAAATAGGGAGTGCTTTAACCACGATTTATATAGATTTGGCTCATTTATGATATGTACATTATATTATATATATATATATATACAATGTGAGGCCCCCGTTCGATAGCTAAGTTGGTGCCAATATCTCCAATTTCACTATGGTTTATGCTACGCAAATAACGAACTAGTGACTGGGGCGAACAACGGATCGTCCCTTGGTGCAGGCTACGCCTGGGCAGAGCTTTGGAAGGCCGGCACGCCGGCCAGCGATACGAAGCCCTTGGAAGCCCTCTGGTTCTTTTTTTCTGTTCGAGAAGTGGAAGAAATGGCCCATTTGTAGATGATATACAATTTTTGGTGTACTTATTTCAAAAAAAAAAATATGGATATATGGATCCATATGGTGATTTTCCATGGCGAAGTGTTAAATTACTAGGTGATGAATACTACATGTTAGCGCGATTCTCATTCCCAACTGTTATGCGTTACAACCCCATAGAACTTTCGGCAGGGCTCATCATGGGCAACGAAGCAACCATCATTTGGAGCCTCAAATTTAGGCTTATCATCCACAGTTTGGTTTTGTACTCTGGATGATACCATCTCAGCTTCAGCTGCACCTGTTTCATTGCTCCATTCGTGTCCATTCTGTCAGCCTCATCAAAGGTCAAAAAGTTGCTTGGGGGGCCCATGTACGCTCACGCATCGCAATGGCTTAGGAATTCAGGTTTCGGGCTACCCCAAAAAAACACCACATTCTCTCATGTCACACTTCACATGGAGCTCAAAAACAACATGCCATTTCAAAACAGGAACATCATCTTCCAACCCTCTGTTTGATGAGTGTTGCCACTCCCATCTGCCGCAGGATCCAAAGATCAAAGAACCCGACTTCCCGGGCGTTTACATCATCCAACACGTCCCTTGTCCGCGGCAGCTGCATCAAAGTGGCACCAAATTGGTGAGGCATTTTGGTGACGATTTGTTCAACGGAGAGGGAAACACCAATCTCGGGTTGTGTTGTAATCCTGCATGGACTGTCACATCCTGTGTTTTGGATATGTTTTGCTACTGAATTCTTTGGTTTCATGTTGGATAACCTTATGGTCAGAATTGGTTTCAAGCGACAATTTTCAGCACACCACATTTCAAAGGGCAACAGTCAACCCGTTGAACTCCTATCACATTTTAACTCAACATAAATCAACTAACTCCTATTTAAAATTATCTAAAAACAACAAAAAAACATAACTGATTGGTGGTTTGGAACATGAATTTTATTTTTCCATATATTGGGAATTTCATCATCCCAACTGACTTTCACTCCATCATTTTTCAGAGGGGTAGGTTGAAACCAACCAGATAAATATGGATAATCTAGGATATTCAATTAGAGGTTTATGATACCATATGATATTTCACAACATTAGATACCATTTTTCATGATAGCATTTTAATATGATAGGTTGAAACCACCAACCAGATAAATATCATATAATCAACAAACGAACATCACGTTGTTTTCCTCCAAATTCTCCACGGTTTCACCAAGGAGAGCGCCATGGTGCGCACGGACATCTCACTGACCTCGCCGGAGCTGACGGAATTGCCCCAGGGGACCATGGTGAACGTCGTGGAGGTGGTCTTGGCAGCTCGTCCATGAAATCAATGGGTGGCATGGCTCATATCATCTTCCAGAAGCATAGATGTTTTGGGGGATTTAACTTACATCTTGAAAGTCAAAAAAAACATATATGTGTTTCTTAAAAACAATGTTTTTTCTTCCATATGTTTTCCCTATCCCATGACGGATCCATGGTGCTGGGAGAAATAAATGCTAACAACAATGGGGTATATATATATTGATGGGATCCATGGCACACCATATATAGCAGCACCATGGATCCGTCATGGCTTATACTGTTAGTTATGGTTACGAATGGGTTATATTTGAGTTAGTTTTTTGGTTAACTATGGTTAGTTGTGGTTAGTTGTGGTGAAAATGGATGTTAATGGATGTTACACAATCCTTTTCCATCTCTGTGAATATCTATGATCTGAATAGATCTGAATAAAATGACTAGTTGTTACATAAGTTATCCATAGTATCAGTTATGTTCATAACTATATAAAATAACTATGGATAACATATATCAGTTATGGATAACCATTAAAAACAAACTATAGGTATCCAGTAAAAATAGTAAAATCACAAGTGACTTATATAATTTAACCATCAACGGCATATTCACCTCAATGGATCTTTTTTCTTTTAAAGTTTAACAAAATATGTGGGATTCACCAAGAAAAATATGATGGGTTAACATTGGGTTAACATGGGTTCACTGTGAAAAATTGGGAGTAAATGATGGAAATTGGGGGGGTTGACCATTTAGAGAAATATAGTGGCTTAACATGAGTTGACCTAACGAGGGATTTGCTGGGATAAGTCTTATTTTGGAACTGCGCCATTGGAGGTTCAAGCAAGAACATATGGTGAAACGACAGGAGTCAGGCAAAAAAAATGGGGTTGCAGTGAGGGGTTCACTTAATTTTGGCAGCTTGAAATGAATATAAATGAATCATCAAGGCCACCAGTCATAGAATACACTGGTAGTATGGTAAGTTCACATGAGTTGACCATCAACAAGTGGGGGGAGTCATCTTTTTTCCAGTGAGTTCAAAGATGTGTAAACCGTCACCAGCTGAAAATGATGGGCACATCTTGGTGCCTGGCGTTGGTCGCTTTTCCTTTGGGATGTTGGAGGATTTTTACCGGCCAAACATCGGGTGGAGTGGATTTGCTGTAAAAAAACTTGAAATGTCTCATGATCCTCTGTGGAAATATGGGTGTGAACCAACGCATGGATCTGTACTCACCAGAACTGTTGAGATTATGATCTGGAGGCATATCTCATCGTACCTCATCTATGTCTATATACATATTACATATTTCTTTTTAAATCCTTCTATTACCTATCCTTTATCCCGATATTTATATGATAATATTTACCTTACATTGACATTTGAAATGCCAATTCCATAGATGTTTTCATAGCCTGGAGGTTTGATATGCCCCTTTCTCTCTGAGGATTACTGCGATGAAGAGACCACGGCCCAGCGGAAGCGTGGACGTTTGCAGCCGCTTGCCATTGATCAATGGATGTTTTCGTTCTATTTGTTTCAAGAGGAAACATCAATGTCCAAAAACATGAAACATAGAATATCATTTAAAATGTTAGATCATGGTGAAAACCATCAATAGCTGTTCATCATGAAATTTACTGTTTTTTTTGTGGTTTGACGGTAGCATCTCCTCAAAACCAATGCCGGGCATTGAGAGGGGAGTGGAGACTTTCTTGGGCGAAGCGATTGAATCGATTGAATGCTTGATGAAAGTTGGTGATATAAAGTTATATATTTCCCATGAAATGATGAAGTTTTGCTGCAACTTAAAGGTTTATTATGTCATGATGGTTGATAATGGTTGTGTACTAGGAAGTTTTACTGCTGGTGACCCATAGAACTTGGACTAGAATATACCATCCACCTGTAAAGCATCAGAGTCATTAGAAAGCCTTTTTTTGACCATGTTTAACCAGTATTAAAAACCATGTTCAACCATTATCAACCATCACCCACCATAATTAAACCACCAGAAACCATTGTAGACCATTGCAGACCATTACAATGTGGGGCCCCCCAGTGATGTTTGTTGGTTTATAAACCCTATTAACTATAGTATACTATAGTTATAAGTACCATAAACCATAGTTATTGGAGTTATTGGCACCAACTGAACGCTATCGAACGGGGGCCCCACATTGTAGATATCTCCACCATCAGGTCACTCAGGTCACAACCCCAGCCGCGAGGCACCCTGATGGCTGGATCTCCCTGTTGGACCGCGACACGAATTATCGCTTCGCGGAACGGGCCAAGATCCAGGAACCCTTCGGAAAGTGGGCGCCTGGGGCATGGAAATGCATGGAAGATGGCAGGAAAATGAGGGAAAGGGGGTTGTGATCTGGGGATGAATCTCGTGCAGTAAACTCGTCACTGGAAGACTTCGGCAGAATTTTGTGGCTGGCTTCGTACAGGGAAATGAGGCTGCGCTAGGGCCTAGGGTCTTGACATGTCTTGACTCCCCAGTTTCGTGATCCGATTTGGGAATTGAGACATTTGAGCCATGGTGTCGTGATGTGTCGTGGTCACGAGCGTTTGGTCTACGGCTTGGCCATGTGATATATATCTTTGTTTTTGGGAGTTGTGTCAATCTCGGTGTCAATTGGTTTTATATATATGTGTATATATATATATATTATACACATAAATCACAGAAAATGCCGAGATCTTTACATTGGCCAGCATTATTGAGTCATGTATAGCCCGGAAAACACCATGCGAAACTCGGAAGTTCCAGATGTAGATGAGCATTATATGCTCATCACCATCGGATTGGTCAACTTTCCACGGTCAGAACCGGATGAGATGATCTCCCCAAGCAATGCCTATCTGGTTGGTGGTGACTGGAACCAGGGAATTGATGACTTTCCATATGTTGGGAATGTCATAATCCCAACTGACTTTCATATTTTTTCAGAGGGGTAGGCATACCACCAACCAGCTATATGAAGTGGAGTGCTATATTTCAACCCTGAACTAATCGAGCATCCATGGTTATTGGCTTACGAGCCTCTATCATAGTCAGATTTACTAGCGCCAAATACTAACACTGAGAAAAACAACGAACCGAACTATCAATCTCATCACTTCAGGTAGTGTCATTTAAAAATCCATGTCTGTTTCTTGAACTCCACGATTCTTGCGGGTTCATACACCATAGTATCCCTATCTTATCCTTTTTGATATATACCCATATAATATTATATTCTCATAGTATCATAGTATATCATAGTATCATATATTTTCTATAAATATATCATATAAATATATATCATACATATCATACATATGATCAATCATTTATTATACATACCTATATATATATACGGGTAACCATAGAATTCCCGGAATATCTATGATCATATGGGTATATGTGTATAGGTATATATATCTATGAATCATACAATGTGAGGCCCCCCAGTTATAAGTTGGTTTAGATTCACCCCAGTAACTAGTTCGTTATTTGCGTACCATAAACCATACTTATTGGAGTTATTGGCACCAACTGAACGCTATCGTGGCCGGGGGCCTCACATTGTATATATATATATAACATATCAATATTCAACATCCCTATATATATATCCCATAGGATCCATGTATGGTGTATATATATATGCTAACAAAAATGGGGTATATTGATGGGATCCATGTTACCATATATGGCAGCACCATGGATCCTATGGGTATATATATAGGGATGTTGAATATTGATATGTTGAATATTGATGTTGAATATTGATATGTTATATAACCATAGAATCCACGGAATATCTATGATCATCTGGGTGTATATATATATGAATCATACCTACCTACATATATCATAACATCCCCGGCAGACTCGATCACCGAGGTGTCCAAGAAGGACATGGAACTCACAGTGGAACCCAACAGTGCTGAAGCCTTGAGCACCGTGCAGGTGGCTCAAAATGGGGCGATGGAAGGCGTTGCGAAAGATTGGGAAAGTGATGAAATCTATGGGGAATTCTGAGGATTTCTGGGGATTTATGGGGAATTCTGGGGATTTATGGGGATTTAGACTGATTGAGAGTAGGTATAAGAAGAACAAAAGGGGATTTAGATGGATTTTGAATTTAAAAAAATCAAAACACTGTAAGGAATAGAATTTGAGTGGGGTAAAGCATCGATCCCAACTCGTTTTTTGGATTTCTCTCATGCGATCGGGGATGGGTTAAAGATGTGGTACCGATGAATTTTGGTTTAAACCATGTTTTTTTTTTGGTGGGGTCTTGAATGAATTTGATCCATATCCATGATGATCATTGATGATCCATGTTCCCAGTTTAAGCATGTTTAAGCAACAGTTGACGGATTGTTGGTTGGGAATGTTTTGTAACTGAGGTCTACGAGTATTGGGTAAAACCAAAGCTCATACATTTAGTCCACTTATATCCAATATAGTCCCATTTAAAATCCCATCTATATCATATCAGACAATCCCAACGGGAAGGGGCCACCAGATAGGTAAGTTGATTTATAACCAGCTATAGTTGGATGGATGCATGGAGGAGATTCCAACGCACCCTGGGGGGGGACTTCTTGTATGTTATACCTCCATCTATAATCAGATTGTAACGGAATAATGCTAGAATTCCTAAAGATATCTACACATCTCCCTAATTCCAGAATACGGTAATATAACTTGTTACATATTTATTTTCATGACTAAGCCCATCTAATATAGATATAATAATCAGAAGTATCTTACATATTTAAAATCATCGGCTTGTTATGTCTTAAAAAATGTGCAAATGCGCTTAGTCATATAGTTCTGATATTATCTATATTTATCTATATTGATAGATGGGATGATAAGATCTATATCATGGGATTTTCCTCTTCATATTTATCAACCTATATTGAATTCAACATGACTATAATGATATTATCATATATATCATTAACCACCATTAAACCACCATATATATATCATGGTATAACCACCATTAAACCACCATGTTTGATGGTATATACCTTGATGGGATGGGGCTTGTTATGTCTTAAAATCCCTTTTGGAAATCCATCGCTTCCGCTTCCTCCCAGGATGGCGAGATGGTGGAGATCGTCGAGATGCGGCTGGAATATGCCCAGGCGGTCGCGAAACCAATGGTAGTCATACGAAATAAGGCTAATACTAATACAATAGTAATATGTTATAGAAATATTAAACAGTAATATATTATATTATATATATATATTACTATATATTACTAAATTATATCAATATAATATATTTACAGTAATATTTAGTAATGTATATATATATTATATATATCAATATCATGATAATAGTAATATGATAGTGATAATTGATAGTATGTATAATGACAAACGATAGTAATATAGCGAATATAGTGCATTTACGATGTTTTTCACGATGGTGATCATAATAGTAATAGTGTAGCATATAATAAGTGAACATGATATATTGATAATCCTAGTGATAATCATGGTGATAATGATCATAATAATGATGACAATGATCATGATAATATTAACAATATGTGTAGTTGATCCGCGTTTATTTGGGGTTCCACTCGTACTCCACTTTGGAGTCGTTCCCACAATGCTTGGGAAGCTGCATTGGCTAGATTAAATCTTGATTCCCATTTTTCTAGGGTCACAACAACCACTTTTGGATCGTTCAACCACCATTTTTACAACCTCACTTGTCGTTACAAGGGCATATCATTGACACCCCATAGTTGATAGTCAAAGACAAGAAGAAACAGTGACATTTGTTCAGTTTTCATACTCTTAAAAAATCTAAACATATCCAAATGTTTTGGATGGTCAAAACTTGAATACCCAAGTGACATAAGTGTGATGTGTTATCATTACCACTTATTATACCATTATAACCTCAACTTTTTTTTATTGGATTAGATTGATAAATAAACATATATTGCCTCTGGTAATTTGTTACATAGCTATTAAAAATGGGTGATTTAGTTCGTGGATAAAAACCCATTGATAGCATGGTGGATCTTTCCAGTTCGTTATGTTAGCCCGTTGACCAGGGCCAGGAGCATCTCTTTGGTCTCACGAAGATGGGAGGCCGGGGGAACTGTGCTGATCGTTGGGGAAGATTTGGCAGGATACCCTCTGGTAATTTAACGTAGCTATTGAAAATGGCCATTCATAGTGGATTTTCCCATAAAAAATTGTGATTTTCCATAGTTATGTTAAATTACCAGAGGATATGTTGGGGAATTGATACTGTAATTCTATGAAATTTGGAAGAGTGGGATTGCTTTTGGATATATATATATATATATAATTCACTTAAATTTGGATCTGAATTGGATAGTTGTTGCTGGGATAGTTTTTAAAACATGGATACCCAGAGGATCTAATGTACGCTAATATATCTCCAACATTCAGCAATGTCATTGATTGCTGCTTACAATTGCGTTTACAGGCCCATGGACATAGAATGAATTAACATGATATACTGGTTGGTGTTTGGAACATTTTTTCCATCTGTTGGGAAGAATCATCCCAACTGACGAACTCATATTTTTCAGAGGGGTAGGTATACCACCAACCAGTATAGAGGTTCTTTGTTTTCCAGTGCCATGTTTGGAATATTTATGGCAGATATCACTGGAGATGGGACAGGAAAGCCATGGAAACCTTGGAGGAAAGCAACAAGAAATACGTGGACTCACTTTGACTCACTGATACAACAAAGTGAAGCAGGCCGCCTACTGATACATGATACATGGATAGGGGATGGACATCCATAAGCAAGGACTATATATATATACATAATACATATATATATATATTATAGTGTAAAATAGATTGCAAACACCATGTTCGAAAGAGCATAATCATTCATAATACATACTAAATGATGCTACTGTGAATGGCTGATTTGTTTCCCGTCATTCCATCCATGTAGCCTCAGTACATCTCCATATTCTCTACAGCTACCAGCTATTCCATATTTGGTTCCAAGAATTCCATTGGTTCAATGGGAGATCTTCAGGATCCGATTGAGGACAATAAATGTTTGGCCTATTTTTCAGGCCTAAATTTCAGTGAATATCACCACAATTCATATGGCCAAAAAAATATGGTACTAACGTGCCTCCATCTGTTGGATCCTGGAGATCTCCCATTGATTGGTTGACTGCTGTTGTTCTTGTTTTGTCATGATTCGTATCACTGTATCCAGCTAGGTCTCCCTAAAGGCTGATGGTTGACTAGTGTTTTTTGTTAAGGATTCCATTACCCTCTGGTAAACTAACATAGCTATTGAAAATGGCCATTTATAGTGGATTTACCCATCGAAAATGGTGATTTTCCATAGCTATGTTAAATTACCAGAGGGTATATTCATCCTACTTCTGTCGAAAGATTTACACACATCATTTCTTTCCCCATTAATTTATTGACCCCACTTATCAGGGACGAATAGATGACCCTGCCAGTTGTTCTTCAGTTCATTTATCATGAGAAGTGATATGGAGTGAGTTGCGAATAACTTTCCCATTGTTCAAACGCGGCAATGGAAATCCACCATTAACTAACATAGCTATTGAAAATGGCCCATTTATAGTATCCCTCCCCCCTTTGCTAATGTACGGTAGGGGGGGGCCTAGCTAATGTACGATACTTTTCCGTACATTTCTCAAAGGCTTACCATATGATTCCGTACATTTTTTTGGGGGGGGGGCGCAAACTCACCAGAACCAATTTCTATACATCCAGTGTTTATTCCTGTTCCAATTTCCACTTGATAAGGCCAACATGCGTAAACAATCACTATCTTTATATCGTTGGTGTGCCAGCATTGTTGGCTACCAATTGTTGGACTATAGCAAAAAATCAATATTTTGATACGTTCAGCTTTACCTTGTGGAGTGATTGCATAGAACCGCAGCAGCGTTTGGCTGCCAATTTTTTTGGGGTGGCAAAATGCCATGGGTGGCACCTTAGCTAACTAATACAGATACCCCCGTCAGTTCCAGGATTAATTTCATTGGATTAATTTAGTTGGATGAATTTTTGGTGACCGGTTCAGAAATCTAACTCAAGGGATATTTGGATTAATTTGCAGCGCCTCCGTTAGAGCAATGGCTCTGGAGAAACCACGGCAGCAACCAGCGCATTTCTTGTTCCCAACATGCAGCTGGGCACTGGAAAGACATGGAAAGAATTATATCTGAATTGTCACTCACCCTTTTCATTCTTTTGTTGGAGGATTTTGACGCCTTACACCTGCAGATTTGACATGATGCGGGATGATGCGGAAAGATGTTGTTTGTTGAGCATGCTGATTCTTAGTGCTAGTTTGTTGGTGTTTCTGCTTTGTGTTAGAGGTTGCCAGGTGCATGGGGCTCCTCAAGCGGACCCAGTTGAGTGTTTTTATTTTTGTGGCCGAGGTATCGGCAAAATGCGGCCCGCGGTCTGGAACGAGAAATACTCTATCTATGTGTGCCACTGCGAATCTTGGCATACGTGTTGGGCACACTACCATTGGAGCGCGGGTTGAGCAGGTGAAAGGTTTTCTGCGCAAAGACCTAGAGACTTGGGATATCTTGGGATGATTTGGCCCTTCTGGGATGACTCAGGGAGGCTTGGTGTCTGCCGCGTTTTTCAAATCAGTTGGCTGGCAACGACTCTGCAGGACAGTTCTTCGGTGACTTTTTGCAGGGGCATCGGCGTCCATCCGCTCATTGCGCTGTGTGGCACAGAGGACAATGGATCAAGTCCCATACTCTGTCGAGAACTATGAAGGACCTACAGTCAGAATCTAGTTCAAAGTGATCACATTTATGCAGGGCATTTATTTTTTAAGCTGGCAGTCTTTAAGGACTCAGAGGCTTAGACTTCTCGGAAACTTTCCCCACTGATACAGACAGTGAATATTTTAATTTGGTGTTCAGGAGAACTGAAAGACTACCAGATTATTTTCCATTGGCAACGGTGAGCTGAGAAACGGCCATCTGAGCAAACAGGTGTGCAAACTTCTGCGCTCGCTGAACCTGCCACGGGGACTACAGATCACAAACATGAGGCCTTGACTTCCAATGGAACTTTTCCTTTTATTGCTGGGAGTGAGCTGAAACAAATAGGCTATCAACATCTATCAACTGTGGTGTTTTATTTACAGTCTTATCATGAGAGGCTACAACCTCCAGGAATCAGAACTGATCCATTCCTCATGATGCAACCTTCACCTTTCAATTGGCTACTGCTTGGTTAACCACCACAGGATGCTATGAATTCTTGACCCAATTTTTTGGACAAGCTCCCAGCGCCCGGGTTTCTGTATGGTTTCTGTATGGTCTTTTTTGTGTAGGACCTATAATCCTCTACCAAGATGTTGGTATTTCAACCCGGTGGTGCATCTTCGCGGATCCCATGACGAAATCTTTGCCAAGTGGCTGGATATAGCTGGATGCCCTCCCCAAGGCTAACTCCTTCAGGTGATATCAGTGATGTCCTGATGTTTGCTAGATATTGCTAGATTGTTGTTCCTTTTTGGGGGCAATGGTTACTCCGCGTCTTCCTCGAGTTCTGTTTTGGTCACTATGTCATATTCCTGGTTCTTGGCCTCAATTTGGAAATCAACGAGTTCATCAGTTCATCATAGTTCATTTCATCGAAGCCTCAACTGACCCCCAATAAAAAGCCTGGGTAGCCTGGTTTCATCTTTTTGGAGCAATGTGAGATCAATAACCCATCCCCACAGATGATTATGATCTATTATGATCTATTGTTGCATCTCATCCTTTGGGGATGATAAAAAAACACCCCTCCATGAAGTATAAAAAGATCACGAATGTTTTATAGTTGGGTCCCCTCATTTTTCAAACAAAGCTTGACAAGGAATTGAATGAATTTTGAATCGCAGCAAATTTACTTATTATATGAAGGTTCTGAACTTTTATTAGGGGTAAGCTTCAGAATCAATTTTGGGCAATGTTTTGAACATATTTTGAAAATGATTAGGATTGGAACTGATTTTGAATCGAGGGCTTTTTGATATTAAAGTTTTGAACTTTTTAATAGGGGCAAGCTTCAAAATCAATTTCTAATCATTTTTGAAAAAATAATTACAAAGGATTTAAATTAATTTTGAATCGAAGCAAATTTTTTGGTCCTGGTGAGGTCTGGTGAGGATCCGGTTCCGCCCAGCGGGCAGAACCAGACCCTATGCTTCGATGTCAGACCCGGTGAATCGGGGTCCGGTGTGGGGTCCTTGGGTCCGGTTCCGCCCAGCGGGCAGAACCAGACCCGAATATGCAAGCATTTTCAGGGCGGAATGTGAGAAATGTGGGGTCTGGTTCTGTCCGCTGGGCGGAACCGGACCCAAGGACCCCACACCGGACCCCGATTCACCGGGTCTGACATCGAAGCATAGGGTCTGGTTCTGCCCGCTGGGCGGAACCGGATCCTCACCAGGCCTCACCAGGACCAAGCTTTTGCAAGACACAATAAAACAATACCCCGCCCTTTGCGCATCATTTTTCTTAAACACTATCCCATATTATCCCAGCAAGCTATCCCAACCACTCCTGAGGAAAACACTTATTGAAGAAGATTCTGCATCTCGTTATATATATATATATATACATACTCTCGTAACTTAAGGTCAAGGTGACAATGCAAACTTTCAACCTGGAATAGGAAAACATGGGATAATGCAGCAATTCGTCATCGCGTGCACTGGTACACAGCAAGCTTCCTAAGCGCCGCTCAAGTTTTTTTTTGCTAATTTGCTACTGATGTCACAACATCTTTGGGCTTTGTACTATTGCTTCAACTCAGCTTGCTTTGCAGAAGCACAATCTTGTTTCATGTCTTGCAGAAGAGCGCATACCACAAACAATTCGTCGATTTCAGAAACAACAGCGACAGATAGCCATATAAGTTTAAAACAGCGGGGCGGGACAACAGAACAAATGCAGTCTTGGTAGCTCCCGCGGTCTTGGTGGGAAATTTAAGTTGCGACCTCGCCTTTAACGATCCAGAAACGAGTTAGACCAATGGTTTTATTAAGTGTAAAAGGGGTGGCAGGGCAGCACAAATAGTGAAGCGTTGTTACGTATTCCCAATTTTGGTGGGAAATTCATGTTGGCACCTCGCCTAGTTACAACCTGCCAGCCCGGCGGCAGCTCCCAGCTCTAGAGTAAACAAAATCAAATCCTGCAGTTCGGTGCCATGGCCTTATGTTTCTCAGACGCAGTGGTCAGAAGCCCGGTTTCCTGAACATTTGTGGAATTGAATAGCATTCAGGAGCATGCAAGTTGATGGAGCAGGGTTCCTGTGGTTTTAATTTTTAGTGGTTTTGTACCCTAAACTCTACCTTGCGAGACCTAAACCCTAAACTCGACTTTGCGAGACTTAAACCCTAAACTCTACCTTGCGAGACCTAAACCCTAAACTCTACCTTGCGAGACTTAAACCCTAAACTCTACCTTGCGAGACCTAAACCCTAAACTCTACCTTGCGAGACTTAAACCCTAAACTACCTTGCGAGACCTAAATCCTAAACTTTACCTTGCGAGACCTAAACCCTAAACTCTAGTAGTAGTAGTAGAAGTAGTAGTAGTAGTAATAAGAAATTTGAATGCGACGACGCGCGCGGAACCCGCGCAGAAGAACACGCGCGGAACCCGCGCGAAACGCAAACGCGCGGAACTCGCGCGTAGTATCAATACTTTTAGTACTAGTAGTAATAGTAGTAGTAGTACTACTATAGTAGTAGTAGTAGTAGTAGTAATAGTAGTAGTAGTAGTAGTACTAGTACTAGTAGTAGCAGTAGTACTAGTAGTAGTAGTAGTAGTAGTAGTAGTAGTAATAATAAGAAATTTGAATGCGACGACGCGCGTGGAACCCGCGCAGAAGAACACGCGCGGAACCCGCGCGAAACGCAAACGCGCGGAACCCGCGCGTAGTATCAATACTTTTAGTACTAGTAGTAATAGTAGTAGTAGTAGTAGTAAGAAATTTGAATGCGACGACGCGCGCGGAACCCGCGCAGAAGAATACGCGCGGAACCCGCGCGAAACGCAAACGCGCGGAACCCGCGCGTAGTATTGATACTTTTAATACTATTAGTAGTAGTAGTAGTAGTAGTAGAAGTAGTAGTAGTAGTAGTAATATAATAGTAGTAGTACTAGTAGTAGTAGTAGTAATAATAAGAAATTTGAATGCGACGACGCGCGCGGAACCCGCGCAGAAGAACACGCGCGGAACCCGCGCGAAACGCAAACGCGCGGAACCCGCGCGTAGTATGAATATTTTTAGTACTAGTAGTAATAGTAGCAGTAGTAGTAGTAGTAGCAGTAGTAGTAGTAGTAGTAAGAAATTTGAATGCGACGACGCCCGCGGAACCCGCGCAGAAGAATACGCGCGGAACCCGCGCGAAACGCAAACGCGCGGAACCCGCGCGTAGTATTGATACTTTTAGTACTAATAGTAGTCGTAGTAGTAGTAGTAGTAGTAATATAGTATAGTAGTAGTAGTAGTAGTAGTAGTAGTAGTAGTAGTAGTAGTAGGAGCAGCAGCTGCCATTCACTCACCCACGCACTCGCTCACTCACTCAATCTCACTCACCCACTCGCTCACTTATTGACAAACCCAGTAACACATTCAACCATCTTGATTTGTGAACAAAGCAGCGGCTGCTCTATGCTGCTCTCGCTTCATCAACTTGGGACGCCCAATATCAATTCCTGGAGCCTGAACATCCACTTTAAAGATCTTTAAAGTGACCAAAAGCCAAGGTTGAGTCAGAATTGGTCTTTCATAAAAACATTGAAAAAGTGGCCCTTTGAATTGTTTTGAAATGCATATGCGGAATCGTTTTCGATTGTTGCGCAAACTCTGTTGGAAAGGTGATGTATGGTAATGTGCTTCGTTATTCATCGTTGTTCGAACTTTGCAGTTCTAGAGAGACATCCACTTTTCTACCAGAAGCATGCACTTTTCATAGAAGAAACCTTCACTTTTTCCCAAGCATAACACCTGCTTTAAGGTGGTCGTTTAAGGTTCCAAGATGACATCTTGGGGAACATCTTGACAATGGATGGCGACGGGGAAAAAGAAATTGAAGCATCGCAGCGGGAGAGCGTGGGGCATTTTCAGTCAGCTGAAAGGTTGGTTTCACTTAATTTCTACTGTAAAGTTCATTACATAATGTGCATCAAAATATGCAGATGGAATATATTTGGTGGTGTGCCAGCCTTGTTGGCTACCATTTACATGTATATATACATATATATATATATGCATATATATATATATATTATTATTATTATTATTGTATATTTATATAATACTTCTACAAATGCAGAAATGTACGAAAGGGGGGGGGGGTCCCCCCCCCCACAATCAGGAGGGATTTTATAGTGAGTTTTTCCATGAAACATGGTGGATCTTTCCATAGTTATGTTAGTGATTAACCATAGAAATAGTGGATTTTCCCATTAAAAATGGTGATTTTCCATAGTTTTCCCATTAAAAATGGTGATTTTCCATAGTTTTTTGTAAACGTTTACCAGAGGGTATAGGGAATTTCCCAGCCACATTTGTTCTCACCAGGCTGGATGCCGCTGCAAAACTTGGCGACAAAGGAGAAATACGCGGAAGCCAAGCCAGAATTGGCTGAAACTCGGACCGAACATCAGCGGTTTCACCGGTGATCTCGCTCTATGTGTTGGTTTGGAACACTTTTGATTTTCCATACCCTCTGGTTATGTCAAAATAGCTACTGAAAATGGCCATTAATAGTGGATTTTCCCATTAGAAATGGTGATTTTCCATAGCTATGTTAGTTTACCAGAGGGTAATATATGGGAATAATCCTGGGATGTCATCCTTCCCATTGACGAACTCCATCATTTTTCAGAGGGGTAGGTTGAAACCACCAACCAGTGTGTGTTGGTTTACTGGTGGAAAAGCCTCACAAATTTCTTGGCCCAAAGTTCGCGCGCGGAGCGTTCTACTCGTACCGAAAAATACGCTACTGCTGGTGACACCAAATGTTGATCTATCCAGGATTTTTTGCGGATGTGACTTGTTAAGCTCCGTTTTTATTGGATGATGGATTAAATGACCCTCTGGTAAACGAACATAACTATGGAAAATCACCATTTTCAATGGGTAAATCCACTATAAATGGCCATTTTCAATAGCTATGTTAGTTTACCAGAGGGTATTATTCTGCCTGGAAAACTTCCAATTGTTGAAGTGTGAGACTCAACGAGGATTTTTGGTGCATCGGTAAGTAGACCCTCCAAGAGGAGATTGGATGGAATTGGAGGGAAGGCTCGAAGAGAAAGAATCGGACTCTGATATACTCTGATATGAGCTATGGTCAATACTCATGGTTAATAACCATTAATAGGGGCTAGTCATCCAATGGTTCATAGGGATTTATAATAACCATTATAAGGATCCTTATTGTGGATGGGATGACCATCAACCATATAGTGAGTATTGACCATGGCTCATATGCTACACTTTCATGGATGATACTGATGACACCCTATTCTTAGAACGTGTTTCTTCACAAGTTTTGGTCCTAAATGTCTTCGAGTTTCTCTTTAAACCAGGTGTTTCAATTGTTATATTAATATAGTTGTTTATTCCCAACTCACTATGTAACATTAACATACAACAGCATACATTAACATACATTAACATACAGTACATTAACATACATTAACCCATTTCTCAGCCGATTTTCCCGACGTTTGGGACACGTTTTGGGACGGCTGGAAAGTTTTCGAATCTCAGTTTTTTTTGTTCTGAGGACCCAGAGGTGCCTCCAGAGGAGGAGTGAAGTCGAAACATGGGGATTTTGTTTGGGGGGAATTCATGGTAATATGTTTAATATGTTTAAGGAAAGTGATATGGATATATGGGAACTGATATCTGATATGGGATAAAATATAGGAATTGATATGGATATGGGATTTGATATGCGATATAGGAACTGATATGGGATTTGATGTGGGAACTGATATGTCATCATATCTCATCCCCTAAAATTGAGATATGGGAATGAATACACTGGTATGTCACTGATACACAGACCATGATAAACACATCAAAGATGGTCTGTCTATAAGGGGGGGTGAACCAACAAACATGTGGGCTTCATCAGCAGACATGTGAGTCTAACCTTGCAAAGCTGCCTGAAATAGGTAGCTGGTAGATAACCTACAAAATGGCACTGGATATTATACATATCTAATTGGTGGTTTGGAACATTTTTCCATATATTGGGAACAATCATCCCAACTGACGAGCATATTTTTCAGAGGGGTAGGTATACCACCAACCATATATATATACACACATATCATATATATATAACCAATATAAACCGGGAAGATTTATGATTGAGCCGTACAATGGCAATGCGGCAATGATAATTGATGGGGATGATGATGACAACCTTGGGGGCGACCATCCAAAATGAGGCTTTGACGACAATCGAAGCCACAAGCCAATGGTACATGACCAATACCACACATATACCAACCATATACCAACCAAGTAGTAAAAAACGTATCCCAACCATATCAATGGATGTAAATGGTAAAATATCACCAGCTACAAAAGGTTACCAGCTCCACGATGGTTTCTCCGCGTTTTGATGTGTTCGGACCAGTGGAGATCACCATGGTGCTACGGAGTCTACGGTGGCAACGTGGTGAATGGGGAAAAACTCAACCGTTTGCTATGAAACATGGCCCAGTCGAAGTAGTTGATATACCGTAATACCCATGAAGAATGGTGATTTTCCATACTTATGTAAACGTTTACCAGAGGGTAGATCATACTTTGTTCACTGGTCAAATATGCACCTCGTATCATGACTGATTGTTTGTGTCTCCTTGAGACAACTCTGATGAGTCCTATCCAAAATTCAGTCCAGGAAGCGATGAAAATAGAAACACAACTTTGACAAAATGGATGTTTATTCAAGTTTATTCAGAAAGAATCGGCAGAGTTCAGCTACCAGCAGCTACCATTTTGATGCTTTCTCCGAAAAATCGCCAGAGTTCACCACATTTCTGGCCTCTTGGGACCCCCTGCAGCCGAAAGCTGGACCAGTTGGACCCCAGGACCCTCTGAAACTTCCAAGCAATCCACCGCGCTGGGTGCCTGGGCACCATCTATTTCTGGTAAGATTGGCTATGGTTTACTATTGCATTACATAACATTCACTACCATAGAAACTAAACCTCCATTTATGTTGGGGATTTTCCATGGCGAACTGTTAAATAACCAGATGGTATATCTAAAATAAGTACAATGTGAGGCCCCCGTTCGAGATAGCGTTCAGTTGGTGCCAATAACTCCAATTTCACGAACTGGTTTATGGTACGCAAATAACGAACTAGTTACTGGGGCGAATCTAAACCAACTTATAACTGGGGGGCCTCACATTGTAACATTCACTACCCTCTGGTAAACATTCACATAACGAACTGGAAAATCACCATGTTGTAGCTGGGAAAACTCACTATTTCGACTGGGCCATTTTCAATAGCTGTTTGTATGTTTACCAGGCCGGGTAAGTTGACCAATTTAGATGGACATGGGTTAAATGTGGGAAGCCAATTGTTTAAACCTACCATTTAAGGGGATGAATCAACAGCAGTACATATTAGTACATCTTAAGTTGTGGTGTTTCCAATGATCATCTTAAGTTTGGGGGGGTTCAATAAAACCTCCGAAAAAAAAGGCCGTGGTAGACCTGGTAGACCCTTGGTGCCATCCATGGTGCAAAGGGTTCACCATCCCCAATGACTTTCCATGGATGGGTTTGCCACCCTGGTCGATGGTAGGTCATTGGAGATGGTTTACCCAATTAAAAATGTGGTTTACGAAGTTGCAAAAGCATCATCTTAAGTTGACTAATTTACATGGAACTTGGTTTACCCATTTTACCATCGAACTTGGTTTGCATTGAAAGATATGTGAGTTTGGCGGCAAGTTGGATTTGTCTTAAGAACGGGCACCACACCAGAATTTAACAATTTTAATGAGGAAAACAATCAGCCAATATTGAAGCTGCTTAGTATGGGGATACATGAAGATGGAACCCTTTGAGGGTGTATTTCAATGTTTCAAAGGCATCAACTAGTAACTTCTTCTGCCTGGTTGTTTCAATGGTTATTTTCAACATGTTTCAACCAGATTTGGGATGTTGATCCCAAACGTCAAGCATAGTTTCAACGGTCACCGCACTGTTGGTTTTGTGAATTCGGATCTCCAAATTGTCAACAGCGACGTCACAACACAAGCACCATACATATCCATAAATCATGTCTATCGTAGGGGCAATCATTCCCAAAATTACTGGAACATTGTGCCGATGATCGCATGTGTGTATTTTGATATATTATGTGGTAATATGTAGTACTGTACATGATTTCTCTATTATCATGTACCTACATATTACCACACAATATTTATCAATAGTACCATATATTCATGATGTATCTGGGTAAATTATAACGACCTCACTGTTCTCCCTCACTGGAATCATGGTTAGTAAGGGAAATCATCCCCAAATGGCCGCAAGATTCAGGTTAGTGAAATATTATAATTTACTCAGATGTATATCTCCTAATTTTCAGAGGAATTGTCCAGAATTTTTCGGTGGAAGCTTGGGCCACCTGGGCCAGGTGTCAGATGGCTTGCTATGCCATCTTCATAAACAGCATCGAAATATGATCATGATGACAGAGCTGCTTGACTCAACTTGACTCAATGAAGTCCATGAAGTCCATGGGGTCTACGCAGAGTCCATGGTTTTTTTTCGATGTAAAAAAAAAAAAGTTGGTCAGTTGGACTTCTGTTTGGCCTGAAGCTGAAGCTGGGAAGAAGCGTCCCAAAAATTGGGGCAAGTAGTTTTGGACACATGCCATATTGGCGGGGACGGGAGAAGCAGGGATGCATGGCGAGTGTTGAGTTTGGCCTTGATTTGCTTCCGAAGTTGCATTTTAATGGTGAGTCAACCCACTTGTCAAATATTTTCCATAATTGTATTGTATCAATATCTCCATATCGTATTTACTAGTACATAATATATATATATATACATGATGTTCACGTTACATATCATAAACCCCAGTGTTGTTGCTTGCAATAAGTTTCAGACCTGCCTGCACCTGCCTGCCAAAAAACGTCGTGTCATCGCGAGGAAGTTCCAGAGCATTCAGCTGGGCTTCGAACAGAAGGGCCTCAATCTGGAACCGGTGCCTTGGTGGTCCTGGGATGGCTTAGAACGGTAACTAACTGGTTATGGGATATAACATGGGGATATTTTATGGGATATCTAACCAACTATAGTATAGTTATATAACATTATATAGTTAAATATATATCTGGTTGGTGGTGACTGGAACCATGGAATTCTATGACTTTCCCATCATATTGGGAATGGAAAATCATCCCAAGTGACGAACTCACTCCATCCTTCATTTTTCAGAGGGGTAGGTTTTTCAACCACCAACCAGCTTAGAACGGTAGTCCGACATGTGGATGTTTTTGATCCATCCCCGGTTTCAACATGTTGAAACCAACATGTTGAAACCAACACGACTGTTCCAAGTTTTCGGGGGTGTCTTCCCATAATTTATCGGTGGAATTTCCAAGGCCATGAGGGAACCAGATAAGAACTAGCCTTAGAATGTTGGGATTTTTTTGGGAAGGAAACCTCTTGATGAAAACGGTCAAGTTGACGTTTTTTTTTCCTTAATGTAAGGTTTTGTAATGTTTTCTATAGCTTGATTAAGCTGTCAAATGCAACATGGGAGAAAGCACCAAGCGAAATGGTGTCATATCGAGCAATGTCATGATTTCGATACTGCTGGAAAGTTGTGCAGAGGGGACTGGGTCATGCAAGATCTGATACTGGGATCATGCTTGTGCCATTGGATACATGGGATGGTCCCAGAGATGTCAAGCATCAAAAAACTATTGAAATCATGCCCGTCTCAGTTTCCAATTGCCTCTCGGGCCCAAGTCTCAATTTCCATCCATTTCCCCACATGTTTCCCCTTCAGGACATTTCGTAACAACCTGACTTTTTCCATCATTTTCTCAGATTTCATCAGCCTTCCCATGGTCCATAGGATCCCCATAGGTGGCTGACCCAGGTGCTGCCCGGGGATGAACCGGAGCTTCCGGACTTCGAAAGTATGCTGAAGCCCTCGCACTTTGCGCAGCAAGACACAGGCAGCGCTAGCGCTGGCGCTGGCGAGGGTGGGGATGGTACGAAAATGTGCTCAAAAAATAGAAGGATCATATGGATAAAGGATGAAGAAATGTACTGGTCCTACAAATTCTATGGATATAAAAAATGGATATATTATATTTAAGTTCACCAAACCACCGTTAATTCTTATTTTTTTAAAACTTGAAAAAAAGCGCGAAAAATGCAAAAAAAAATGGAAAAACCAAAAAGCAAATCAGCAAAATCCAAAAAACACAAAAGCAAAATAAAAGGGAAAAAAACGGGAAAAAAAAGGAAAGACAAAAATGGGAAAAAATGGGAAAAAATGGACTTGTCCATTTGCTTTTTTTTTTGCTTTTTTTTTGCTTTTTCGATTTGCTTTTTGTTTGCTTTTTGTTTTGCTTTTATGTTGCTTTTATTTTGCTTTTTTCCAGGCAAAAAGCAAAAAAAAAGCAAAAAAAAAGCAAACAAAAAGCAAATCGAAAAAGCAAAAACAAGGCAAAAAAAAGCAAATGGACAAGTCCATTTTTTCCCATTTTTTCACCCTTTTTGACGTTCCTTTGTTTTCCCATTTATTTTGCTTCCTGTTTTTTTCGGTTTTGAAGTTTTGTTTTTTGATTTTCCATGTGTTTTCCTTTTTTTTGCTTTTTTTTCAAGTTTAAAAAACATTAGAACTAAGGGGAGAGGTGAACATAATATTATATGATATAGACATATATCATGTAAATATATATATATATATATGGATCATTAATTAATTATGGTTGATTCTTCTGGTATTTTCTATAGAATCCAGCCATCATCAGCCATATCCTCCAGCTAGGCCGCGTGGCCGTGCGCCGCGAGAAGCCCGCGGTGAATTTGCCGCAGCCCTCGGCGACGATCTCTTCGCAGGCGCGGCGGTTTCACCGCAGGATGGGAGTTCCGGCGGATTTCACCAAAGATTTCACCGGTGATTTCTGGCGGAAATCTGGAGTTATAAGCGATGTGATGTATGATACATATGATATATATGATATAATGATATTATACATACTATATATATGATATGCTAGTTATAAATTGGTTTATAAACCCCATTAACTATGGTTATAAGTGCCATAAACCATAGTCATTGGAGTTATAAACCAACTTAGCTATCGAACGGGGGCACCACTTTGTGTGAAATGAGATGTTGATGGCTGGTTGGTGGTTTCAAACATGAATTTTATTTTCCGTTTCACATATGGGATGTCATCCTTCCCAATCTGACGAACTTATATTTTTCAAGATAGTTAAAACTATGGTTAAAACCACCAACCAGAAATAGTGGGGTTAAACACGGTTGAACTGACCTGGGAACATCTCAAACCAACCTGCAAAGCACCGTAAGAATCAGCATGAGCCTTCCCAGTGGACATGTTGTAGCCGAGCTGGTGAAAAGTCGTTGCTTTAATGGGAAATGTTTGCCGTGGAAAATGTTGACCGGCATTTGAATGGTTTTCGCCAAAATGGAGGTTAAACCCCATCAAACAAATGGTTAGAAACGGCCATTTTGCCCAGAACAATCGGTGTTTGACCATCCTTAAATAGTGGGGTTCACTACCAGAACGGAAGGGTGTCCTGGTATGTGATCTGGCTGTAGATTGGTTTTGGATTAATCCATGGTTGTGTTTGAACCTCTGTGTGGCATCTCCCATTTGATGTTCATGGCACCGTACCTATAGACCGGATTGAGCTTGAAGGTCTCAGTTGGTTTAATGGATAGTTTTTTCTAATTTCAAAGGATTTGTTTTTTGCCACGACAGCATTTGCAGCACTACCAAGCCCCAATCGTGCACCCTTTCGTGCACCGTTAGTGGATGCTGTTGGTTCATTCCCCTGACATATCCTCAACCTGTCAGTTCTCAAATGATTTATGAACCAACGTTGTTCCCTTTATGAACCAACAATCCCTTAAAAATTCCCCAAATTAGGGAGACTTTCATTTATCAGATGATCATCACTTTCATTTATCAGATGATCAGGTTCTGCAAACCATTTTTGGGGGAAACAAAACATGTTACCAACCACTCCATCCATTCCATTCCTTCCCGGTGATGGATAAGTTCCTACAGTCGGTCGGTCCCTGTTATTGTAGGATAAAGATGGATAAAGTTCATTTTTACGGACTGAATCAGTTTCGGTAAAGCCCACTAATTCCTATCTTCCCTATTCTTGCAGGGTGACTTCCTAAGTTGAATCCCAGTGATGCCAGCTGGTTTTGAAAAACGCAAGCAACATCCCATTCCTCTGCTCCAGTCCCTGAAGAGCCGCTTGCATCACTTCGTCTCCTCCATTTGAGGGTACCAACGGGGTTGGTCGGTGTGGCACAGGTCCAAAAGCAAGAACTTTGGAAAATGCATCGCTGCAAAAGAGTGGCACGCAAATGAATCATTTTTGGAACATTGAATCTACTGTAACCAAAATCTGCCATAAAACACGCAAAAACACATCTCTGCATATCTCTGCCAAGAAATCGAATATAATAATATACTGTACATATAAATATAAATGATTGTAAATCTTAGTATGTTCTGTGCATTGGAATCCGACTTTGGCAAATGCAAATGGAAGAATCGTCTTCTAAGGCTTCTTTGAGGGGTCCAGCTCTTACTTCTACAAGTGCAATGTCAGTGGGAGATTGGTGTCACTGTTGGAATTCATGCGACAAGCATCTATTGGGGTCCCTTGTGATTTCCAAACATACAAAACGGTGATACAAGATGGTTCTTCAATAATTTTGATATGAGATCTTCAAAAAAGCCATTGCGCTCAATATTACTGATGATTCATTGTTACTGTTCATTGGGGAATAGTTCCCGACCAAGCAAGTTTACATGTTTCGTCGTCACTATCCCGAGTTGAAAATAGAAACTATCGGATACCGTGAAATTCCAGAAGTTCCAGCATCATATGAACTGTGCAGCTTCCTGAATCAACAATCAAGACCTGCAATGTGAGGCCCCCCAGTTGTAAGTTGGTTTATAAGCACAGGTAACTATAGTTATAAGTACCATAAACCAGTTCGTGAAATTGGAGTTATTGGCACCAACTGAACGCTATCGAACGGGGGCCTCACATTGTGGGATCCATATCTTTGGATTCTGGATCGTATCTCATCATCCTGTAACCCATGGATTTTTGTGCGATAAGACAACCACAGAAATCCAGAAAAGAAATCCAGCCATACCTGGCCTGGCTTCCTGGAAAGCGAGTCGAATGTTAATCTTCTCTTGAAAGGAGTGGCATTGGCACAGCTGGCAGCAAATCAACCACAGCAATGTGGAGTTCTGGCTGATTTGTGTGTGGCGGAATAGTTGATATCCCACTGAACATAGTCATCTGGTTGGTGGTTTCAAACATGAATGGATTATGTTCCATTTCATGTATGGAATGTCATCCTTCCCATTCACCAATATTAATTAAGATGGTTATTGCACCACCCACCAGTCATAAACAAAAGGGAAAAGCTTGAAGGCATCTACTGTTTGGATGGAATACCTTTGCTTGGCCATGTGCACTTTGAGGCTGCCTCAAAGTTGTTACTCCTTTCGGCCGCACCTTACAAAGTGAGGGAGTTGCGTCCAAGTTTTTAGTGTCCTGACACAAGGGTTTTCTGAAACAAAGAAATAGAGATGGTCCGCAGAGTAGCGGACCTTGTGTGTTTTTCTCAATGATTTGAGACAATATGTCAGTATGTATACCGCGGTTTTCGTCACTTGGACGAAGACCACGACGTCGCAGAATGTGCTGGACACGATGAACAAGCGTTCACAAAAAAAGGCCTATAGGTGAAGGAGGGTCTAAACTCTCACTTCGGTTTCACCATGGTACTGACACGTCGCCGCGCTTTGCCACGTGGCTTTGTGGCACACGTGAAAAACTGGATGATTTGGAGCGGATAATTACTGATTGGTGGTTTGGAACATGTTTTATTTTCCATAATATATGGGATAGTCCTTCCCATTGACTAATATTTTTCAAGACGGTTGAAACCACCAACCAGATTAGGTTTGGAACATGTTGGGGCATGTTTATCCCGATCCAAGTCATATTTGGCCGAAAGTGGAGTTCCCATCCTTGGGTCAGATTTGCTCCGTGAAATATGCTAGAATTATGTTCACAACTCATTATAAATATAAAATATCTCTATAGTCTCTATAAATATAATATATATATATATATTATATATATAATATATATATATATATATAATATAGATATATATAATATAGATATATATAATATAGATATACATGATATAAGGACCCAATATATTGTATATAGGAACATATAGGAACTTCACCTGTTTCAATCACCTGTGGATCACGCCGTGGTTTTTCAATCGATCACCGCAAGAGTCTCTCTTGTGACCATCACTGCCATCACCGAAAAAAACTCCATAGGATCGATAGCTCGATATAGCATGTGCGGCAAGCAGTTTTTGATAGGTTTCTGATGGTTTCTGTTTGTTTAGAACAAATTAAGTGAAGTGCTGGAACTTTTGTGGCCAACACTTTTTGAGCTCCAAAAAATAACTGCTTGGTGGTGACTGGAACCATGGAATTGTATGACTTTCCATGGGAATAGAAAAATAATTACCAACTGGCGAACTCCATCATTTTTCAGAGGGGTTGGTTGAAACCACCAACCAGTCATAATTAACCATCATTAACCACTATTAATCACTATTAACCACTATTAACCACTATTAACCACTATTAACCACTATTAACCATATGGATAGGTCAACCACCAACCAGATTTCTGGTGTCTCAATCATCGCTTCGCATCCTGCAGGCGGTGATCCCCTTAGCCTCTTTGGCCCTTGGCTTGTGGGGCTGCTTAAAACCCGGACGGGTTTTCGATGGTTGGTTTTTGTCACTGGGAAAGCCATGGTTTGAATCACTGGGTTTATAAATTATAGCTGGATTAAGAAGTGTTGTAATATTGGGTTTAGTGATGTTTTTATACAATAAGTTTATTGATTAGTATGAATAAGTGGGTTCAATGAAAAACAAAACACAGGCTGGTATGTTAGATGTACCGTGAGTTTGTTTGATGGTGGAAGTTTATGATAATAGCTTATGATGTGTAGTTACAGTATAGCATGACTCCCATTTCTTGAAGTGTGGGATCCACAATGATAAAAACCCTATAACTCGCAGGCTTCAGAAATTCTGATCACCAATGTTAAAGAACTGCTATATTTTTGAGATGTTTCAGATGTTTCAATATGTTTTAATAATAGTAAGATCATGTAAGATCTATGCCAACTAGTTTGGGCTTCTGAAATAACATGGGTTTCAGATTCAAAATGGGAGATGAACCAACAAGACATGGCAAAGTAATGAACCAATGGCGTGGGGAATGTGGGGGGATAAACATGAAATGATGGACGTGTAGGATTGTACGAAGTAGTTTAACATGTGATGCTGTCGTCCAAGATGGAAAATTGGGAAGCACATGTTCGACCGACGATGACAGAAGTCGAACTGTTGTCTTGTGCCCAGACCAATCATACTTTCTCAAGCTGTTGTCTTGTATGTATCGGACTTGCCGTGATTTTTTTATATGTCCATCATGAATGCTTGGGATGCGTTGCCCTAGTTGACCCTTTTTCCAAAATGCGTAGCGAAGGGTTCTTGTTTTTTATATAGCCAGGTTCCAGAAGGTTCCGATATAGCTCCGGCATCGTTCATCAAGCCGGTTCGGGAAGGTTCCGGGCAGGTTCCGGAAGGTTCCCAGATCAGGTTTAGGAAAGTTCAGGTGCAGGTCCATGTGGGCAGCATGGTTTTCCTTATGCATAACTCCATGACGCTGATTTTTGATGGTAGTTGAGATACCTTCCAAACCTGGAGGGGCGCGAAGTAATGCATGAGACGACATCATGCTTGATTGTTTATTTTCAATGCGGCGTTTTTCGGCGCAGTGGCACGTATTTTGGTGACGTCTTCTGATTGCTGCGCGTACAGCTGCAACCAAACGATCATCAAAATCGATAGCTGGCGGAGATACCACCCAAGCTTATTGCATTGCAGGCCCTGCAGCGTCATCTTGAAATGACTTGGTTGGTGGCCATCATGAGCTGGCGCAGGTCGCAGTCAAAAGGGCTCCATCTGCCCACAGACGTGACGTGGTCATGTTTTTTCTTCCAACCACCCGACCTGGACATTAAAGCCCGAGGTGCAAGCACCGTTTGACCCTGAAGCACCTTTGATTTTGGACAAACAAAAGTACTTGGATGCCGCAAAGAATTGCAAGGCAGGTGAAATCGGTGTTATGGATGTTGGCTGTGAACATAAGTGTGGAGTGATGTGGAGTGCGCAGTGTAAAGTGCAGAGTGTGAGGTGCAGTGTGTTAAGTGTAAAGTATAGATTGTAAAGTGTGAAGTGCCGAGTGTGAAGTTTAGAGTGTGGAGTGGGCAGCGCAAGGTGTGACATGTAAGAGTATTGAGAGTAGAGTTTCGAGTGTAGAGTGTGGAGTGCGGGCTGTGAAGTGTAGAAGTTGACTTGTTCAAGGTTTAAAGTCTCTTAAGATCTCTTAAGTTTTTTCTTATATACATGCATTCGGGTTCGTGAATCCTACATTTTTTCCACCTAAAACCAGCAAAAATCAGTGGTTCAATTGGCGATAAATTCTGGATAAGAAGAAAAAACCGCGTTTTGTTGCTGTTGGTTTCAGGGAAAGAGTTTTTGAAAATCACAAATCTCAATTTTGGACCTTTAAGGCTAGTTGTGCCGTATGCCAAGACATCGACCCAAAAATGGGGGAATCCCCAAAAGTGGCCGTGGCGCGACGAGGTCCCACAGCTTCCACCTGCTCTTGGCTGAAGGGATCCAAGCAAGACAGGCCAGCCCGGATGGGTTTTTTTGGGTCACTTGGAAAAAACCATGAAAACTGAGGGTAACAAGAATTTTCCAGTTGTTTTGAGGTGATATCCCAGATTATCCCAGGGCATTGATGATTAGAGCGGTTTACAACCTGAAATATATACACATATAATTATATATATACATATTTTTCTCCCAGTAGTGAATACAACCCACAATTTTCATGATAGACCCCATCAAACATGTATCGGTACCATTGGTGTTCCTCTTAAACAGACCAGGTTAAACATCCTGGTTTTCTCCGGGATCTTCCAAGTGCTTTCACCCATTGCATCTCCTTGGCATCAGCAAGTGAGGAATCTTTGGATTAATAATCACAGATCGACATGACCAACCTCATCTTACTGATAAAATGACCATATCTAAGTAAGATGGGGTTCATGTCGAACTGTGATATGGTTACTGATGACCATCTTACTGATAAAATGATTGTATCCTTATCTTGGATATAAC